GAGGGATGGAGGGAGGGAGGGGAGGGGAGGGAGTTGAGTGTGGAGGGAGGGAGCACACCTTTCGTCCATCTCGCCTGAGATTTTCTGCAATGATGGTCATGACATGGCAAGGGACCTCGAGGACCGACCTGGTTGTACCACAAGGCTGCTGAGCCCTTGCTGGGACGGAAGCGGAGATCCAGCTCGGGAAAGAAGGTACATCCTCCCTGTCCCTCCGGTACTTCGGAGAGGTAGCAGAAGAACGATATGATGCGTTGCCCTCGGGATCGAATCTAACGGTCGTCAGAGGAGGAGGAAGCAACAGCTCAGACAGACTCTGTCGTGGTAGTAAGGGGTGCCGGGTTGAAACCAGTCGTTGTGCACGTCGTACCGCTGCCCTCGCTCGTAATGCACTACCTGAACAGCCTCGGAGCAGTGGGGGCTCACACCGCACAAGAACGCTGCTCGCATCACTGCAGCTGCTGCTACTGGGTGGCTGCGAGGGACGCGGCAGCTGGTCGACGTTCTCCCCTCGGAGATCCCTTGCTCTTTCAGGCCCGCGGCGTCGAAAGAACCCTTTCCCATCTTCTCCCTCATGGATGCAACCAGGCTCTGCTTCAGCCCCACGTCGCTCGCTGCTGCAATCAAATCCTCTGCCTCCTCCTGGCTCACAAGATTCTTGACGCAGCAGACACGCGGGTCTGACCGCACCATCTCCACCTCAAGCCAGTATCCCTCGAAGCAGATCCAGGCGTTCCCCGCTGCTCTGCCGCCGTCTCCCGCTCGAAACGGAAGGCTTGCAACCCAAGCTTGATCGCTGAAAGAAGAGCAAGTCAACAACCTTCACTCGCCAGGCAAACATACGAGCTCTTCTCCACCAGCAACTTCCTCGCCTCTTCGACCGCTGACGCGGAATCCGCCAACTCCAGCGTCTCGGACCACAGAAGGAGGGAGGAGAACAGGTACGGACTGAGAGCTCTCATCTCCTCCTCGCGGACTCCAGACGTCATCAGCACATCCTGTACCTCATCACAGCACCCGCGCAGGCTCTGCTGCCTCTGGCACATGAGGAACGATATCGCGCCGGTCAGCACACGACCATCCAACCCAGAGCCGTGGGGGCTCCGACGATACTCGGTGCACGTGAAGAGGATCTTGACATCTGAAGCGAGAGCATGGCTGCAAAACTGCCGGATGTCCGTGAAAGCTTTCATATGATCCTCCCCCTTGTTCCCATGCACTCGCACCAGCAACGTCTCGCCCTTGAACTCGCCCTGCTGCTCTTTGTTGGTGAAGACGATGGCGTGCGTGATGGAAGCGTCTCGAGCATCTTGATCCCAGCAGCTCCCCCAGCTGTCTCGTTAGAAACTTCAGTGCAAGTGCCACACGCATCATCTTCTCTCCTCTGCTTGACGGCATGGCTTTCACAAGCTACAACGATGTCTACCCCGTCCCATCACTTGGTTACCCGCTCTCCCCTCCTTCCTCCTTCCTCCTCGTCCCCTACTCTGCTCTGTCTCCTGATCTTCCTCCTGATCTTCCTCCGACTCTCTCTCTCTCTCCCTCTCTCTCCCTCCCTCCTTGTGCTGCTGCTGCCATCTCACCGTCTCCCCTCGCCTCCAGTGCATGCTTACCTCACGAACACGCCTTGAGCAAGCTCGATCTGCATGTCGCACACCACAAGAGGGTAGGGTGGTACAAAAAACGAGATCAAAGGGGGTTCTTCCCCTGTACAAAAACAAGGGTAGGGGTAGTCATCAGGGGTAGGGTTGGAGGAATGGGGGACGATGACAAAGTGATGGCGGGTCGAGGGCGGGGGCGGATCATGCCGTTGCTATGGTGGATGATGAGCGCGATGGCGAGCCAGCGGCACGTTGAAGAGCTTCGAAGTGCATCAGTGATGTGCATGGCGGCAAGTTCAAGTCCTCCTCCTCTCGTCGGGCTGCGCTGGCAGTTGAGAGGAGGAGCTGTCGGTGATGCCCGAGGCTTTCACGATCCGGAGGAGGAAGGAGAAGCATCAGGGTCGGTAGAGTGCGCAGAGGACGAAGACAGAAAGAGAGAACTGTACGATCTCCTGGGATTCGATGCCGATGCAGATCCCTCAGCATATCATACGCTGGATGAGCAACTGGAGACAAGGTACAAGAAAATTCGGGTGTGTGCCGTTCGCGGCAACATCAGCAATGGCGTCTCATCGGACAAGGAGCTTATCTGCCATGCAATTCAGACGAAAGCAGATGAGATCATGGTGGAGGCGATTGAGGAGGCTGAGCTTCAGCAGCATCCCGAAGCTCCTCGCGTCTATGTGAACTACTACGACCTCAGGGGAGTAGCAAGGTTCCTGGCGTCAGACGAGGACGCGAGCGACCCGATGGAGTTCGGGATGTGGCAGCTCAGCATCTTCCTCCACGGCACTGAGTGGACGTACTGCGCTTACAATGGCGTCATCAGTTACGACGCGCGCTGCTGCCCTTTCGGTACGAGGCTGCACACGGTACCGTATGGGCGAACCAACAGGAGCGAGGAAGCGATCAGAACATTCCTAGAGGAGCAGAAGAAGACATTTGACGCCTCTAAGTTCAACGCCTGGAACTTGACGTCCATCGACTTCGCCGAGACTCTCTTGTCCTTCTTGACAGATCAGGTCGTGACGAGGCTGGCGAGGTAGATGACGACGCTAACGATGCTGCTGCTGGCAGGAGCTCCACAAGGACATCACGTTGACCCTCCCGAGCTATCGAGACTTCGGGAATGGTACAGGTGACTTGCGCCCGCCAGCTAGCTCCAGCACTTGACGAGCTTGCAGGAGAGAGGACACAGGTCGAAATTCAGGTGGGTGAGCTTGGGGGTAGCTGAGCTTGACCGCAGCTGCGCAGGCGAGGGTGCAGCACTTCCCGTCCTGGTGGGGGGAGGAGGCGCTCAGACTCGCGAGCATGTTCAAGCTTTGGGGCAAGCGGCCGCCCAACCAGATGCTGCTGGGGCCGAAACGGGAGCCCATCGGACCCTACCTGCCAACACGTGACTGCTGGAGTTCAGCTGAAGGTGTTGCTGAATGTGCATGGCAGACCTGACCCAGTACTGGGAGCCGCCGGAAGGCTTCCTGTACGTGGGAGAGCCGGAGGAGGAGAAGGAGGAGCGAGCAATGGAGGAGAACATACAGGCGAGGAGGAACCGAATGCGGGGAATCGCAAGGGCCATGGACGAACTTTCGCTATCCAAGATGTTGTTTCAGCCGCATGACTGACGTTTTGACTGACATTTCCCTCCTCCTCTCGTGCACGCTATTATACCTGTTCGTCCCTTCCCTTCCTTCATACTCGTTCATTCATTCCATTTCCCTCATCACGCCTCTCTTGCATACTTGATTGTTCAATTCCCTTCATTATTATGTCTACCTTACATTCTTGTTCATTCCATTTCCTTCAATACTATGCCTATCTTTCATCCTTGTACATAGTCGTTTTCACAGTTGAAAAAAATACATAGTCGTCCCACAGTTGAAAAAAGTACATCCTCCTTGGATCTTCAATCCGGTCCTTCCTCCATTGCCGCAATCAACGAAGCGCGGCGCGAGCTCTGCTCAGTCACGAACTTCATTCTCTTCTGCTGCTTGCTGACTTCCTTGAGGAGGTCTTTAGCGATCCTGAGGAGCTGGAGGTAGTTCCTGAAGTCCAGCATGATATCTCCGATCACCCGCCGGAACTTTGACGACAGGGAGATCCACATCTTGCAGGAGATGGGGCCTGACTCCGAGTACTCGCTCTCAAGCAGCCGCCTCATCGCTATCATCTTCTTCCTGCAGTCCTTGGACAGAGGAGCCATGGACGTGCTGAGCTCGACACAGACCAAGTAGAAGTCCAGAATCTGCGAGTTGAGCTTCAGCTCGGTCTCCTTCCAGAGGCTCTCGATCTCCTGCAGCGTCTCCTCCACCGCCCTTAGCTCGTCCTTCATCCTTGGAAGCAGCTCCTCTTCCGTCCACTGCAGTGCATGACTCTCCGGGCTGTTCTTGACTAGCTCGGCGATCTTGGGGATGGTCTCTTCTCGCTTCCTCTTCTTCATCCTTGCTGTATGCTCCTCCATGATGGCTACCAGCGCCGGATCCTCGTGCGTCTTTCCGCCCACCTCCTCCAGGATCGCGACTGCCGTCTTCTTGCTGTGCCGCAGCGCGTCGTCGAGGGGGGTGTAGCCGAACCGGTCAGTCGCGTTGACCACCACCCCCTCCTGCTGGATGAGGTACTCCAGGATCGACGTGTTCCCGTTGGCTGCCGCCAGGTGGAGGGGGGTACGGCCGTCATAGTCGGCGATGTCGACCTCAACCCCGTTGTCAACCAGCACCTGCATCATCCTCAGGTCTCCCCGAGCTGCAAGCGAGCAGATCTTGGCGGCATAGTCGCTCTTCTTCATTGCCAGACTCGCCCCGAACTCTCGAAGGATCGACTGCACGTGGCCCGCGTTCCTGATGTCGAACGTGTGCCGCACCGCGTCCTCCAGCGGCGTCCCCTTGAAGCGATCCTGGCATGCGATGTTCGCCTTTGAGGAGAGCAGAAACTGAACCAAGTCGACATGCCCCTCGCAGCAAGCAAGATGTAGTGCCTGCGGTGAGCGAGTGAGCGCAGAATACATAAGGCTAGGGAGTCAAGGAGCGAACAGAACAGAGCGAGCGCGGGGGTAGGAACAGGGGGAGCAGGAGAAGAAGAGGAGCTAGCGAAGGGGCGGGGAGTACCGTTCTCCCGTCGTAGTCGCTCTCGTCGATCCCAACGCCATTCTCAAGCAGCCGCTTGATCTGCTCCTGGTCGCCGTCTGCCGCAGCCTGACACATGAGAACGCCTGCCTGGTTGCCAGGGAGCAGCACGCGGATGCCTGGGACAGCATCGCGGATGAGCTTGGCGACCTTGTCGTGTTTCATGCGAACAGCGTCGTTGAGCGGCGTGTTGTCAAACGAGTCCTTGAGGTTCGCGTCCGCTTTCATCTTGAGCAGAACCTTCACCAGCTCCCCGTGCCCTTCGCTTGCCGCCAAGTGCAGGGCTGTGCGTTTGAGTCCGTCCTCGTCGTTGACCGAGGCCTCGGCGTTGGCGAGCAGCTTCCTGACCTTATCGACATCGCCATGCGCGGCGAGAGAGAGGAGCAGGACGATCCTCTCGTTCTTTCTCCGGACCTTGAGCATCGCTACTTTGTCGTTGGTGCCTTCTCCAGCCACGAGCTCCGAGGAATCGTCCTAAGAAGAGTCAGAGCAGAGACGAGGACAAGAGAGAGGAAGAAAAATTCATCACCATCGTCACGATCATCACATTCAGCACTTTCTAGCAAGGGGGCAGGCAAGACAACAGGACTGAAGACAGCAGGCAGCAGGCTCACCGAGTTGTCAGATTCAAGATTGGTAGAGACAGTGGTGGACTTCTCCTCTGACATCTTGGAGTTGGACGATTTCTTGGAGGTGCTACCCCCGGACTTTTTGGACGCTGTCTCCTCGTCGAACCTCTCCTTCCTCTTCCTCTTCCTCGACGACCCGCTCGACTGGCTTGACATCCCCGAGTACCCCGAGTGCTTGCTGCTGCCTCCCATCCTAGACTTGTTCACCACCTCGAACGACCGCATTGCGTTCTGTGCAATGACATCCTCGTCCCTCTGGTGGGTCTTGAGGAGCTCAACAAAGCTCTCTCGCTCCAACCGCAAGCACACTGCCCCTCCCTTGGACGCCCTCGCTGTTTCCAGCTGCCGCAGCCCGAAGAAGAAGGCAAGGCCTCCTACCGAGTGGTTGGTGCGTCGGACGGCAGTCACTGTCTCTCCCTCATCCTTCTCCTGTACCTCCTCCACTGCCCCGCTCACAACGAAGAACATGGCCTTGGAGACTAGAAGAACAAGTCAGTGACAGTGGAGGAGATGGAAGGAAGCGGAGGAGGGAACGGAGTAGAGGAAGAGAAGAGCAGGTGAAGAAAGAAGGTGGAGAAGAGGAGAAACGGAGGAAGAGAAAATGAGCAGGAAACGAGTAGGAGGAGGCCACACTGTATCGCCAACGCTATCATCTCATCTTACCTTCAAGCACATGAAACAACACTTCCTCCGGCATGAACGACACCTCCCTCAGCAGTACGCACACGCCGTCCAGAAGGAACTCGCTGCATCCCTTGAACAGCTCCACGTTGTCGAGGTGCTTGCGGGAGATAAAGCGAGCGACTTCCACCTGTAGCCCATGGTTGAGCCCCTTGAAGATCACCGTCTGATCCAGGGTGGAGCCGTTCTGAACCGCCCAGAAGTGAGACTTGATCTCTTCCTGGAGCTTCGAGGAGAACTTTCCTCCCGAGATGAAGATCTTTATCTTCTCCATCTGCTCTCTCCTCTTCACCACGTCATCGTCTGCGCTCATGATGATCGTCGAGACTTCTCCGATCACCCAGCGGTACAGCGTCATGTTGAGCGCCATGAGAACGATAGTAAAGAAGATCTCGATCACGTTCTGCGGGATCATATCGCCGACGGCGCCGTTGACAGTGAGGGTGGCGGCTACCCAGTAGAGGGAGAGGAGGTACTCCTCCCCCGTCCTCCTGTTGACCATCGCGAAGTTCTGGTTGTGATCGAAGGTGATGTTGCTGTAGGAGGGGCTGACATAGAACCAGCTAATGGCTCTGTTGGGGAACCAGGATTCGTAACTTCTGCCGATGAAGAACCAGATGCAAGCTGAGACGTGCAGCGTCATTGCCATCAGTTTCGCCATCCTCAAGATCATCGTGGTTGTGTTGGAAAGGTTCAAGCTCGGCCCCCCTCGCATCTCCCAGATCTTTCCTCGCAGGAGGAAGAGCTTGTTCAGCCGCAGCCAGTCGCAGGCTTCGAGCGAGGCCCCGCAGAGGTAGGCGAACCAGTCGAGAGGGAGAGCAGAGAAGATGACAAAGAGGTCCGCGTGACGGAAGATCTTGTACCGTTGAGTGACCCACAGGGATCGCTCGTTCTTGAAGGCTGTGTTGAGCTCCAGGAACAGGTGGAGGAAGAGGACTGAGTCGGCTGTCAGGTCCGTGCCCAGCGCGACCGGACTCAGCATGCTGCCCCAGGGCTTGAACGCGATGCGGATGGGAACAGCGACAAAGTCATAGACGGCGACGAACTTGAGGAGTAGGCGCCAGTAGTCGTAGACGATGCTGTTGGGATTGAGCGCCCGGCCGACGAATAAGCCCGTCTCCTCCACGCCGATGCCTGCCTGCTGATCTCGCAGAGCCTGTACTCCAGTCAGCAATGGAGGCAGGAGAATGGAAAGAGGAGCAAGGCCTAAAAGGGAGAGATGGGCCGGGGGGGGAGGGGGGACGAGAGGAAGGCAGCGGATGATCATAAGACGAGGAGGGGGACAGACCAAGAGAGTGCGGCTGATGATGACGAGAGGGAAAGAGAGAGCGATCACGGATAAGAAACGAGGGACATAGGACGAGAACAAAGAGTAGGAGGACGAGGATGAGGATGAGGATGAGGAGGAAGAAGGTGAGGAGCAGGAGCAGGAGCAGGAGCAGGAGCAGGAGCAGGAGCAGGAGCAGGAGCAGGGGCAGGAGCAGGAGCAGGAGCAGGAGCAGGAGCAGGAGCAGGGGCAGGAGCAGGAGCAGGAGACGACAGGGTACCTTGTTGAGGTCAGACCACAAGATCCTGGTATCGCTGCTGTATCGCTTGCCCACAAACTCGTAAAGCTCCCTGCAGTTCTTTCTCGTGATCTTGAACGGATGGTCGTAGAACACATTCCGCAGCAGCTGCTCCACCTTGTCGCTACTCAGCGGCTCATTCAGCCCTCCAGCGATCCTGCCGTACTCCCTCTCCCACATGCTCATCTCATACTCCGCGAACCTCTTCCTCAGACTCCTCACTGGAGCAAACCTCGCGTGCAGAGCTTCGAAGATGCCCTCCTGCTCCTCGTCCTCCATGTCGACCACCTCTAGCTCGGCTTTCTCCTTCTTTTCCTCCTGGTTGAAGGACACCTTGTGTGATCTCAGCCTCAGCGATTCGTCGGTCTCCGTCACTCCGGCATGTAGGAATTCGATCCAGCAGGCCCAGAACCGGTTCACGGTGATGTCGATCGCGTCGTTCTGCAGCACGTCTGCAAACAAGCCTTCGAACAGCTCTGCTCCGCTCTCCCCCACCAGCGTCTTGATGCTCCTCACCTGCCCGTGCGCAACGGACGAGGAGCCAAGGGAGAGAGTCTTCCAGCACTCGCTCACCAGCGTGAAACCCTCCTTGAGCTTGCGACGGTCTTCCTCTGTGATGGTGATGTCCAGTACATCATCCTCCTCCTCCTCCAGTTCAAAGGCGCTCGACAGCTTGTCGCCTATTCCCTTTCCCCCTTGCCCGGCCTCGTGAGTAGGAAAGGGAACTACCCTCGAGTTCGACAAGCTCGTCCCGGTGGACATCTTGAATGACCGGAAGGAGAAGTTCTTGAGCATGGTCTGGAAGGAGTTCTGGAAGGAGTCGTTGTTCGTGCTCGCCTTCCTCGCTCCTCCTTCCTCAAGACTCTTCACGTCCGTAGCCTCCAACATCAGCCTTGCCAGAGCTCGGATGCTCTCCTCTTTCCTCCCTCGCATCTGCTCCTCCAGCTTCTTCCTGCTGAGCTTGATAATCTTTGACTGACTGTGGGCGACGATACTTTGAGCTGGCTGGATTCCGGTCAGGTAGTACATCCCTCCGAAGAACGACCCTCCTCCTCCGTTGGTTCCGAACCCAGCTGAGTTCGCTCCTCCGTCCTCCTGTGCGCACTTGACGTCCCCGGAGACAACGAAGTACCAGCTGGACCCATCCGGCTTGGAGGCGTCAAAGATCGTGTCTCCTGCCTTGGCGTTGAACTTCCCGTGATCCTTGAGCAGCTCCAGCACCTCCTCCTCAGTGAAGTGCAGCTTCAACTCCGACCTCATGAGCGAGCAGAGCGTTGAGTCTACCTGCATCCCCAGCAGACACTTCCTGAACTTGGGGCTGCCCGCAAAGATCTCCGACAGGTTGGCGCCGGTCAGCTCCTCCTCGGGATGGCTGGACTCGCCGTCGGAGAAGGTTCTTTTGCCCATCAGCTCGAGGTGCTGCTGGACTTCAAACAGCATGTCGTCCACGTCGATGTTCCCCGTCTCCACCCGGAGGATAGAGAGCACCATACCGAGGTCTTGGCTGCTCATGTAGGGGTCCGAGCTGAAGTAGGACACCACGTCTGACTTCGCCGAGCACGCGACCCGCGTCAAGAGCTCGTACGCCAGCTCGATGTCGGTCAGCCGCATCGCCGCTTGACGGAACGACGAGACCGCCAGCTTCTCCCAGTGCACTCCCTGCGCCTCAGCTCGCTCCTGCGCTTCCAGCAGCTCGTCCAGCTCCTCGTAGAGGGCGTACTCGGTCTCGGAGTCGATGTCGCCATCCAGGTCGAGCTCGTCGATCACCATGCTCTCCAGGTCCTGCACGCCTATGAGCTGCATGCTCTGCATCGTTGCATGAATCTTCTCCATCCACACTGACTTGACTCCGGGAGACGAGGAGGGAGTTCGGACGGCAGGAGCAGCATCAAACATCATCTGAATCTTGCTCTTGAGGAAGAGAACTTGCGTGTGTAGGAGGTCGCGGAAGACTTGGATGTCGCCAGTCACGCTGTTGATGTTGGACGACAGCTGGAGGACAGTAGGCATCATCTCGCCGCTCGCCTTGAGGTAGAGGTTGAGCTCCTCAACCGTGAGGTGCTTGGGAGACGTCTTGTCCAGCCCTTGGTCGATCAGCGACTTGATCAGCAGTCGAACTTGTTTGATCGAGATGGAGTCCAGCCTCTCCATGAACCTCCTCCCCTCCTCCGTGTCCTTGTAGAGCCCCAGCTCTCCCCCCCACCCTGAGCACAGCATGTCAACACAGGAGGCATGAGAAACTCTTGGAGCAGAGAGAAGGAGCGAGCAGACGCAGTACCTTGGATGAGCTTCGCGCAGTACATGTGATACAACGTTCCTCCTCGCAGCGTGTCGTCCATTGGCGTCCCTCCCCATCGATCGGTGCAGTTTGGGTCTGCGCTGACGCCGAGGAGGAAGGAGACAGCCAGGACCTTGGCTTCAGCAGCTGCAAGATGGACTGCAAGAGAGGTCAGATGGTCACGGTGACGTCAGCAACGGCTCACGGGGGAAGCGAAAGTCGTAGTCCCCAACGTCCGTCGGCTGACCGTAGTCATGCATCAACCGCAGCCTCTTCACGTCTCCGAGCCCCGCAGCTGAGCACACCTCCTCGCTCCCCACGTCCTTGGGCATCGACCCTCCCTTCGCCTTGAGCAGCGTTGCCACCAGCGCGTGCCCGTTCAAGAGCGCGTCCTGCAGCGGCGTTCCTCCCCAGCGGTCAGCGGCGTTGGGATCCGCCTTCTTGCTCAGCAGGTACTCCACCACCTTGTCATGACCCTCAGCGCTGGCCACATGCAGAGCTGTCCTCCTGTCGTAGTCTCCTAGGTTGGCGTTGACCCCGTTCTCAATCAGCCTCCGCACCTGCGCCAGGTCTCCTCCTCCCGATGCCTCGCACAGCGCTGACGCCGCGTTCTCGAAGCCGAGACTCGCCTTCCACTGCGTCAACAGCCCAACGATCATGAGCTGCTTGTGGTTGATGGCCGTCTGGAGAGGCGTCTGACCCCATCTATCCTTGAGGTCTTTCTCAGCTCCATTGTTGAGGAGGATCTCAACCATCCGATAGTTTCCTTCCGCACACGCCATGTGCAGCACGGTCCTTTTGTCGTAGTTTGACTTGTTGATGTCTGCGCCCTGCCGGATTAGCTGCAGGACAGTCTCCACATCACCCGAGTTTGCTGAGTGCGAGAGGGAGAAGAAGAGCCGCTCGGCTCGGCTCTTGATGGACTGAATGATCTTGGTCTTGGTTGCTAACTTGGCCACGTCACTGAGGTCCTCCTGCGCTCCCTTGATCGAGTCCCCGTTGGCGTCCAGGTCGAACTTTCGGAGGAGGTTCTCGCAGATGATCTGATGCTCTTCCGGATAGCTACTGAACAGCTCCGAGCTGTCCTCCTTGGACAGGACGAGCAACTCAAGATCCTCGTCCGCCTTTGCTTTGATGGTATGCACGTAGTTGATGCCGAGGAAGAAGGGAACCTGAAGAAAAGTCAGCGGCATCAAGTCGAGAAGCCCTCCACCTCTCCGATGATGGGAGCGATGTCGGGCACGTCGCTTCGGATCACTCCGATCGTCCTCTCCTTCTCATCAATGATGAGCGCGGCCCCTTCACTCACAAAGTAGAGCTCGCGAGGGATCCTGGAGGAGGAGCAAGCCTCAGCTGGAAGGTAGCAGGAAACAAGACTCACTCGTCTCTCTTCACTATCTCCTCACTTGACATGACGTGCATCACTTGGAGCCTCGTCATGAGCGCCTGCAAGACCCAGCACGAGCTCAGCTCAATCAAGGAATACAAGGTGCACTTACGTTGAAGAACTGCGAGCTACAGCCGTTGAGGGGTTTTCCCCTGTTGGCGCACTTGACGATGAGATCGTGGTAGTTGGCGTTGGCAACTTTGATGCGAAGAGATCGCGGGAGATCCATGGAAGTAGAAAGAGAGCTGTTGACATTCTTCTGGTACTGGAACTCGAAGTAGCCCAGCACCCTCTCCTGCAGGGACACGGGCAAGCTCTTACTCTCCATGAACTGCTTCACTTGCTCGATGTGCTGCTTGTGCGCCTCCTCCGTCGGGTTCTTGCGCACGAGGTAGTTTAGGAGAGTTCCGAGAATCAAAGCGCTGAGATAGATCTGCAACATGCTCTTAACCATGGTAACATACATGGCGGCATGTCAACCTGTATTGTCATGACCATCAGCGAGTACAACATCTCCACAATGTTCGACGGCAGGCCAAGGTCGTATGCAAGGTTTGAGAGTGCATTGAATCCTTTGTACCTTGAACAAGAGATGAGACAGATAAAAGGAAAAGACAAGAAGCATTACATGCATAGCAGGTAGTTCGTTGCAACCGTGCTGTGGTCAAACTTGTAGAGCGGAAGAAGATGTTCAAAGTCCCGCACCTGCCGAGGCATTTCAGCGACATGGAGAAAAAACGATGAGAGTGCAATGTACCCATGTTGTCTCCTTGAACGATTGCACTCTTGCCAGAAAGTAGTATAGGCAACCCACCCAGTGGGAGGACAGGAGAATGACAAGGCAGATCTTGACCGCCTGAAGGTTTCGAACGTTGAGCTCGAGGTTCGTTTCCATAGACCGAAAGAAGAACGCGAGACGAGAGACTCTCGTGACAAGCCTTGGGATCATGAACGCCCACCAGATCCAGACCAGGCTCCCTGAGAAAGAGCGCAACGACAGCGTTGTCACCTAAACGTTAAGATTTCACTGATTTGCAACACAATCAGCCGTTACTTACCCAGTACATGACGATAGGGAGGAGATCGGGGAGGAGAGAGTGTCTGACGTACATTTCTGCAACTCCTGACCATTCTGTTATAGCCTCTGTTTGACCTGGATACGTTTCCGCCGGGATGGCGGTGTTGAGCCGAACCATGGCGTCGAAGAAGAAGATGATATCGCAGACAAGATCACAGATCAGAATTTCTGACGATCTTGGATCACAGAACGCAAGTCTGAACGGGAACGCCCACAGCTCATATGCCAAAGGAAGCATCATAAACCTCAACCATTTCTCTAAGAACGCTGACCCAGGCTCTAGGATATGGAGCCTCTTGTCGTTCTTGGATTTTGGGAGACGGAAGTGAACTTTGCGGATTTTCCTCTTGATCTGAGAGCTTTTCAATTTCTGGAGCTTTCTTTCAGGGGTAACCAGAATAGTGTGTCGCTTCTTCTCCGGACGGGAAAAAATACCAAACCCCTTCAATACTTTTTCTGCTGCCTTCGCGCTTTTGCTAGAGGAAGTTCGATTCAGAGAGTTCTTTTGATTTGTATCCCCGATAAGAATTCTCGAAAACAGAGGACTATGGACACTTCTCTGATCGTTGTCTTTCTCGTCCTCCAACAAGCCGTGGACGGGAGAGGTGACGCTGGCAGACCGAAGGCTATTCAACGAGGTGATCTTCTTCATCGTTGCATCGTCATTGATATCTGTGTGACCGTTGCCATTGATCTGAATTCTTTCCTCTTGATTGTTCAAAGGAGACATGACGTTGATAACAATGTCCAAGAAACAAGACGAGGGTCGATACGAGCTTTAGAGCAGTTACCGCGATAACTTTGACCTTGTACCAAGTACAAGACTCAGATGCCTTGCGGTTCCTGCCAGTCAATGACTGTGCTTGGTTCTATCACTAATCACATATGGTCAAGCTCTGCCGTCCTTGAGTTAATGGCTAACTCTTTCGTGCCTGACCGCTTGAGGCCGGCATTGTTGGTTAGCATTGCGCGCAAAGGCGTTGGTAAAGACAGATACTCTTCTGTGGGGTGGTAAAGTGGATCCAAAGGTACACAGCATTTATCATAGGGTAGGTGGAAAAAAGCATAAAGTAGGGGTCATGACAGAGAGGTCATTGCTTTACCAGGTGGGGTAGTCAAGTTAGACCTCCAAACGGTCATCTTTACAAGCGAGACCTCGTGACGTTGGTCAGCAAAATATCTGAAAACTAATCTTTTTGTAAAAATTCAAACCCAACTGTTCGAGCACGTACCACGAAGAGACATGAGCCTGAGGCCTTTTTGGACTAGCTCTACACTATTTTCACTCAACAAGGGTCTTAATAGAGTGATATAATGAGTTTTAAAAAGTCAATAGTACTGATCTTTAACTTAACTTTGAGTAAAGAGTCCTGTGTCCCTGCATGCCATAATGCTTGCGGCTGAGGTCCCATCGGACGGTCCGACCCTGGTGACTACTAAAAGTTACTTGATATTTCACTCAACTTGATAAAAAGGCTGCCGGGCCGCTTCAAGCGCCCCGTTTTCTTTACTCAAAGTTAAGCCCGTCACAGTGCCACGGTGCCGCCGGCCCCGGCCCACGGGCCCCGGCCAGTGCGCCTGCCGGTGACCCGCCGTGACTAGCCGCTAAAGAGCCGCACCTCCGACTCACTACTGAGTCACAGTGCTACAAGTTTGTTAGACTTGTACTATGCACACTGTAGACCGTTGACACCGACTCGGAGCCTTCCGTACCGGGTAGCCTAGTAGTGACTCAGCCGCGGCGGCGGCCCGGACTCCCGGGAGCGGGGGCCTCGGATAGACTGTGTTGACAGCCTACAGCGGCGGCGGCCCGGGTCGACCCAGGCGCGGCCTTTACTCAAAGTTAAGTTAAAGATCAGTACGAGGACACAGTGTGACGGCCCGGCAGCCGCCCGGCGGCCAGGCTGGCTGTGCCGTACCGGTGACCTTGTTCTATTTCTGGAGCCTGCGGCGCTATGGTGGGGGCGCGGGGAGGAAGGTTGCCGATCTTCAATGCAGGGAAGCAAGACTTGGTCGCTACTCTCCTCCTTCTCCTCTTCCTTGGCAGTGCCCTTCTTGTTCTCCGTGCAAGCCAGCAACACATGAACGAAGCAGGAGGGAACACATGGAAGAACCTTGCTGTCATTGTAGGAAGTATCCTATTCTTGGCGCTTGTCTTCGTAGTCTGCATGAAAGTGATCTACAATTATATTTGCTGTTTCACAGACGAATATGAAGAGATAGCATCGAAACAAGAAGAAGAAGTTGCTATCCTGCGGTCAAATGCAGACTTGGAGAGTGGTCTGAAAACTCATCAGCAGCCTGATGGCAAAGATTCCGATGTCAAGCAGAAGGCTGCTCAAGCTCAAGTCGAGAAGTTTGCTGATTCTCTTCGGGGAGAGGATGAAATAGACTGTGGGATAGAGCTGGAGGGATCAGTTGAAGACTTTGAGTATAACGGGGTCAAACATTCCAGTGGCTGCCTGAGAATCTCCAAGGTGGAGCCGTATGGATGCTGCGATGTGCGCCATGTGCTTTTCTTTGACCCGCCTGCCTCTGATCGTTCTTCTTACAGCGACAGGCTGTCTGTGGGGTAGGCGACATCCTTGTCACGGTGGATGGAAAGGATGTGCATGGAATGCACCCAGGAAAAGTTCAAAAGTTGCTCCGAGGCAAGCCGGGCTGCTCGATAGTGCTGGGGATGTACACCAAACTATCTCGTGGGATCATCCACAGGTGAGCATCTTTTGAGCACTTGTAGAACATATCTTTGTACACTTGTGTTTGAAACTACAATAACAGGCATGTGGTACTTGCTCCTTCTCCAAGAGATTATATCATGGCCGCCAGAGCCATGTCAAGGAAGGATCCCATCGGCTTAGAGAGTCTGAACGAGCTCATATGAGTTTTTCCATTTCATCAGCTACCTGTAGATATACAACAACAACTATAACATTACGATCCTCATGAACTACCTATCATTTCTTTCGAGTTTGAGTCTGGCTGGCTAGTTTATCTGAAGATGCTGCTGAAGGTTTGGAGGTACGAGAAGAGTCTGCGACAGCTGATTTCACTGGTCCGCTGCTGGGACAGACTTCTTCGACTTGTTCTCATCAACTCGCTGCTCTGAAGATTTCCTACTGCCTGCAGCTTTCTGTTCTGCTCCCTGCTTCTCCGAATTCTCCTCTGAAGGCGCTATCTCCTCCTGCCTGTTGCGAGATTGTGCTGCAGTGTCAGGAAGCTCGGAGTGATCGGAGTCTACCCCAGTAGCATCGTCACTGCTCGAGGGTAGAAACTCCTCCCTCTCCGTGTCAGTGAGACTCAGGCCCTGCACGAGCATCAACCAACGGAGCTGCGGGAGGTCAACAGATCCTGACCTGCATCTGACAGAACTCTTCAAACGAGATTGTTCCCGAGCCATCCTCATCGTACTCCTCAAGAAGAGAAGCCACTTCCTCCTCGCTCATCTCGACGTCCGCAGCCGCCAGAGCTTCTTTCTACAATGATGTCTATGAGTGAATGGCGACAAACAGCAAGCTTCTACCAACTCCTGAGCATCAATGCTCCCACCACCGTCCTGGTCGTACGTGTCAAAGATCTGCTTCGCCTCGACGATCTTCGCTCTTCTCTCCTCATCTGACATTTCCAGCGAATTCTATGAATATGAATACAGGGCATCAGCGTTTCAAGACTGGCAGTAAAATCTGCGCACCTCAAACTCAGCCTGTGATCTGCTCTTCACAACCCTCCACTGCAGGACCCGAGCAATGGTTTCAACCTACTGGACCTTCACATGCAGAACCATTCACATCATATCTGATTGTCACCATCGCACGCAGATCAGGGCTCCTGTCCTCAAAGACTTTCAGTGGACACTCCGACGAATCCGAACCAATAGATCCCAGTGCAAGGGAAAGCACTACATCGAACGGCTGCCACGTTGTCGAATCCGTTTGACTGGCTACTGCCCATGTGATGATGGCCTGAATAATTTGTGATGCCACTAAGCAACGAGAGCTTTGAAAGAGTTCAAGGACCTGACGGATGTTCCTCGTGTTGATGCTCTGAACCAGTTTCTTCATCTTCTCCTTCACTTCATCATCGCGCAACATTCTGCGAGCAGCTATGAGAACACCCATGTAGCCAACATCAGTGCGATCTCACTTGCATCTTCTCAAACACTGATTGCCTGTATCGCAAACCACCACAGAGCTAGCAGACTCGACCTGTCTCCCGTGAGAGATTTACTTGCATCTTGTTACTTTCCTACCGCGATTCCGGAGGGATAAAGAAACTGAGCGAACTCTCCTCTACCGTCCCGGTGGGAGCGAATCCCAGAGCCCGCGACCTTGAGACTTGAACTTCAGCTCCACAAGACATGCAAGACCCGTTCTCACCTCTTGAAGGGCCTCCGTCCCGTCCACCTTCCACCTCCACACCTTGTGGAAGTCAAGAACAGGGAGGAGCTCGGACCGCCATGGATACCTTACAATTCCAAGAGTCTGTCAGATACATGTTGCCGTCGTCACTGATCGCTATCCCTCTCGGGGCAAATCGCAAGCTCGACGGCCAAAGATCGGAGATGCTCCTGACAAAGAGTTACGTTAAGCCCAGCAGTATGGCAGCTTTCCACCTGAGAATCTCTCCTTTCTCCGGGCTCAGCTCAACCAATCGATAGTTGTACTTGTCTCCGACATATAAGAGGTTGTCAACATACGCAATACTCCAGGGAAACTTCAACTTGTTTCTGTTGTGTTGCTGTGACGTAGATCCAACGATCGTCTTGACCATGGCCCCGCCTTCATCAGCATGCAGACATCTGATCGAGTCGTTCCCTGAATCGCAGATGTACAAACAATCCTCTTCATGAAACCTGCCACTCACACAGCACCATGGCTGGTTGAACGAGGAGCTCAGGGCTGGCCCGTCGGCACTCCCGGGAGACTGCGCAGTCCCGGCCATCGTTGTGATCCTTCCATGAACGGAGATGCCTCGGATACAGTGGTTGCCAGTATCGCACACAAAGATGTTTCCACTCTCATCGATGCTCATTCCCCGCGGGTGACTGAATGCAGCAGGAACGTGGTCGGGCGCGTCATGCTTGCTTGAGCCTTGGGATGTGCTCCCGTCGCTGTAACCCGACATCCCGATGCCGGCTAAGATCTCGACCTTATCTGATGACGAAACTTTGAACACACTGCTCTTGGCACTATCCAGAACTATGATGCTTCCTTCTCCTGACAAGCACACAGCCTCCGGACAGGAGAGCATGTAGCGGTATACGTCCGTCGATAATGCGTCATCATGCCCTGCATGTCTTTCCTCGATCTCCTCCTCCTCCTCCTCCTCCTCCTCCTCCAGCTGCTCTGTGGAAGGCTCGTCGACTTTCTCGACGAGAGTCTTGTCAAGTTTCCAGCTCAGTGGCGGGGTGATGGAAGTGACGAGCAAGACCTCAGACGGCTTCAGCTGCGCCTCTGTGTCCTTCACCCGTGACTCCAGCATGGCGAACGAGCGCTCTTCCTGGGCGATGCTCGCTTCTATCTGCTCTAGTTCTTCGGAGCTCACTTGTATTTGACGACCTGCCATGCTGAGAAGTTCTGAAGCAGATCTTCGGACATCCTTGAGCTGCGAGACGTCGAGCCAATCGGTGAAATCTGCATAAGAGATGCGGTAAGAAGGTGATGTCCGAGGGGCAGATGAGAAGCGATTCAAGGAGAACAGGGAAGATAGAAGAATGAAAGAGAAGAATGAGGTGAAGGAGGAAGATCGACATGCGGACAGGAAAATGATTCCAATAGGTAGTCACCTGCAATCTTGTTCTGCTGGAGCACCTGCCTTCTCCTTATCTCCATCCTAGTGCGTTTCAGGTCTTCTATCCTCTCTCTCACTTGCATCAGGTCGTAGCGGAGCTGATCATCGTCAATGATCCGCTCGGACAGGGGTCTGTGTTCTGGCTTGTTGGCACTTATCATATTCGCCGCCTGTTCTGCACCTTTATTCCTTGCTCACGACCAACTTGCTGGCTTCACAACCGCCTTTACTCTTCTCCTCCTTCTCCTCACCTTCTCTCTCTCCCCCTCCACCCCCACCCCCACCCCGTCTCCTCCTCCTCCTCCTCCTCCTCCTCCTCCTCCTCCTCCTCCTCCTCCTCCTCTCCCTCCCTCGCCTATCGCATCATTTCGCTCGTCCCCAGCCACTGACGCATTTCGGATTCGCATCCAGGTTTTCGATGTGTAACGCATCCGTAACGTTCGACAGCTGGGTTGGCGATTCTTTTATGCGAGGAAACACGCGCACATAGAAAACAGGAGGGAAAGTGGACAAGAAGAGCAGGGAGGAAGAGGAAGAGGAAGAGGAAGAGGAAGAGGAAGAGGAAGGACGAGCGACTGTAGGAGAAGAGGGGAAGAACGGCATGTGGGCACTGAAGAAAGCTCTTGAATGCCTCCCTTGTCCGAGGAAGATCAACGCAGCCAAGAAGAGCGACAGCACGCCTAGAGACTCGTCGCTGGAGTCTCTTGAAGCAGGGGCTCATTGGGATCATTTCGACGACTGGGACAGTAAACCCACCAACACCGGGCCGCCTCCTGTATTGCAGAGGTTGGAAGACTTCGATGGGATGGCGCCCATGGAGCAAAAGGAAACGAGGGAGGAACCAGACTTCTTCGGTCAGCTGGGACTACAACCCAACTATCAGCCTCCTAAGAAGATCGATGTCACCCCGAAGGCCTCTGCGCTGAAGATGAGTCTGAGTATGGACGAAGACATTGACATTGAGGGGTGGGAGGCAGGGAATGCAAAGAAGCCGAAGAAGAAGCTCGCAGCAGTGCGGATGAGCTGATCTCTCGCAATAGTAGAGGCAAACACCTGTTGACGACATGACTTCTCGGAGTCACAAGAAATATAAAATCCCTAGGATTCTTATCGTAATGGTTCGGGTAGGGTCAGGACTCCCCCAGCAAACTAGCTCTCATGTGAATGACGTGAGAAGAGCTTGATCGCCTCCACCAGTAAATCTTCCATGGTCGAAACCCCCCTCGTAAATCTGCCAGGCTCAGTCAGTGAGGAAATCAACAGGAATCCTCTCGAATCTCCTCACCTTGCCATTCTTGAGCTCCAATCTCCCTTGCCCATGGAATGAACCCAAGTAGAATCCACCTTCATAACAACCGATGATCTAACAGAACCATCAAAGTCAGAAGAGTAAGAAGCTGTTACCGGGTTGTTGAGGGTGCCATTCCCATGCCACATTCCATGCCTCCAATGACCATCGTACCTCCTTCCATCTGCCTCTTCTACAACATGATGCCCTTCCAGGCCTTCGAATGACATCCCATGACATTTGCAGGTCGTCGACTTGATCGAGTACATCGTCACGGGCGCAAGCGATTTGTCAAGGATCGAAGTCTTCCCGTCGAAGTACACATGACACTTTGTGCCATCCTCCTTCTCTAAGATCCCGTGCAGTGGGCAGCCCATGACAAACTCTCCCTGCGACGAGCAGCGATGAGAACAGGCATGTCATGCTGTTGACTCACCGTCAGCGACGTGAAGACTGACTTGTCTCTCTTCGACCCGTCGTACCAGCAGAACTTGCCCCTCCCATGAAACACTCCCGCATGCCACTCACCGATGTACGACCCGATGGTCGGGTGCTCCCACTTGCCCTTGCCATGCCACAACCCGTCCTGCCATTCTCCGAGGTAGAATCGACCGTCCGAGGCCTCCACTGTGTGCTTCCCGACAATCTCCTGCACGCTCCTGCCATGGCAACTGCAGCGCATGGGGAACCTTGTCTCTGCTTTCTCAGTCGGCAATCGCAGAGGAGGGACCATGATGGCTGGGGAAGACTTCGCTTCTCCTTCACGCGGCCGCTCCATTGCCGGACCTGGCCGAGGGTCTGAGGTGTCGCTGAGGCCCTGCAAGTGAGGATCGAAGATTGACTTGGTCCCGTCGAACTTGACCAGATCCTTGGAACCATCGACTCTGCTTGCAAGCTGTCGTCAAAAACTAGCTCCGCTCTTGACGTATCTCGAACCTCTTCATCACTCCGTTGGTTGGGTTTCCATGAACAAAGAGTCCCTGAGAGAGAGGTAGGAGACATCAGCGTCAGGATCTTCCCAGAAACAAGACCTGCATCATTCAATCTCAAGTACCTCGAAGATTTGCCCATCAAGGAAGTAGAATGTTCCCCTGCCATGGATCATACCATCCGACCAATCCCCTGCGTATGACCCTAGTTTGTCGCTCTGCAAAGTACCCTTGCCATTCATCTTGCCATTCATCCACTCACCCTCCAGGACGACTCCATCCCCTTGCTCGACCGTGTGCTTGCCCAACAGCTCGTTGACCGGGAGGAAGTGGCAGGTGCAGAAACTCTCGGCTGCGCGAACTTTGAAGGAGGAGGGGCTAGGGGCAGTCAAGTTGCTCGCGCTGGGAGAGCAGAAGCCGCTGGTGTCCTCGGAGAGGTCGGAGATCGACCTCAGCTGGTCCTCGTCATGCTCCATGTCGTGGTCTACCGACAGGGTGGGCTCGATGGCCTGATGCCGCCGCCCCACCAGCTCCTGCATTTCTATTTCGCCCCTTGATGAGCCCTGTGACTAATCTTGAATTTTTTTTTGGTTTCACCATGGACCCGCCAAACAACCTCCAGTTCTCTGGTTGAGCCAAGTGCGAGGGGAGAAGAAGAGGATGCAGAAGATCAAGACAAGACAGGGATGGGAGGAACGAGGAGAGTGGTCAGATAGTCGCACTTTTGCTTCTTAAGTTACAAGGCATTAAATAAAGACGACAAGACTGGCTGAGAATAGCGCGTGGTCAAGGGTTCAGAGATTCTGTCTACTATGTCTCTGTTCATCGACTGCGCGTTTGGTCTCACAGCTGTATCCAACAAGGAGCAGATGGATTCGTTCAATAAAGATGTTATTTGTTTTGTGAAGCAGATTTCAACCTATCAATAATGCTATTCATAATGTCCAGGCTTCGCTTGAACTTCTCGTAAGATTGCTGCTCACGTTCTCCCTGCCATCCTTGTCAGCCGACCATTCACCACGCAATCAACACTGGACCTGATTGGAATTGTCGCCGATCACCCGCAGATGCGCGTAGTGTCCTGCCGGTCCTCTTCTTCCCTCCAGCCCTGGGCTTCCACCTCGACCTGCACGACAGGAGTGAGGAGAGGACGAGAGTCAGCGTCAGCGTCAGCGTCAGCGTCAGCGTCAGAGTCAGAGTCAGAGTCAGAGTCAGAGTCAGAGTCAGAGTCAGAGTCAGAGTCAGAGTCAGAGTGAGAGTGAGAGTGAGAGTCAGAGTCAGAGTCAGAGTCAGCGTCAGAGTCAGAGTCAGAGTCAGCGTCAGAGTCAGAGTCAGAGTCAGAGTCAGAGTCAGAGTCAGAGTCAGAGTCAGCGTCAGAGTCAGAGTGAGAGTCAGAGTCAGAGTCAGAGTCAGAGTCAGAGTCAGAGTCAGCGTCAGAGTCAGAGTCAGAGTCAGCGTCAGAGTCAGAGTCAGAGTCAGAGTCAGCGTCAGAGTCAGGGCCCATGAACAAAGAAAGAGGTACAGTCGCTGGGCTAACCTCGTCTTCCCACTTCTCCAGGAGTGCCTTCATCCCCGGGAGGTCCGCGCGGCCCCTGTATACCCTGAGCGCCCTGAGCGCCACGGGGCCCTGGAGGCCCTGGAAAGCCGGGAGGACCTCGCATTTGTGAGATCAATTTACCCTGCCACACACAAGTTATGACCCACAGTTATGATCCCACAGGAGAGTAACGGCAAGACACGGCTTACCTCGCTTTCTAGTTTTTCTGCCCTGTTGATGATCGATTCTACATGCTGAATCTCATCGTTCTTGAACAGCTTGATCTTTGATGATGCAATCTGGTCCCCGTTCGTGATTCGCCTATCTGTTGTGTCCAGCAATCGGTCTTGCTTCCTGAGAAGACGATCCAAAGCATGGAACTTCCTTGTCAAATCTTTCTTGATCGTATCATGTTCATCTTCTTCCCACTGCTCCACAGATGAAATGTGCTTGGATGTCGTGTCGATGTTGCTGTCTACAGACATGACATCTTTCTCGGCCTGCAATGCCTGCGCCATGGCTTTCTTCGCCACGCAATCGTCTGTATCGGTATGTCGAACTGGACCCGTGCATGGCCTTTCACTGCTGCCTCTGGAGTCGTCTGAAGCAGGAGCCGCCTCCTCACTCTCAGTGTTGGCTGGGCTCTCTTCACTCCCCGATGACGCTGCGTACTGAGTAGGAGCAACGAGGTTGAGGTTGGTCGGGAATGACGTACCGGCAACAGTGTAGACATTCTCAGGTTGAGTGGTGGGATCTTCCAATGGCTCAGCATGGACGACACCTTGACTACCATCAAGCGCATCCACGTCATCCGACAACATCTGCGACTGCCTCCTGGGCACGATTCGCAATCGGTCGCGGGGTACTGCATTCCTTGCTCGAGATTTTCTTTGTGATTTGAGCATTGCGTGAGATGCTCTCACTTTCGCCTGTTTGCTATGAAGAGAACTATCCTGCTGGTGGCTCAAATATTGCCTTACAGCCTTGGCATCCACTGGGTAAACGTGCAAGTCGGACTCCACCAGCTCGTTTCCCTCGCCCTGCCATCAACAAGTCAGAGTCAACATGCAGTCAGAACATCTTCTATGTCACCTTAAAGTACAAGGACATGGCGATGCAGCAGGCAGCGGCGGCAGCCATCACCACCATCACCCTCCCCCTCGCCATGCTGCCCTTTCGCGCACACGCCCTCATCCCCCACCCGACATACTCATCGCCCTCGTTTTGTTTCATCGCCCTCATACACCGGTGCCATGATGTTTTTTTTTGGATCTCACAACCGTTGAACATCTTTCATACTGAAGCCATGGCCGGATGACGACACGCAGGTCCGAGCGAGACAGAGAGAGGAGGGAGAGAGCAGAGACAGAGAGAGGAGAAGCAAGGGTGGTATGCCACTAAGCGGCCCGGGCAAGCACTGAAAACTCATTTAGTGACCGAAAAACAGGAGGCGTCCAGGCCCCTTCACTTTTCTCCCTTCAAGGCCATTGTTAGCGTACAAGGAGGTAGCTCGACTCTCAATCATCGTCGGATGCTCATCTTCCGCAGCCTGTAAGATCCAAGCCCCTTCCATGGAGGAACGAGCCATCTCTGGCGCTCTGGTTCAATCTCGAGCAGGTCGCGAATGAAATTTCCGAGTTCATGCGGGCAGGAATGGTGACGCTGGGGTTACAGCTTGAAAGGAGGGGACAGCAAGAGAAGGGTCGAGTAGAGGCGATCGAAGACGAGGGTGCGTTATGATCTCAGCCGTCAAACTGCTCTGAATTGTTACTGCACAGCACGACCGTGGAGGACCGGATGGCATCCGCCAGTCACACCTATCCCTGCTGCTCGCCCTGAGCGCGCGTCTCAAGAAATCGCTGAGTTGAGGCCCACCTTTCACAGAAATCGAGCTGGTGACAATCTTACCCCATAGCAAAGCTGAACCTCTTCCACTCTCTTCACTCAACTCATTCCATGGCACACAGGAATCCATCCTGTGATAAGCTTCGATGGCAAGAGCCAGTTCTTATGCCTGGCTGGCAACAGCATGTTCTTTGACATGCTGAGTGGTAACCAAAGGAGTGAAAGGGGTAGAGGGAGCACATGTAATACGCAACCAGGTGATATCCGAGACTCCTCTTTCACAATCTTCGTGGTCGTCCTGTCTCGATGCACTGAGGGATCGGCGCCCTGGCCTCTGCTAGTGAATGATTCTCCTTGCACGCTTCTGCAAGTTGACCTTTCTGACAGGCTGCCATCGATACCAGCAACAAGTTCAGGATTGAAATCAGCGCTGACCTCAAAGAAGGGCAATCATGTTACACCCTGCTGTTCGGGAACGTCGCTAGGCAGTCTCCTCTCAACGTGGACATGGAAAGGACGCAGATCATTGCTGTGAGGAAGGAAAAGACGGGAGTCAGATGGTGGATCAACGGTGACGAGTGCGATGCTATCGCTCCTGGGACTCTGGTAACAGAGGTAGACGACAAGAACGACCCGATCAAGCAGAGAATGAAGAGCAGAATGTCCTCAAGGAACTCTTCTGTCAGGAGCCAAGAGAACGAGGCCATAGATCTCTCTATCGATCAGATATATCTTGGGAGGAGCGTGGTGGAGGTAGAGGGCATCCTTTCAGAGCATAAAAGGCATCACTTCTTTGATGGAAACCTGGCGGAATTGATTGCGTACCGAGCTGCACTGAGCAAGTGAGCTCTTCTTCGTCATTGCTTCTGATTTCCTCACTTATGCTGCAGAGATCACGTGGATGAGATCGGGAAATATCTTGCCGGCAAGTTTGAAATCGCATGGCTGTTGAAATGGAGGAGAGCGTCGAGCACCGTCCACAGCTTCTCCTTCTCCACGCACTCAAGTGTCGCAGGCCTGGTACTTCACGTCTTCTTCCTGCCCCGTTGACAACAGCGAGGTAGATCGTCGACCTCTCTCACCCTGAACGAGCAATGGCGAGCCTCACCGAGCTGCGGGACTTGAGCTGCAACCCAGTCAAGGCAGAGGAGATCGCAACCTACGACGAGATCTGGGACAGAATCTCCTCCTTCACCCAGTATGGCGTCATCCAGACTTGTGAGACCCTACTGACCCATCCTCTCTAGGTTGCCAAACGAGGACCTTCAGAGGCTGAGCTTCATCCTCGTGGGTAACCTTGCATTCTACTCGGCAGAGGGCAAGGCAGCATTGACGCATCGCAACTTCATGCATGTCCTTCTCGACAGCGTCCTGCACTCGGAGAGTGTGCATGTGGAGGTAAAAGAGCCTTGAAGTCTGACATGATTCTCATCCTTCCTCGCTCAGGCTGCCTCCTGTGAAGCGCTGGGAAGATGGTGCGAGAACGACTCTGCGGCTCAGATGCATCTCATTTCCATCGGAGGTCTGGCAGTGATTGGCAACATGGTTGCCTCATCCAACTCTCGAGTCAAGAGCTCGGGGTGTCAGCTGCTGTCCAACATGCTGTCCGACCCCATCGTCTCCGAGATCGTCCTGGCAGAGGATTCCATCTCCTCCATGACAGGAGCCTTTCTCGAGCTCCTCCTCGTCGATGACATTAGGATCCAGAGCATTGCTGCTCGAGTCCTCTGGACTCTCGCTGAGATCCCAGAGAGGAGGCAGAAGCTCATCCAGGATAACGCACTCGAGTACATCGTCAAGATGATCGGAGCAAGGCATGACGAGCTGCAGTCAGCTGCAATGCAAGTCCTTTCGAAGTTCCTCTGCCACGAGCCGAAGCTGCTACAAGTTGTCTTGAACCATCCGATCCTGCCGGTCACGCTGGTTGACCTGGCGAGTTTTGCGCAGAGAGAGGACGTGGTGGGCAGGGCTCTGAATTGCATCTTCTACATGTGCGTGAGAGACGAGCATGCGGTCAAAGTCTGCGACCTGGGGCTGCTGGACGCGCTGCTGATCCTCGTGAGGCGGCAAGAGGCTCTCGTCATCACCAACAGCATGATGATCATCGCGGCGCTGTCTCACCTTGCTGACCAGATGAAGTACCTGGTGAAGGAGCACATCGCTCGAGATCTGATCAAGATACGAGAGAGCGACGTCGGCAAGACGGTTGAGAATCTTGCCTGCGCTGCCATCGGGATGTTCATCAAGAACTTCGAGGGGAGGGAGCTGATGGAGGTGAAGAAGAGTCTCATGCAAGACAACGTGCTTGACTACCTCCTGGAAACGATCGCTCAAGGATACACAGACGACTACACCATCGTCTATGAAGGATGCAAGAGTTTGATGTACTTCGCTGCTCAAGATCACGCTGCGTCCGAGTTCTGCGCAAGAAAGGCCCTCAAAGACTTGTTGAGGATCAGCAGGGGAGAGAAGGAGATATCCCGTCTGTCGTTGCGCAGCTACATCCTCCGTGCGCTCCCGGAAGAAACGCTCACACCAGAGCAGCTGGCAGAGAGAAGTTCAGAGAGGCCTCGACACCTCGAATGGCAGGTTGTTCCTCCCTCATCTCCTCCACCTCCGTCACTTTTTTCTCCTCCTTTCCGAACATTCTCTCTCTCTACTTCTCTCTCTCTCTCTCTCTCTCTCTCTCTCTCTCTCTCTCTACTTCTCTCTCTCTCTCTCTACTTCTTTCTCTCTCTCTCTCTCTCTACTTCTCTACTCCTGCCCCCCTCATCCTCACCTTCCAGGGCATGCGAACCATCGCCGCGGTCATCTACGGCGGAGAGCCGCAGACTGTGCGATACGTGCTGGAGCGAGGGGGGTTGAGCGCAGTGATCTCCCTTTGCCTCACGGGGCCCTACCAGCTCAGACAGGAGGGAGCAAGAGCCATCTCCACCGTCTGCTTGCACTGCAGGTAGCTCATCACTTCACTGAACCCCTCCTCCTCTTCCCGCTGCGACCTGCGACCTCTTCTCTCCGATGATTTGATTGTTGTCCCCCAACAGCTCTCCGGAGTTCTGCTATGAGGACTACACCGTCAACTCCTTCCGAGAGATCGCAAACTCCCGGGTGATCGAAGTTTACATTCAAGTCTCCTTGGACCCCTCCTCTCCTGCGTACGCGCCGGCTGTGTGGGATGTAGCGCTCATGCATGCCTGCAGGGATGCCAGCGCAGCGGCCTACGACGTCTTGTCATACCTGCACAACTTCGTGGACAACGAAACGTTTGTTGAGAACTCTGATCCAACAATCAGGTGAGTGATCTCCGATACAAGCTCGTTCTCATCTGCCCTGCAGACCATCACCGAGGGAGGAAATGGCGAAATCATGCGCATTGACATCTGAAGAAACCGCGGAGAAGGAGGTGGAGGCTGAGGAGGAGGAGTCACAAGATACTTTATCAGCGACTTCGGTCACTTCGGTCACTTCGGTGACGTTGTCAGACACATCGGTCTCAGACAATTCCGATGATGATGATGATGATTGATGTGTCACGTTGACATGCGACGAAACCTGATGTTTTATTTATTGTCATGATGGAGATTAAACAAGTCAAACTAGTCAAGACTCGCTTCAAGACTCGCTTCAAGACTCAGTAAAAACCTTGACAAGATCGCTGCTGTTGGGTGCTGGTGCTAAGTTCACCTCAGAGCAAGACATAGTCAAGAATTTGGGGCAGAAATAATCGACCCCAAGGATATCAGTCAAGGTGTTGCGACTGTCTTGTCCCCCGATTGAATCTCAATCACCGATGCAAGCAATCCGAGGGTAGGGTAGTTTATTTCTTGTACCCGGTACATTTCCGCAACGACCAATGTCATCCAAACGGGTGTCGATGCTACCCCACCCTCAACACCCTTTCTGGGGGAACGACACAAGATGGCGACCACATGAAGGACGTGGTAAGCATTGTGATGATTGCGATGGAGCAGGAAAGAAGAAAGGTTTGATGTTGAGATCCAAAGACAATAAGGATGCACACCTCTCAAACATATCTCAATGTTAGACAGAAGAAGATGTTGATGCCTCGGAGAGGGTGGAATTTTTTAACTTACACCTTTGCTGTTTTCTTGAATCTGCACTAATAATAATGCATCTCGACAGGTAAAATATTACCTTGCTACTTCCAAAGTCCGGCGCCAAAAGAAGATCCTATTGACTTCGGAAGAGTTTATCGCACAAAACCGGTATGGCTCCTATTCAAACCATCTCGTTCTTCTCACTCCCTGGAATGTACAGCAAGGAAAAATCCGCGAACTCGGAGGACACTCCAGCAACAGTCATTGAAACTCAACCATCGTACAGACATTCACTTGATGAGCAGCATCATAGCAGCTCGGATGATGAGACGGCCAAGGAGTTGATCAGCGAGCTAGGAATCACTGTTGGGCTTAATCAGATCTCTACTTGCTGTGAAGTAGCACCTGAGGGGTTTAGAACGTCGCCGACATCAAAAATTGAACCTATCACCTCCACATCACACAGAATGGCAATTCTTGTGAAGAAAGTTCAACCGATTCTCCATGTGCTGGACGAGGATGTACCATTCAGATTGCGCGACGAGCTCGTGGCGGTCAATGCTGAATGCCTGGTCAACAGGAGGTGAGCTTTTGGTCAGGAGGAGAAGAAACTCATGGTTGTGTCATTCAGGTGGCAGGAAAGCATGAACATAATCAAATCGACAATCAAATCATCATACTCTGACAAGCTTGAGCTCATTGTCAAGCGAAAATACAAGATGCCTTTCTCGCAAGTCAAATCGAACGAGACTTATCTGTTTCTAAAACTTCTTCTCAACACCGCTGCCGAACCTTCAACATCAGGCGAGGAGGAGATACAGGAGGAGTCATCAAGAGCGTATCGATCATCGCGAGTCATTCCGTGGCCGTATCTACCTCCAGAGGTTACGCTTGTCGTTTGCCACGATTGCACCTTGATCTTTCTTGCAGATTCTCTCGTGGAGTTCTGCACAAACAAAAAGTTTCCTGCAGTGGCTTATAAGCGATTTACAGATTGACGATGCGTTGCAAATCGACGGCACGTCATTTTCGAATCTGCATCAGACTGCAGATCGTCTGAATTTGACTCCTGCACAGGCAAGGGAATCCCTGTTATCCTTTCCAGGCAACTGACTTCCACTCAGGCCCGGTTACTAAATCACATTCTAACGGACATTAGGATCCCGTGAAACATTACTGGACATATTTTACACTGCCATGTAGATTCAAAGAGCTGTGATTAACTAAACCAAATCATCAATTATATGTACTCTATCAGTCCTCTTTCTCTTCCTGGGACGTTGGAAATCTTGACTCTGCTGCTGTCAGCTCCTTAACTGTCTCTACATCTTCCTCAATCCTCCGCAGGTTCTCTTTCTCAACGTATGTCATCTTGTGCTCAGTCGGCTCGGGCTCGAGGATCAGCTCGACGGTGCTCTTGGCACGAATTCCCAGCTCTAGTAGACGATGATGTGGTTGGACTATCTTGCCCTTGAAAAGAATATGAAATTTCCGAGATCCTCCCTCTGTCATGAACGTTTCAGTACAAGATTTCTCAAGGATACACATTACACAAACGAAACAAACAAGGGCATGGCATTACCTCCCGCCAGATCCGCTATTTCGCTGGTCGTTGCATTTCGATGAATGTACATGGAGTTCTTCCGGTAAGGAGTTTTGCAGTAGATCTGAATGTAATCGCTCATTCTGCGTCCCTTCTTATCCAAGTTCACATCGGAAGATGACTGCGACCAGGACTTTCCTATGGTACTCATCACCTTTCTAGACATGTTTCCCCTTCTCATGTTCTCTTCCAACAACATGGCTGCATACTCGGGCGCATGATCCGCTGTCCCATAACCTTTGTCGCCAGGATTTGCAACTCCGATGCCATTTCGTCTATCTTCAAGATCTGGGACTCTAATCTTTCGCTGTATCAGTGATTCAAGAGACCACTCCGTGGCTGGTCTTTCGCACCGCCTTTCCCCATCGTCGTAGTACAGTTTCAATCCCATATCCTTCGAGAGGACCACCTTCTTCGTTCCCATCATGTTTTCTACATAGAAAGACTTGGATTTGTCATCAGGATGAAGAGTCGTCGGCTTTGGATCATAGTGGCGAGGGCCCGTGTAGTTGTTGAAGTTACCAGTCCAACCCAAATCTTCAACCCGATTCTGTTGAGCAAACTGTGTGATATGATCAGACTTCAAGGAAGAAGCAAAGCCAATTGAGTGATACTCACATTTTCCACAAACTTTCTGCCTGTCTTCTGGTTGCTGATTCTATTCGGTTCTTGCACAAACTTGCTCGTCGACTTCCAGACCTGTTCCCTGTTGATTGGCGGCATCTGATGAGAAACGTGAGAGGCGGCAAGCACTCGTTAATAGGCAAAAAAAAGGAAGTAGATAGACTTCTGTTTTGGGTTGCAGAGCAAGGATTATGCGGGAGTGTGCAGATGAAGGGATATAAAGGAGCACTCACATATCCTGATGGCGGATCGTACAAATGCTTCCTCCCTCTCCGCTCAGTTCCTTCAATCGATGACAGGAACCCTCCCATGTCAGGAGGTCGTCTCGGCCATGAAGGAGGACCATGCGGATCTGGCACATCTTCTCCTCTCCGGTGCATCTGCAGCCGCCAGCATGGCCGATCACCACCATCGACCCCCGCCATGTCCGTTGCTCTCTCCACCCCCATCTCCCCTGGCCACCCCACCAACCATAAGGTACCATATCACCCCTATCATTGACCAGAAACATACCCCTTAAAATAATCAACCACCCCACCCTTTGACTCGTTGTTTTGTCAACGATTTCAGTTACTTTACCGTTGACAACGAGTTCTCGGTTACATTTCCGTTTCTGTCCAAATCGGGAGCCATGGTGAGCGATACTCTGCCGAACAAATGAAATTTATGGAGCATTCTTGCTGGGAAAAGATATTCTTTCATGACAAATATGATCCTTACCCGTGTTGATATGTTGAACTCCATTAGAATAGAATACTTGTTTGCCTTGAAACCTCTTGATGAACTCACGATAGGAACACTAAACTTATCATGTTTGTTCGTCACAGCGATGATGTCTTTGTTTGATTGTCCTTGGTCTTGCGTCATTACCTTGATATCTTCGCACATGTAAACCTGCTTCGATTGCATGTATCTTGGCGCATGCTCTTCGATCAATCAGCTGAAACCAATACAACAGTTTGGCATCGTGAGGAAGTTGCAGTCACTCATGACCGTCGATGCTTTTGGTGATTTTGACTCGCTCAAAGATCTATGTTGATCTATACGGACGACCTTACTTGAGGTTCAGGAGCGTGCGATGCCATGGCCGATAGAAGACAGCCAATCACGGAATCAGAGGTGACCTTGCTCTTCCGACTTTTCCGTATCCCTCAAGTTGCTATTGACAGGTCAGCGGAGACACTGATCTATGGAACGAGCCAGCAGTAAGCCTGGAGTGCGATGGTTTGTCTCGTAAGTCTTTCACCAGGTCGGAACTATCGATACAACTGTCACAGTAAACACCGACTATCAACCTGGATTTCCTTCAATGTGAAACAGCATTTGTGCCCTCGAAGTAGGTTCTGACCTCATTCTCAGGTGCAGCTAATCTGCTGCTTTGCCATGCTGTGAAAACGATTCGTGTTGTATGTATGATAAGCAGATGCTGCACACAACTAGGAAAGTCCACTGCCGTGTCGGTATAGCGATGGGAAAACGAAAGGGAATAAAGGAGCGGAATCAAGTTGTGAATCAATTCAACTCTGCCGTGCGAAATCTGCGCTGGTACTTCATAGTTCTTGTTTTCTTTTCATCGTGCCAGTCGGGGCTACAAGCTGATCAGCGTACCGAGCCGGGCGCAGCTGTCCAGGAGTCAAGCCCTTGAACTATCGTCCAGCTGATGGCCAGCGGCCCCCCACCGTTGTAGTACTGTGTGACCATGATCGACGATCGGCGCGATGCTGCCGCCAATCTGTGCGCTATCGGAGCGCCCGGCTGAGGCTGAGCGTGACGATCAGAGCCTCGAAACCGTCTTGTAGAGGCCCGGCGGGTCGTGAGTCCGATCGGAGCAGCCGGGCCCGAGGCTGTCGGTCACCGCACTCCCGGCGATTGGCCCGGCGGCACGCACCCTGAGCTCTGCCCTGAGCTCAAGCCTGGCAGTCAGGTGCCTGGCAGTAGTATCCATCTTGAGTGGGGATGCGGTCTAGTTTCTTGAAATTTTTTTGACTCCGGAAATAGAACAGTCGATGCCATGTCTGCAGCGAGACCGTGTGATAGAAGTAGAAGCGCACTCCTGCGAATGTCCCCCATGATGCTGGGAGTCTAGTCAGTGCTCTGTGTTTGCATTGCTCCTTGCACCTCCTAGTTGATACATGTCAATGGAGCATGCTAGTCCGATCAGAGATGATTTCAAGTAGTGTTGCGGTTCCTTGTCTCGATCGCTTGACAGCTTTGTTAGATGTTTCAGGTGTTGCAGACTTTCGCTAACGTTAGAACCACGGAAGATCTCGACTTCGTGAGTTTCTTCCTCTTTGTCATGATGCAAATGTTTGACTATACATAAGTGGCCCAGTGGCAACGACAACGGCTATGCCTTCTACCATCGTGTGGACGGAGTCAATGGTGGAGACATGAACCCTACCCACACCACTGGATTTTCCAAGAAGCAAAACTTCTGGTAGCTGTTGCATTGGATGATTTTTCTTCTGAGATTCTTTCATTGCAGGTACAAGTAAACTTGTAATCTGTACCCCTGTAGGCTGAGAAGAATAAAGCAGTTCTGTATTTGAAATTATCTTGATTGCTGGTTTCTTGAGATGGACTTCATTCTAAACTGTTTTCACGCATCAAATGTATGCTATACGCCCAAACGTGACGCGGCTTGTCTGCAAAAGGTGGTTTAACCATGCGAGAGCTGACGACGTCGTTGTTGCTTGACAGCACCTGAGTGAGGAATGAGAATCCAGCCTTGTTAATGAAGCATACCTGCAGTACGACATCTCCTTGCAGAAAGTGTTGAAGGACTTCTTTGCGAGCCATCTGTTTAGTTCGTTTGCCATTGATGCCTACAAGAATGCTACCAGCCTGTACCATAGTAAAACAATCATTCGCCCTTGATTGCATTACCGGCAGAGTATGCTTCACGTGTTCCGACTGCGCTTCTTCTATTGTGAAGGGATATGATTGTGACAACCTGATCCCAAAAATCTGTCGTAATTCCACTTCGGAGGGATCCTGCTCTTGTTCTGCTTTCTTGGGCTCCTTTCCTGATAATCTTCTGAAGTCTTTCAGAATTGAAGCAAAAGATTTTTGAGGAGAAACGTCAGTTGCGCTATCCTCTGCAGTGTCAACGACGACGCTGTTGTGTGTGAGAGGATGCAGATTCGATCCAGTATGCTCTTGTGCAGACGTTTGCAAGTCTTCTATTTTGTCGCTGGGGTACTTATTGAAATGCTGGTTGACATGCTCCTGTAGAGTGCTGGATGCTCCAAGGTTGTCAAACTTGGTTGGTGTCAGCGACTCGTGACTAGGTAGGATATTGCTGAAATCCTCGCCAGGGCTCTGAAATCCTTGGAATGTGTTATCTTCAGAACAACTGAGACTTCCATCGTCCCTTCCGCTCTCTTTCGAGATTTGGAACTTGCGCTCTAAAGAAGTACAACGATGCTGCAAGTTGCGGAGCCTGGACTCCAATTTTTCGCACTTGGCCTGCACTACTTTGTTAGCTTTGAAGATATGAGAACTATGAAGCTGTACTCGTTCTTCCCACAACATGTCTTCAACCAGACGATGCTGACTCTTGGACTCGATTAGAAGTGAACCAAGGCCTGTCAATATGCCAAGTGTTAGTCTGAAGAAGAGCTTATCAGCAGGTACGTCTGACACTGTTCTCGATTTCCACGTTTCCAGACTGTAAAACGCGGGTAAGCGAGAGTGGAGAAGGTGAAGGATTACATCAGAAATTTGTGGTTTTATGCCGCATGCTATTTCTTGTTCCAAACATGCATCAAATATGTTGGCGGTATCCATGATGTTCTGCAGCAATCATCGGGAAAGAACTTGGATGTTTTGTACTACCAGAGATAAGACGATCTTTCCTATCTCGTTGCCGTCTTGTTGAGATGTTGAGTGATTGGTGACTGCAAATCGTTCGATTTCGGAGAGGATTGAAGAGAACAGGTTCAAATAAACTTGGTCTGCTTCAACCTTGATCTGATTTCGTGCTCGTTCAATCTCGTCATAAGCCTGTACATCAGGTGAATGGCAGAAACTAGAATCGTCAACAACAATGTCTCGGGACCTGCAGACATTCCTCCAGCAAAACACCTTCATCAGCATTACGCTGATTCACGACGGCATGAAACAAGGTCCTCAACAACTCAGTGGATTGCTTCTGTGCCCGATGCATCGCCCTCACGTACTTGATTTCGCTGCTGCTTGACAGGCTGACCTTCTGCTCGCTGTCTGACTGACTCGCTTCCTCTTCCTCTTGCTGTGCTGCTATCAGACAGCCCAGACGAGCAAGCCATCGCGCTTTCTCCGCTGCCATGATCCGTCGGGGAGGGGAAAAAAAAGTCAAAAATTCCTTTCACCCAGACATACACTACCTAGTCTAGGGTTTGGAAGTCTGCCCGAGCGCCTCTCTATCCTACTGAACTAACTGACTCAACTCATGCTAGCTGCATAGTGATGCGCAGAATAGAAACTTTATTGAGGTTACTTGAAGCTCTCAAGAAGAAGGTTGATTCTGTGATCGGGGGGGAAGAGTCGTCGCGAGAGTTCGACAGGTCCTTCTGCCTTCAAGCTTGTCCTCCTCCTGAGTGCACCAGCTGGAGTCAGTTCGACACTTCACAATCATCACTACGACCTGTGCACGCGATCCGGGATGAGCGGAGGTTCTCGCTTCGCACCATTTCTCAGCAGGAGCTCCACGGCATCTGCATGCTCGTTGAGGATCGCCCAGTGTAGCGGCTGTCGATTCCATTTATCGGACGCATCAAGATCCTTGGAGCCTCTTGCCAGCAGCTCTGAGATAGTCTCTAGGTTGCCGCTCCTTGCAGCATAGTGCAGCACAGTCTGCAACGAGTTCAACTTAGCTCGCTTCACACGGCAACAGCATCATGATCCACCTGCTTGTTTGCGTCCTTGCACCTTACGGGAGCGCCCAAGTCCAGCAGGTACTGAGACGATACGTCATGATGCGTCAACAAAAGAGGAACGAACCACCTTGAGCGTCTTGACGCAGTTGGCAGCAGCAAGGTGTAATGGGGTCACGTGTTCCTGGTGAGGTCAACCATGAAATCTAGACGTCGGCAAGCAAGAAGCCAACCGGGTTCACAATGTTGAGAGAAGCGTTTGCCTCGATCAGCGCCTTCACAACCTACAAACGCCTTCACATCGAGGGGAGCGAGAGCTCTCAGGGACCTCGAGGTGTCCAGAAGCTGCCGCAAGATGCAACGGCGAATTCCCGGGATGCTGAGATGACGGGGGGATAATGTGAGATCCCATCCGAAGCTCTGAACGACTCACATGCTTGGTGACGAACCCATCCGGTCTCACTTGCTTGTCTCGGAGCAGAACTTCTGCTAGAAGCCAGCAGCCCTTCTGAGCAATCTTGTTGCAACCGACCAGTCAGATCGGTTGTGTAACGTTGATCTGCCTTACTTTATACAAGCAGTTGATAGATTTCTTTGCTGAGCTTGAAAGCTCCTCCTTCTCTTCCCTACTTTCATATCCTCGGCTCATGTCCCTGCAACGACAGTGAGCAGTTGTACGTCAATGCATGCTCAAGAAAACATTGACTCGATGCTTTCAGCTTCAAACTTTCTCTTCAACATGTTCCCTTCGGCCTCCGACGACGGTAGTACGACGCTTGACGACTAGATCGAGGTCAGTCTTTGCAGAAAGAGAGTGAATAGAAATATTGAAATGCCTGTAGGTGTGAACTATAGTCACGTACAGTCGAATGCTTGAGGAGGAATTTGACAGATAAAGGTCCTTGCACGACCCCGTCAACAGGCCAGTGGAATGGTTTGTTTCCGTCCTACACCGAGATATTCTTCAGACCTGGCAGGATGAATAAGCAACTTACAAGAGAGCCTGTCTGCTCCCATTGAAGGAGACGTTTAGTGACCGCCAGGGCTGCGAGAGAATCGCCTCCAAGAAGGAAGAAATCGTCGTGAGGAGATATTTCTGATTCTTTCAACCCCAAGACGCTCTTCCATACATGCGCAACTTTGCTCTCCATCTCTGTCAGAACCCAGCCATGAGTCGCAGACGTCTGGACAGGCGAGGCCTCGCTAACAAGCTTCCTCAGTGTCACAATGTCGCGCTTTCCTGTCGGCAACACCGGCAGAAGATCTACGAACTTGTAAATCTTGGGACAAAGAGCCTTGGGAAGTATGCGACTACAAAGAGAACGAAGCACATTCTCGACAACATCGTCGTCTTTGAAATCTTTCAGTTCGTCCTTCAGCTGGCATACACAAGACAGAGACGTCTTGGTCTCATCGAGCAAGACAGCGGTGTCAACCACGACCTCGCTTGCTTTGATCGATTCTTCTACCTCTCCCAGTTCTACCCGCATTCCCATCAGCTTCACTTGTGAATCAAGACGACCGATGAACTCCATGTCACTTCCAAGTACACGGAACAGATCTCCTGTCCTGTAGAATCTTGTTTCTTGCGAGTAGAATTTGCTCTCAGTCAACTCAGGTAGTCCAAGATAACCGCGCGATACCTGCTCTCCTCCCACATGCAACTCGCCCGTCTCCCCTTCCTTAGCCTCCTCTCCATCCTCACCGATCACCTTCACCAGAACTCCAGTCAGAGGTCTGCCGATCATCCTCGGGTTGTCTCCGACCTCCATCTTCCTCATCGTCTGGTAGACAGTCGCTTCCGTCGTCCCGTAAACATTCAACAGACAAACACGATCTGCCCACTTCTCCACCAGCTCCCGTGGCATCGCCTCCCCCCCAAGAGCAACGACCTCTAGCTCTGTATACTTGTCTACCGGCTCCTGGATGGTCCGCCATAGGATGGGAGTGCTACACACATGGGTCGCGCCACAGCTCAGGATTGTCTCACCAAAGTCTACCATCAGCTTCGATCGGCTTGAAAGACAGAGCACGTCGCCATGGCACAGAGCAGCGAAGATATCCCCGGAAGAAGGGTCGAAGGTGAAAGCGCTGGCGCACAGAATTCTCTTGCGCTTTTCCTCTCCTCGTTTCCTTGCGCTCTCCGACATCTCAGAGTAGAAAGGGTGGTTCCGGACGTAGGCTAGCGCATTGCGGTGCTCGCACAAGACTCCCTTGGGCCGACCCGTCGAGCCAGATGTGTAGTAGACCCAACAGAGATGATGAGCAGTTACTTGTGTGACTGGCAGATCACAAGTTGCTAGTTGCCTACCAGCTGACATCCCCAACAAGAACCCCGACAGCTCTACTAAGCTCTCCAGGTCCACCGGAAACAGTTCTTTACACGACAAGACTGTCGGTGGTGACATACTCGTTTGACCCCCAGCCTTCAATCCGTCCAAGACTTGGTTGATCTGTTTCAAGTATCAGCACAAACAGCAATCTGAAGAAAGCAGAACCTTGGCAATGTTTTGATCATGACAAACAATCAGTCTCGCCTTGCAATCTTGGATTATGTATTGCAGTCGTCTGTATCAAATCAGTGGGCATTGAACCATCTTGTTGTTGTTCTTTATTCTCACTCATGAGGCAGCTTCGTGTCGAGAGGAACGAAATAGCCTCCTGCCACAAGGATTGCGAGTTGGCTCAGCACCATAGTCAAACCCTCGTCGGCTGTCAGCGCAATAGCATATTCCTGCTGCACTCCATGCTTTGCCAACACCCATGCAGCATGAAGAACCAGCATCTTCACCTGTCAGGTGTGATCACACGTGACGTACATCTGATCGCGAGCTCACATGCTGATAGGAGATGCTGAATCCATCGGCCAGCTCGATCGCGCTGTGTTCGGGGAAGGATTGTGCGGTTGCAAGGAATTCATCTACTAATGTTTGCATTCTTTCAAGCCCCTCTCTTGCTTCAGCCTCCCTCCCTCCCTCCCTCCCTCGCTCTCCCTCCCTCCCCTTTTCGCTCTCAGCACCAAGACTCTTTCATTATCAAGTTCTCGTCCATCTGCTCCCTGAGCCCCGTGAGGGATCCTCCTGCTCCCGCTCCCGCTCCCGCTCCCGCTCCTGCTCCTGATCCTGCTCCTGCTCCTGCTCCTGCTCCTCTCACTTTCTCTTCATCGTCGTCCGCTGTTCCCCTTCGAGCTCGGCATCGATCCGCATGGACCGCTGCCCGACGGCAACAAAAAATTCGGCTCTGCCTGAGATGCGGTTCACCACAAATATGGCCGACCAAAGATGCGACTGCGGAAGTGGGTGTGGGGAGGGAGGGAAGGACGAGGAGGAGAAACAGCACAGAAGGGAAGGAAAGTGAGCGAAAGCAAACTAGAGCGAGGGAGGAGAGGAGGTAGCGGCTGGACTAGCAGGTTCAAGATGGAAGATGGAGGACGGTTGTATGGAATGTGCCAGCGATTTCAAGGATGACCAGAAACTGAGAGAGGATGGAGGGAGATAAGCAGAAACGAGTAGCTCCGAGTGTCAGTCTGAGCGACAGGTATCATAAGATGTAATGGGGTAGTGATAGAACCAACGATCATGAGCAGCGAGCTTCTGTTGATGTCGTAAAATGTGTTTTGGACGAATTTGTGGCGCAAACCCTTCGAATGCTGAGGTTGATTGTTTGTAGGCGCTGCATGTCGGCCAGAGGATGAAGACCAGCGAGTTCCTGCATGATGGCTTCCTTGGCGCCTACAAGATCGTCAAGGTTGCCATGAATACTCGACTCCCACCGTCAAAATCCTCTTGACTTTGCGCTCTTTCAGAAAATCCACGAAGGATCGCATGCCCACGTGTACCAGGCTGAGTCCAAGGCAGGAGACAGGTCTCCACTCATCTCACTTCCTCATGTGCACTCACGAGGCTGCAGCGTGGTGCTAAAGGTCGCAGAAGAGAACGCGGCAGTAAGGGAACGGCAAGGTCAGCTGAACATTGCTTTGCTCGTGATACGACTCATTCTCATAACAGTGCTCTTGGAGTTGAAGAAGAAAGGTAGATGAAGAAGACCCTTCCATCGCCGCCATTCCAACGCTCCTGACACGTGCATGGCCAAGATGTCTCGTGCAATCATTTCGTGCGGCTCCTCGACTACATGATCCATGAAGAAATCCTCCCCTTCCTTGGTATCCTCCCTCATCCTTGTATCCTCGGCTTACTTCTCCATCCTCACATGGCAGGAAGACAAGATGAAGACACAAAGCTGGGCTGGTAAGATAGCTAACTCCATCCTATCACTTTCATCCAACCTGTTGTCAAAAAAATGGCAGCCTGATCCTGGAGTATGCGACGATGTCGTTGGATCGCTGGCTCTTGCAGAAGAATTTCCAGCCTACGTGGGTTGAGGTGATTGGTAGAGAGATAGAGAGAGAGGGTCTAACGAGCTGATTGGAGGTCTTGGATGTCGGTAGCTCCCTTGGGTCCTCTTTACAGGTGAACGAGCCGCTCGTGTGTCAGAGTATTCAGCCTGACATGTCTAATTACATCATTGTTTCAGGAGCTACACTCTCTCGGGCTGATCCACAATGATGTGAAACCTGCTAACTTTCTCCGATCTTCCAGTGGGTAAGAGAGACTGGAGGAGCGATGACTCCTTGTGTGACAAGACCGTTGAAGGCAGTGGAAACTTTGCGACTTTGGGAGCACCACAGAGGACGGCAGCGGTGATTCAAACTCTGCATGGGATCTCATACAAATATCTGAATCTGCTGCTGTGCTTGCAGTGAGGTTCGAAGTCACTTCATCCTACTGTCCGCCAGAGCAGGTAAGAGAGCAAGACCAGGAGGTCTTAGTTGTTGTGATGCTGCAGCGACATCAGGCGAAGAGTATCCTAAACAGCGAGATCGTCCTGGCCTCGCAAGATTCAGATGTCTGGGCGTTCGGGAAGATACTTTATGAGATGGTTTCCCAGCTCGATCCTGCCAAGACAAACTCAGAGGAGGTGGCAGGTCAGCGGGCAGCCCGACATCCTCGTGGATGACTCGAGACCTGACGTGATGGAGGTCATGGCACTCCTGACGCAAACGTGGTTGTGCTGAGAACTATTGCAGGTCATCGCTCAGCTGGAGTCAGATGTCGTACAGGATGACAAGATTCGCTTCCCCGGTTGAAGCAGGAGAAGGCTTTGACCTGTGCATCTCACTCTACTGTGCAGCCCTGCGGTCTGTCTTGCGCTCCGCGTTGCAGCTTTCACCTCCAAGGATGAGGTTTGGACGTCAGGGGGCCTCTGACATCTCTGAGATGACAACAGCATGGCGACCATCATGTCCAAGGGTGTCTGGTCGGGGCTTGCTACCATGACGGTGAGCGAGAAGGACGACGATCACTCAGTGCGCTCGAGCGAGACAAGAGAGCCTGGTAGTCAACGTTTGACAGGTTACTACGAAGACGCATGTCCAGCTTCGTATGGCGATCTCGGAGGTGAGAATCAGCGGGCGGGAGGGCGAAAGCAAAGTTACGCTGACTAGCGCATGTGCAGCTCATCGACTCTGAGAGGGAGTACTGCCTACGTTTGACGAGAGTGGTGGAGGTGAGAAAGGAGATGTGAACGCATGTTCTCTGAGCAAGCTTGCCAGCATGTGGTCGTTCCGCTCAGGAAACAAGTGAGACTAGAAGTCCACATATCTTCTCTCATCCTCTCCTGTTGCCAGTTGAAAGAAGGCGTCCAGCCAGACTTGGATTCTGATCAGATGCGAATGCTTTTCGATCTTGCGATCCTCCTCAGGAACAACGAGTTCTTCTTGGAGCAGGTGGACTTACCTATCCTAATTTACCATTACCGCCACAAAGTCCACTCCTCCTACTACTACTGCTTCTACTCCTACTCCTCCTCCTCCTTCTACTTGTCCAAACCAGTCTCACAGTCTCCGCAGCTGGAGAAGGGTTGCACCAAGGAGGGTCCGAGCTGTCTTGGAGCAATCATGCGCAAGTTTGCCTCGACGTTGTTGAGAAATTACGAAGTTGGACGATCTAATTGGTTTCAGAGAAGGATGACGATCGTGAGCAGGATTATGTGACGAAGTATCTCGAAGGATACAGCAACCTGCAGGTCAGGAGGGGAGGACTTTGAGACCGAGTACTTCAAGTGTTGATACTGGCGCAGGACCTTGCAAGGAACAGCAAGACGTTGAGAGCTTGTTTGCCTTGCATCTCTTGACTTGTTTTCAGATTCCGTGACTGCATCCAGAGCGGATTAGGAGCAGATTCTCAAGTGAGGAGGGCGAGGAAGGGAAGGGAAGGGAGGGAGGACACTATTTTGAGGAAGGGAGCGAGGAGCAATTGGAAGCTGGAGATAGGAGGGGGCAAGCTGAGATCTTGGCAGGCGTTGGATGCATACCTGATCATGCCTGTTCAACGGCTGATGCGATACCCCCTGCTGCTCGGTCACATCCTTGAGTTCACGTCAGATCGGAAGTAAGTGAAGTGAGGATATGGAAAGGAGAAGGACGAGGTGGGCGAGGTTGATTACAATAGAATAGGAAGATAACCAACAGGAGCAGATACTTTTCATTCTTGTGCATTTTTACCTGACTTGCATATCAGTGCGTTCGATGACCTACAGCTTGCTCTTGCCGCGGTCTGGCAAACATGGGAAGACAGGGAAGAGAAGGGATCTGATGAGGGTGTAGGTGAACGATACCGTAGATGCAATCAACGAGTCAACTCCGCCGACTGACATTGCAAACGGTGAAAGACAGTTCAACGTCGTCGTTTACATTGCGAATACCAAAAAAACTCCCAGCACTTGCTCTCCCCATCTTCGATTTCCATCATCATCATCATCATTACCACCACCTTCAGCCTCTACCACTTGCTATCAGTACAGCAAACCCTTCCATTCTCTTTATCTCCATCTTCTCAAAACATACGATTTGCCACCGAACTTGCTGAAGGTGACAGGGGATGCAGGGCCGAACAGCATTACTCAGACCTTCAAGATGTTTAAGAGGAAAGGCTTCTTTGCCCATCCTGTCGTGCAGACGGGGACGATCGTCCTAGTCTTAGCAGGTAGCGCACCCCACCCTCTGCCTCCTCCTCTTGTCGATCTGAGAATTTTTCAAGGAATATCTGCAGTGGTTGTGTTAACAAAAGCGAAGAATCAGATTCGTCTCCAGGTGTTCGCGTCTTTCGCTTCCCTGCGCTGTCTCATGCATGCCTCAGGAGCTTCAACTCGCACATGCAACCGAGAAGCTGCGGGCAGAGCAAGCGATGGCTGCAGCAGAAGTTGCAAGAGCGCAAGCGGAAGCAAGCAGGGAAGCGACCAAGGTGATGAGAGCGAAGAGAGCAATGACCCACGAGGAACACCAGGAGGGTGCATGAGAACAAGGGGGTGGATAACAACGTTGAGGAGGAGGAGAAGGAGGAGGTTGGGGGGAGGGGGAGGGAAGGGGGGAGGGAGGAGCAGGAGCAGGAGCAGGAGCAGGAGGTTCAAGAAGCGCGAGTGACGATTCAAAGGATGAGATGGAAGCCAAGGCTGTATTCCGTGCTGATGTTGTTTCTCCAGATTCACATAGTGTGGGGCCTTGCGACTGCTGCAACCACAGCTCTGCTATTCCTGTCAGGTAAGGCGCGAGCTCGGGAGTTAAAGTTTGTGTGCGGGGGAGGAGAAACTCTGGATGTGACAGATGCTAAGGAATATGCAGATGTCCGCACGAAACAAAACATCCGCTACATGAGAAGGTCGGCGCGAGGGGTCAAGATCTACAGGTGCAGAGAGGAGGAGGGGAAGAGGACTCTGAAGCAGACAAGGTACTCCTACTGTTGGGACCCGACGCAAGAGTACGAGGGCGTCATGGCACAAGTAATTGAAAAGGGGGAGGGGAGGAGGACGAGGACGAGGACGAGGACGAGGACGAGGACGAGGGAAGGGGGAGAACGCTTGGGAGAGAATGAGGATTGAAGATGCTGAGGAGTAAGCTGATTACAAACAGGATCTTCTTCAGTCAAACATATACAAGCATGCAGTCTACACTTTGCCATGGTGAGCACTTTTGCTCTGCCTTGCGTATCGCTGGCAACTGAATTCTGTTTCCTCTCCACCACTCAGTGGCCACTATGCAGTCGACTACAGGTGAGCAAGCGTTTCGGTTGACCTCCCTAACTCCTGTAGCTCAATCGATGTGGAGCTCAAGATCATCCGGGAAGGAGGGGGAGGTAGAGGAAGCTACGTCGAAACGGTTTCTTCCGACTGCAACTCAGGTTCCTCCTCTAGTTCTCTCCTCGGCCTCCCCTGACGAAGTTGCGACCTCGCCTCCCTCGTCAGCCTCCTGAGACCCTCCTGGAGTAGCTGGTGAGGTGACAGCATGACAAGCCTCCATCACTGACGAGTCGAAGGACAAGGAGGGGAAACGAGAGAAGGGGGAGGAAGACGAGAAAGGGGGGGGGAGGGAGTCCAAGGAGTACCTGGATGAGGATGCTGTTCTTTGCGATCTGTCGCTTAACGATCTCTAAGTCACAGAAAGCGTTTTCAAAGCGATTAGCTAGCCATGCGTACAACTCGAGGATGACGTGCGTCTCTTCCGCCTGCCACGAGGAATGAGGGGGAGGAGGGAGGAGGGAGGAGGGAGGAGGAGGTCAACCTCTCGCAGTTTGAACATGGTGTCGGGGATCCTGTTGTTGAACGTGGCGACCTGCGAGATCCTCACGAGTCTCTTCTCAGAGTACATGCGCGCCATCTCGTAGAATGCTGCTCTCCGTCGATCCTCCTTGCTGAGATCGATCGGAGCCAAACAGAAGGAGAACCGATCCGTGAGGGGCATCTTGACAGACTCAATCGTCTTTGCGAGGTCCTGCAGCCAAAGTCAACCAACTCCTCCGTCTCTTGCCTACTCACCCGCAACTCGTCGATGGTCGTCCCGAGAAAGAAGCTGCTTTCTGTCTGGTGAAAGTCCTTGAAGAGCTGCAGGGCCGTGTCGAGCGATAGCGAGTCTTCTCCCTCCTCCCGCGGCCACACGTGCCGGATGGAGTGAACGAAATCCTCGAGCATGACGATCTCCGGGCGGAGGCAAGCCTTCGCGATCTGAGGGAGCTCCGTCTTGAAACTTCGCTTCAGCAGCGGGAGGTCTTTGTTGTGCAAGCTCGTCACAATCCCTTCCACTGTGTTGGTCCCGAACCTTCCTGCTCGTCCTCCGATCTGCCGGATCTCTGAAGCTGTCAAGAGCCTTTCCTCTTGCCCGTCAAACTTGCGCAGGGAGCTGAAAACAACCCGCGAGATCTCCAGATTCAGCCCCATCCCGATGGCATCCGAGGCCACAAGCACGTCGAAGCTTTGACCGTTAGGAAACGAACCCCTCTCGTTGAACAGCTTCGCTTGTTCCTGCCGAGTCAGAGGAGGCAGCGAGCCGTACACGACGCAGCAGCGGAATGGAGTCTTCGCCTCAATGTCGCGCTTCAGCTGATGAATCTTTGACCTCCCAAACGCTACAATACAATCCCCTCGTTGAATGTTGCGAAGGCTGCCCTCCAAAGAATGGTTGGCGACCGATAGCGACGACAGTCTCTCGTACTCCTTCACTTCCAGCTCATCCTCACAGAGGTCACACAGCTTCGTGATCAGCTCTTGTGCCCGTGGCTCGCCGCACAGGTGGATCTCAGCAGCAGGAAGTCCCAGCAATGCTCGCGTCCACGCCCATCCTCGATCGTTGCTCTCGAGCATCTGAACTTCGTCGATGACCGCCACGTCGATCACCTTGTCAAGGTCCGCCATCTCAACAGTCGACGAGGTATGGTTTGCCTTGGGGTCGAACACTTTCTCCTGCCCTGTCATCAAGCTACATCGCACCGGCTTCCTGCAGGAAGCGTCAGCCTTGCAGGTAAGGCCGGCTGGGCATGGACCCGTTCACTGCTCCTGTTTTCAGCTTGTCATACACCTCCCATGCCAGCAGCCTCAGGGGCCCGCAATATCTCCCCGACTCTACGGACTGCCACGACAAGTCACTCACTGCTCTCCCGCAGCTCTCCCCGTAGAGTCTCTTACCGCCAGCCTCTGCAGAGCTTCGAACGTTTTCCCGCTATTAGTTGGCCCTATGTGCAGGACCCACCTAGTGGAGGACATCAACGACTCGGATTGTCCCGGTCTCATACCTTCGCTTCATCTTCCTCGCAAGGGGATACCACAGGTGAGGAGATCGCAAGTCCGTCAGCACCCTCAGCTCACTCGCCATGGAGCTGAAACTCCTTGCAGGCACAACCCCTTTGCTCGTCCATTGACCCACCATCGCCAGACCTCGAGCTCCGAGCTTAAAGATCGTCATATTGCACTTGATTCGTGATCTATCCCGGTGCTTCTTCCTCGCCTTTCGAGCTGGGGTTCACTGTAATTCTCGGTGTTTCATAGCATCGCCTCTATCCTTGTACCTGCGATCTCGATTATTACTTTATTCTCTCTTGCGAATATGGGCTATTTCGAGAATTATCTGCTTCTCTTGTATGGTCCGTACTGTCGTTCCTCTATGTTTCGCTTTCTTCCTTCGTCCCACTGTTCTTCCTTATTACGTTTCTTCCTTCGTCCCACTGTTCTTCCTTATCACTAGAAACCCAACCAACCAACCAACCAACCAATTCTAAAAAAACAACCAACAAGCAAACAAACTACTCGCTCTGCTCTCTTCTTTCCTTCAGATCTCCTCTCTTCTCCTCTTGTGTACCCTCCATTGTTTCCTCCTCTCCGCTCCTCTCTCCTCTGACCTGCAGTCTCTTTAATACATGGGTGCGCGTGTTAGGGTGTAAGGAACCGCAGAAGATGGTAGACCCTTTCCAAAACTTTACTCAAAGTTAAGCTAAAAATCAGGGACTTCCATGCCGGGTCCCTGACCGCCCCTGGCCGGGCCCGGGCAGGTACCTCTTTGCTGCTGGAGAGTTTTTGAAAATGTACCTTTTCATTTGAATAAATGAATGAAAGTTTCGAGGGTAACATATCTCAAAGAAGAGGTGCTAACGCTGATTGAAATATTTCAAATATGTAATCAAAAAATGAAACTTCAATTGCATGTAGTTGAAATCAAAGTACCTTTACAACCAGGATATGCTCGCACAGGTACTGCAGGGAGTTCATGGGGGAGAAAGCGGGAGGGGGAGAGGAGGAGGCAGAAACAATGTAGATAGAGGATAGATTATGAGAGAGACATTAGATCGATGATGAAGTCGATAGCGAGCATCGTGTTGACAACAAGGAGTGAAGGAGTGAAGGGCTGCGGTGCAGCGGGAAAAGTATGAAATCGTTGTGAAGGGTCGAAAGCTGGTTGTCTTCACTGAGGATCGATTCAGTTAGATGTTCAACAGCATTGAGAACTTTAGAAGCGACATTCCATCATACGTCAGCTGTCTCTGATGGCTTTCACCAGGATGGACAGGTCCAGCGCTGTTTGAGGTTGAGGTGTCGGAGTCTTCGTGGTTGTCGGATGAACTGATAGGAACCTCAACACGATCAAGCATGTCATCAGAACGAGACAAGCGCCGCAAGGGCATGCTCTCGCTGACAAGCTACTCCAGCTCATGTCCGTCAATCACGTTGCAGGAGGTCTTCAGCCCGGAGCAGCACGAGGGTGGGCATGTCAGCAGACGGGATTGCGTCCTCATGTGCTTTGACGAGAGCAAGATGAGCCAGAACAAGGCCAGCCCAACTACGAGGATGTCTACAGGAGTTGTTAGCTCCGAAGACACGGACATCGTTCCTCCTCGTCCTGTCTCCCTGTTCATCCCCCGTACCACCTCACTCGCTCGACCGTCCTCGTTTCCTGTGAACGTAGTGAGAAACAAACATCTGCCAACGCATCTCGGTCATTCGGAGCTCGAGCAGATCAGGGAAGAGAAGTCAAAGCTTGACAAAGACAACACTAAGCCTTCCTCGGCTTACGCTCATCGGCTCGATAAGAATCGCCCGAGTATTCGCATGAAGCCTTGGGAGTCCTCCTTCTCTCGATCTCAGAAGCGACTCTCACCCGGACATGCTCGGATCGAGTGGGGGGTAGAAGTCATCATCTCCCCCTCCAGCCTTTTTCCCTCCGTCCATCAGTCTCCTGTTCACAAGTCTCCCGCTTACCTGCCCAGCAAGACGAGCTCCCGCGCCCGGTGGAGGAAAGCGATCTGGTATAGCATACAGGAAGCGAAGAAACGAAGATCGATCGCAAGCACGGGGAATGCAGATGATGCCGCTCAAGGGACTCAGAACGGAACTCTGACGGGCAACTCGATCAACTTCAACGGAGAGAACGAATCGGTGGGTATGAGCGAGATGACATTTCGGAATGTGCTTTTCCTCCTTGTCTGCTTTCTGTCTTCACTCGCGATGTTCTACCTTGTCTTCTTTCTTGAGCTACATGTCAACTCTCAAGGGAAGTTGCCCAGCCTCTCCGACGCGAAAGGCACGGCGACAGCATGTTTGATCTGCTTCGGTCTTGAGAGTGTCTATCGATGGTTCCTTCAGAGCTGGTATCGAAATTCGTTCTTCTTCCTTGTGGACTTTCTCTCCTTCCTCTTCCTCGTCCCCAAGATTCTCTCGATGAGAGTATACGATATCCGAGAGGACGGCAACCAGTATATCAGGTTGCTCGTCATCGCCAGGATGTGGCGCATTGCCCAAGCTGGGGCCCAGCTGGCAAGGAGGATGCATGCAGCGACTTCGTTGAAGGAATGTTACTGGTGGAGTGAGGCGCTCCTCTGCTTCTCGTGCTCCTCCAGGCTCGCGCTCGACCAGACCCTGGACGGAGGGATCGTGAGGAGGTGTTTCCTGGTTGTAGCCTCCTTCATCTCCCTCATATGGCTGGAGATGTATCTCTTTCCTAACATGATGTCCAACGTCAACTCGGACGCTGCGATCCTCTCCAACGCGTTTGTGCACTTGGCGGGGAAGAATGCGAGAGCCGTGGGGTTTGAGCCGGTGCTGCACTCGTTCCTGGGGAAGTACAAGGAGATGGGGACGCCTGTGGTGTTCCTGGAGGTTGCGGGAGTGACGCTTGTCAATGAAGGAGGAGCAAGCGAGGCGTGCAAGCTCCGTCCGGGCTTCCGCGAACTGAGTGTCGGGGAAGATTTCATCATCGCGTTCGACGAGGAGCAGCAATCTAAGCTTCACATTCACTTTCGTATCTTTTCCTCCCTCTTCCTCGCCTTCGTTCTCTTCTGGTCCTCCTGGTCGATCTCCTCCTACGTCCTTCTGCAGGTCGTCTACCCCCTGGACATGATCGCCAACGAGGTCGCTGCCATCGCCGAGGAGCCAATGAAGACGCTCAGGTTCGAGTTCCGCGACCACCCGCACCTTCGCAAGGTCGAGCAGGGGCTGCTGTGCCTTGCCAAGCTTCTGCAGCTGGGCTTCGGGGAGGCAGGAGCGCGCGTGATCTCCCGTTGCCTGAGGAACGGCATCGTCGCTCTTGACACGCACAGCCCTGGCGTGATTGTGCATGCCTTCTTCGGCTTCTGCGACATCCGGAACTTCACGGACCTCACAGAAGTGCTGCAGGCAGATGTGGTTCAAGTCGTTAACGGGGTGGGAAAGATCGTGCATGATAGCGTCAACAAGTGCCACGGGGCCCCAAACAAGAACATCGGAGATGCTTTCCTGGTCCTCCCTCTTTCTCGCAGCTTTCTAGCCTCCTCATCTCTCGTGCTCGTCTTGCAGCTCACGCATGCCTGTTTCCACATGCTCCTCAACCCCCAGCACTCCTTCCTCTCTCCTGCTGTTTCTCCTCCTCTCTCGCTGCTCCCTTGCCACTCTCGTCTTCTGATCATTTACGAGCAGCTTGTTTGGAAGCCCAAGGGAGAGCTCGACATTCAGGAGGTGGCTGACGGAGCTCTGCGGTCGTACATCGAAGCCATCTGCGAGATCGCACGGGACAAGAAGATCATCGCGCAGACGAGCAAGGAGGCGGTGCAGCGACGGATCCCGGGCTATCAGCTCCGCCTCGGGTTCGGCCTGCACTACGGGTGAGTGACGTGTCACCTCCTTGCTCGTCTTGACTGCTACGATGCAGCTGGGCGATCGAGTGCGCCATCGGGTCTCAGCACAAGGTGGACGTCTCATACCTGAGCCCGCACGTGAACATCGCCTCGCGGCTGGAAGCAGCGTCGAAGCAGTACGGGGTGAGCATCCTCCTGTCGGGCGACGTCTTCGAGCTCCTCTCGCCTCGCGTGCAGAGGCTGTGCAGGATGGTCGACCGGGTGACGGTGAAGGGAAGCAACTCGCCCATCTCCCTCTACACCTTCGACAGACCCTTCTTCCGCAGCGAGAACGGCGAGCTGCCTGACGACATCGACCTGGCGGCGCTCGAGACCGAAGAGGCGTTCTTCAGCGTTGTCGCTCCTTCCACCTCCCTCAGCTTCCGTCAAGAGTTTGCACGGGCTCTGCGGCTGTACCTGGGAGGGGAGGATGGGAGCCAGCGGAACTGGAAGAGCGCGCTGACGGCGCTGTCAATGTGCCTTGAGATGAAGCCGGACGATGGTCCGACGAGGAACTTGATGAGCTTCATCGAGGGTGAGATGATCAACCCGACAGCTGAGAGGTGGAAGGGATACCGAGTGCTCGACTCCAAGTGAAGGCAGAGAGAAGCAAAGAGGAGAGGAGAGGAGAAACTTTCGTATATTGACCTTTCATACCCCATCAAGACGGCGGGCAGAAGGAACTTGTACAGTCAAAGGAGGGAGGCATGGAGGAGCAGGAAGGAGAAATTACGACAGGAGAAAGGATTCATCATTAAAGCTTCTAATCACTGCGCGTGTCCTCTCTTGTCCTCCTTGCTATCCCATCCTTATCTGCTCCCAAACCGATGAGGAAAATCTGCCTCCGTTAGCTGCCGAGGAGCTACCTCCTTCTGCTCGCCATTCCCTGGCGGCGGCATCATGGAGGGAGGGGGATACGGAGGAGGATGAGAAGGGGGGAACGGGGGAGGATGAGAAGGAGGATACGGCGGAGGGGGCATGCGCGCGCTGCTGTTGTAGTCTGGAGGTGGTTGGCCGTAGAAGCTGCGAGGGGGGGGGACAGGAGGGTTCGAGCCGTCATAGGTAGGAGGCAGTTGACGCTTCGGAGGAAGGTTGCGCGAGACATTGAACTCCCGCAGCCTCCGCTGAGCTGCATCCTTTTCCTCCTCCCTGCCGTGTGCGGATGAGTGGCGCATGAGAGCAGGCGATTGAGAAGGGCAGGGTGAAACGATGTCAAGGCAAGGGACGAGCAAGGAGTAGGAGCAGGAGCAGGAGCAGGAGCAGGCGCAGGCGCAGGAGCAGGAGCAGGAGCAGGAGCAGGAGCAGGAGCAGAAGCAGAAGCAGAGGAGCAGGAGCAGAAGCAGAAGCAGAAGCAGAAGCAGGAGCAGGAGCAGGAGCAGGAGCAGGAGCAGGAGCAGGAGCAGGAGCAGGAGCAGGAGCAGGAGCAGGAGCAGGAGCAGGGAGGGGGTAGGGACCTCAGGCGCTGGTTGTGGTCCATCACAGACTCAACAATGATATTGAGCGCTGCTGTGTTGGGCTTCAAGTTGGTCCTCTCCGAGTTCACCCCCAGCACATCCGCCAGGAATACTTCAGCTGAAGCCGTGAGCTGGGAAGCAAGAGGAGAGGGTGAGAGGCGAGGAGATGAAAGAGCCCTTCATCACCTTGCTTGAGACCTTGGAGGAAGAGGACGCGTTTGCGGAGTGATTCTCGATGCCTTGGCTGCTGCCTGATGAGGTACAGGAAGTCAACATGGAAGCTTCGGAGCAAGACAAGGTTGCCTGTTTCCTTCCTGGCTGCTCTTCGTTTCTCCCTCCTCACCCTGCGTTCTGCCCTCCTCCTCCTCTTCTCGATCTCTTCAAAACTGCATGAGGGTCAGACAAAGGGCCTGTCCGGACTCTCTCTGCACACCTCAACGGGTCGTCGGGTACTTTGACACGGAAGAACACAGAAATTTCGCACTTTCCACTTGATAAACAAAGTCAAAGGAGAGCAGCTGATGCTTGGTTCTCACATGATAAGCTTGTCTCCTCCTGACAATACTTTCCAATCGCTCGCCACCTGGGATATGGTCAATCAGACCTTCACTTGCTCCTCACTCTCTCTACCTTTTCTGGGCTCAACCGAGTGCCGTTCAACACAGTTCCGTTCAAGCTGAGAAACTCCTCACTTACCATCGAAGCACAAGAGGAGAGAAGGAGCAGACCTTCCAAGGTCTTTGATGGAGTAGACTCCTCCTTCACACCGAATCTCTGCATGCTTGCGAGACACATCCTGAAGGCCCATCAACCGCCCACGAGGCGTTAGACACAAAAACCTGGTCAGGAAGCTGCAACTCTTTCAAAACCTTGTGATGAAGTGCCTTCGAAACAGTCAGCCTACATGAAACCCCTTCCTCCTGCTGCCCTTCCCTGTTCCCTCCTCTGCTCCCGTTCAGCCTCCTCCTCCTCCTCCTCCTCCTCCTCCTCCTTACAGAAATGCCCGAGGGCTTTCTGATGACCGTCACTCCCTCTGTGGGGATCTCGAAGCGTTCTCCCTTGCAAGGTCCCTCTGCTTCCCTGTAAGCAAGCAGCTGCTGATGCCGAGTCTCACCAATCATCTCCAACACGAGCAGGACAGGGAGTCCCCGAGGGTTGTGGACGCTGTTGGACGGAGCTGCACACGAGTCAGCTAGGGCGAGGGCAGTCAAGATGTCACCTTGGTCGGCGACTCCTTCCGCCATGGTACTTCTGCGATCAACAGAGAACATGTCATGCACGTCACTGCCCATCAAGAGTGCTACTTGCCTGAGGGCGAAAGCAGATTGAAACGCGTCGAACCATAACTTTGCATCCTGTGACGAGCTTGAGGACCAGACAAGAAAGTCCCAAGAAGGTGGTACAGCTTCACAGGCAGCACTGAGGAGGAGGGATCGTCCATTCGATGATACTAGCCTCAGTCTAGACCTGCAGGAGTTTCGTCATAGCAAGAAGACTCCTTAACAGGACCTTACTTTGACCCTTTGTCATCTTCTTCGAAATCTGCTTTTCCACCGCCAACGTCAAGAATAAGACGAGGTTTCTGGTCGGACAAGTCAGATGGCAAGCTGCTGGAACCGAAATCATCACCGTCGCAGCGCTCCCCTTGTAACAGAGGAAGAGTGCCCTTCGGAGCACGAACCAACGCTTCCTCGAACTATCATCGCTCAGCCTTGCTTTCTCGCGATTGATCATGACGAATACCTCGGATTTTCTCCCGTGCTTCCATGCTTATGCAAGTATCCCTGATAAACCTGACAACTGCATCAGTGCTATTCCTCCGCTCTTGTGCATCTTCTCCTCACCTGTCGCTTTCGCTTCTTGGTTGTATCTTCGCTCCCTTGCATCTTGCTCAGCCCTCGTCCTATCGAATCATTGTAACGGACTTCAAGTCTTCCAGTAACGGAAAATTAGGGTAGCAGCTCAGTGAGTGGGGATCGGAACTTGGAAGGCTGCGGGCCCCGGGCCATGGAGTTGACCGACTACAGAGACTTTTACTCATCTCGTCTCACCTCCTCTACCCCCAACTTTCAGTCGATTCCCCGGGCAAACAACCCCGGTCCCTGTTCCCAGCAAAGCTTGACTGGAGATGCGCGAGGGCAGCGATGGGGGCGGGATGAACCCTATGGCGGCAGAGTTTGTGAGCTGCGAGAACAGAGGACGAGGAAACCATGAACATCAGAGCAGCATAGCACATACTGAGAACATCTTGGCCCCAACAACCCCCCATCCTAACTCGTTGAAGAGCCCCCTTGCAACCATTCAAAATGCTAGTACCTTCGTTGAGGCGCTGCTCCTGTTGAAGGAAAAGACCTGGTGTCTCAAATGGCTGACAGGTGGAGATGGGAGGCAGCGCCTGGAAGAAATCTTTTATTCGAAGAAGGTGGTATGGTCCGCGCATCCCATGTCACTGCTAAGAGAAATGTGCTCCATGAAAGAAGTGTTGTTGCCCCTGATGAAGTGCTGTCAGTGCCTCATCACAACCTTTCCTCATCTCAGTGGTGAGGCGCATGTGCTCACAACCATCCTCAATGTCAACGCTCAGTTCATCGATAGCTTGCTGGACCTGATCTCAGATGAAAGCCAGTGTATCTGGTCGCGACTGGACATGGAGGAACTGCAAGCAGTTGGTTTCTTTGCAGGGAAGCTGCTTGTGATCCTTCCCGGACAACCAAGACACAAAAAGTATCTCCATCTTGTAGAGAAACTCGAGCACAGACTTATGCAACTGACCGTTAATTCAAGGCAGCATGAAGTGTCGATAATGTTGAACGCGTTGAGAGCAGTGATGCAGAGGCATGGTTTTTCTGAATCGCTGCCCGTGAGAGCGAGCAAACCATCAAGCACGCGCTCTTCTCGTCTGCTTCCATTCCGGTTGCCAGGAGAGCTCAATGAGACAGGAAGGAGGCATGACAACGACTTTGAGGACATTGCCAACATTAGCATCGTCCCAACTCCCCAGGAGCTGCTGGCAGACCAGCTGCCATGCCTGCCGCAGAACAAGGCAGAGGCTCCGCATCACCTTCCTCATGACTCTATCCAGAGACTGGTCGACGTTCACTTTCGCTTGTTTCGGCATGACTCCATCGCGAACCTGACCGAACTAGTGCGGCACATGTCCAAGCACACACCACGAATTGCTGAGCTGCTCAACAAAGACATCGGAAGCGACAAGCACAAGATAGTCGTGGAAGGAAGCTCAACTTTCCATTCTGTCTTCATTTTCAGAAATGTTCGCTTCCTGGACATTGCCTTCAACAGATTTTCTGGATTGGTTCATCGATATGAGATGGATCAGCTGTCATCATTTAAGAAGGCAACACAAGACGCGATGGAGAAGGAATGGAAATCTGGAAAGATACAAGCTCTTCAGAAGGATGATGTTGTACTTCTTGTGCGTGTGAGCAAGCTGCTTACTGAAGACTTCAGTGAATGCATAGGGCTAGGAACTGTCACTTGCGCAACTCCCAAGCATAACAAGAAGGCTGAGGGCAACCGAATGGAAATAGAGCTCAAACTTCAAGAGCTCCAACACAATGTCCGGGAATTCACTCGTAGTGAAGAGAAATATTGCATCATCGATCCTAGGTGCGGGTTTTTTAGCTTTTACAACGTTCTCAAGACTTTGCAAGCAATCCGATATGATAACATCTCGCCTGTGCTGGCTCAGCTTGCCTTGACCTCTCAACCGCTCCAGTCTGAGTTCCCCAGGAACCTCGAGGGGGTAGTCTGGAACTTTGAGTGTCTGTTCAAGCCTGACCTTGACGGCCCATGTAGAGATGAAGCTGAGGCCTTGCTTGGAGCAGTGAGCTCGGAGCATCTGAAGGACGAGGAGATCAAAAACGAGGTGATCGCGACGCTGCAGGACGTGAGCTACTTGGATGCAGAGCAAGCGAGCGCGCTCGTGCATTCCCTCACTCGATCCTTGGCCATCACACAAGGGCCGCCAGGTGAGTCGAGCAGCGCATGAGGCAGCTGTCCTGACTTGAGCTGTCCTGACTCTGGCAGGAACCGGGAAAACGTTCCTCGGCATCGGTATGGTGAAGCTGCTGATTGCCAACCAAGTGATAGGCCCCGGACACCCTCTGCTGTGCATCTGCTACACCAACCACGCGCTAGATCAGTTCCTCGAGCACCTCCTGGATGAGCTCCCCAGCCTCGACCTCGTGCGCCTCGGGACGCGGACGCGATCAGCGAGACTGTCTGGCTACTCGCTGAACGACCTCAGAGAAAGGATACTGGAGCACTCGCGATGGGCCACTAGGTCTGAGTACTGCCGCATCATGAAAGGAATTAATCACTTGGAGAAGAAGATTGAAAAACATACCAATGTCATCAAGAGTAATCCAAAACCAAGTTGGAAGCTAATCAAAAATTTCCTTGAAGATGATTTTCCAACCATCTGGCAAGACTTGGTCAACGCAGAAATATTCTTGTACGATTCGGAATTTGTCTTTACAGATAGAAATGACATCTTTGAGTTATGGATCAAGCCTTATACTTACCCCCGAAGAAGCAAACAGGTACCAAGCAAATTCTCAAATCGGTTCGATCGGTTGAAATACAGAAACGATAAGGACGGAACAAGTGGAAACGCGCTGAAGACCATCAGGCAAGAATTGGATTCAGACAAAGAGACAGAGACTATGCTTCAGCAGATTCTATACCTGCCAGAGAAGCCGGTGAACATTGCAATTGGCGACATGGATGAAATCCCGGAGATTCATGACATCTGGGCTCTTTCACTGCGATCGAGACAGCTAATTGCGAGACTCATCCAGGATAAATTCAGAGCAACGCAGCATCAAACGCTGCTCTCTCTGTATTCTCGTCTACACAACTTTTACGAACAGAAGCAGCAGTTGCAACGAGCACAACAAGTCAGTTACCTTCAGCAGAACTGCACCATCCTCGGTTGCACAGTGACAGGGCTCAACATGTTCAAAGATCTCATCAACGGGCTGCAGAGTGAAGTTGTCCTCATCGAGGCAGGAGATGCTTGTGTTTCTTTGAGTTTGACTGACTTGCCCCACGGCAGGAGGCAGCGGAGATCCTCGAGGCCCAGACGCTCTCGCTCATCGGCAGCTCCATCCAGCATGCCATCTCCATCGGGGACCACAAGCAGCTGCGTCCTAAAGTGAACTGCCACAAGCTGACGGTGCAGTCCGAGGAAGGATATGACATAGACCGATCGCTCTTCGAGCGGCTCGTCGAAGATCGCGAGGCCGTGACATGTGTGCTCCGACGGCAGTACCGCATGCGTCCTGAAATCTCCGACCTGATCCGGCAGACTATCTACCCTGAGCTCCTTGACGCCGACAAGGTCCTGCACTACCCGCCTGTGAGCGGCATGACGTCGCCTGTGTTCTTCTGGAACCACCGAGTGCCTGAGGACGGGAGAAAAGACTCGTCGATGAGATACCAGACGCATGAGGGCTCCAAGACCAACTCTTACGAAGTCGCTTGCGTCGTTGCGCTCATCCGCTACCTGTTGGCGCAGGGATTCACAGCAGACCGCATCACCGTGCTCACGGGATACTTGGGTCAGAGCGTGCTGATCAAGAAGGAACTTGTTAAGTCCTCCTTCGCGGCGTTCCTCGGAGAGGAGGATAGCCAAGAGGCAGAGCTGATGATGCAAGGGTCCGAGCAGGAGGAGGGAGGGCCCCAAGGTACTGGGGCGGATGTCTCAGGAGGCGGCATACGGGTGGCAACCATTGACAACTATCAGGGAGAGGAGAACGACATCATGATCTTGAGCCTGGTTCGCTCTAACCCCAAGAGAGGTTCAGGCTTCATGAAGGTCGAGAATCGAGTCAACGTGCTCCTGTCCCGCGCCAAGCACGGCATGTACCTGATCGGCAACAAACACACACTCATGCACGATGATCGCATGTGGACTAGGGTGATAGAGCTCTTGTCAAGCAGAGGTTGCGTGGGAGACGGGATTCCTATTGTCTGTCAGAAACACCCGCAAGACATGCGGCTCTGCAAGCAGCCCCAGGACTTCCTCCAGCTCGCACGAGATGGCGGCTGCTCGCGGCTCTGCGAAGCTCTGCTGGACTGTGGGCACGTGTGCCCTCGGTCGTGCCATCCTGGCGGACATCAAGGGTTTCAGTGCCGCCAGCCTTGCTCGAGGAGGCCACGAGGGTGTCAGTTCCAGCACAGCTGCAAGAAGCTCTGCTTCCAAGATTGCGGCAAGTGCTCGGAGGTGATAAAGGACGTGTTGCTGCATTGCGGTCACTCCAACTCCATCCGGTGCTGGCAGACGGCCAATCCGACGCGGCAGTACTGCAAGGAGGAGGTCACAGTGAGCATGCCCGTGTGCGGGCATCAAGTGCAGGTGCCCTGCAAGCTAGCAGAGGACTACAAGGAGGGGCGGGTGAAGTGCCCAGTTCCATGCAGCGGTCTCTTGAAGTGCGGTCACACCTGCCCCGCCTCATGCGGCTCCTGCCTGCAGTCGGGCAGCGAAGCAGCAGGGCTGAACTTTCTGAGCTCGACGTATGAGGATATCATCCCAAAGCACGCAGACAAGTGTGAGGTGCGATGCGAGCAGAGGCTGTCCAACCTCTGCGGCCACGTGTGCGGTGCTCCTTGCCATGCCTTCTACGGCTCGAGATGCGGAGAGGCGAAGTGCGAGGAGGAGTGCTCTCTCGCATGCGCGCACTCCAAGTGCCGCAAGCCGTGCGGGGTCATGTGCAAGCCGTGCATGGAGCCCTGTGACTGGGCGTGCAAGCACGTGAAGCGATGCTCCCTGCTCTGCTTCGCTCCCTGCGATCGTCTGCCTTGCAACAAGAGGTGCGACAAGAACCTTGGCTGCGGTCACCCCTGCCCCAGCGTGTGCGGGGAGCCCTGCGAGCCCTACCAAAGCTTCTGCCGCCTGTGCGACCAGACTGGAGACGTCGGGAGGCTGCAGGTTGACCTCTTCACCTCCTCCAGCTTGAAGGACGCGAACCTCGAGGCGGACCCCCTCATCTTGTTCCCCTGCCAGCAGCACGTCCTGCAGATCAGCTCGGCGGACGCGCACATGGAGCTGCACAAGGTCTACTCCGAGGATGCCGAGGGAAATTTCGTCGGGCTGAAAGAAGTGGAGATTGCCACCACGGACTCCTTCGCAAACAAGCCTTGCCCGTTCGGCTGTGAGGACAGGAAGAACGACGGGTACAGGATGAGGCGGTATGGACGGGTCGTGAACGCCAGGAATGCAGTGCTTTTCCAGCAGAAGGTCCTCATACAGACAAACGCTGTCCTCTCGAGAAGTGAAGCAAAGCTCTCAGAGTTAACTGCACGACGATCTCACGTGATGTATGACGTGATGTATCATGAGATGTACAGCCCTTGGTCCAGATATGATGAGATGTACAGCCCTTGGTCCAAGAACGACTGCTCCTTGAATTATGCGGGTGACTGCTGGAAAGAAGAGATGTCACCCTACTTCTCTGAAGAGATCACGGAGAACGACAAGTCGGAGGAATGGAACCGAGAAGAGGAGAACTTCAACAAAGAGGAGAGCTGGGAGGGAGATAGGGAGGAGGAGGAGGAGGAGGAGGAGGAGGAGGAGGAGGAGGAGGAGGAGGAGGAGGAGGAGGAAATTAGCGAAGAAGAGGATAGCGAGGAGGAAGATAGCGAGGATGAGGAGGAGGAGCTTCTTTCGAGCATTTTGACTTTCCACCGTGAATTGGAGGGGTATCGGGATGAGGTAGTAGATGCAGTCACCGATGTTCGCTCACGAGGATTCGCGGAACCTCTTCCATACGCTCGAGCAAGATGCTTGGACCTCGTCCTCTCCTGCGTCCTTGCTCGTACCTCTCCTCTGCAACCGAATGACTGCAGAAACATTCGAAACAGCACAGTCCATGTGATGCGGGACTTGGTTGACCTCGGAGCATACTTCTCCTTCTTCTGGCTATCCACCAATGCCATCCATTACTTAGTTCAGCAGGACGAACTGGCGATCGTCGAGTTTCTGAAGTTGCTCAGCACTGTAATCAATAGTGACCTTGAGGAAAGCATACAGCACAAGATCATATGCCAATCCTTGTCTATATGCTCGACCTTGTCAGACTATGACGTCACCTGGACAGAGTCAACCGTCAGAAGTTTGCAGGAGGTGCTCGAGGCTTTCTCGTGCTACATGCAACAGTTTTCTATAGAAAGTCACGGACTTTACCTGTGGCGCCAGCTCATCCACTGCTTCATCCTATTCTGGCGCAGCGTTGAGGCCCATCGGCTGACGTCAACGGTTTGCATGCCCCTGGTGCGATCATGCGCCGAGCTCCGAGACTTGTTGAAAGAAGAAGCTGGCTCGCTCATGACGTGCGGTAACTTCAACGTCGAGATAGCAGCTCAGCGCGTTTGGAGGGAGCTAGAGCTCGGTCAGTGCTCCAGCCTTGTGTGTTTGTATGCTGACGGTGGCGGTGGCAGGAGTCCGGCCAGAGGTCGGGCGGGTCTGCATGCTCGATGCGTTGAACCGTCTGAGACATACGGCAGGCACACTCGGAGATCTTGGAGGGGATGAGCTTTCTACCCCCCAACGAGGCATGGCACGGCGGAATCTGGCGCGCTTGCCCCAACGGTATCGAGGCCCCTGGGTGGGCGCGATTGGACTGACATGTACGGTCAGGTCACCTCTATGCAACAGCAGACAGCAGGACAGCCATGGCCACATGCTTCGAGTGCAGAGGAGGTGAATCTAATTCGAAGTGGGGATAAAAGTGTGATTAGGGAGTCCGTCTTTTTGCTAGCCTACTCGATGAACAGAAAGATCGAGTTGAACACTCATGATATGCTTCAAAGGTCTCGTTCTAATTCCCTGTCTGTGATGAACAAGTTAGGAGTTGAATGCATCCGTCAATGACAGAGACACTTGCCTGTGCTGATAAGGACAACCTGATCCTGCCTGACTGTCTTGGCTTTACCTCTCGAGGAAATCATATTGGATGAAGTGTTTGAGAATTTTAAACAAGCTCGCTCGAACACTCGGGGATAATCGATCTCTCTTCTTCCAACTTGCAATTCGTTGAGTGTCTCATAGAAGTATTTGGAAAAACTGATGGCTGTCTCGTCGCAGACTGTCCCTCTCCAGCAAACGACGTTTTTGATTCCTCGATCAACGAGAAGCTTTCCCATGTTGTATGACTGACAAGCGTTGAGAATGACACATTCAACCAAAGAGTGTGATCGCCCCCAACCAACCTGTAAAGCGATTACATCTGCAACTTCTTCTGGTCGTTTGTAGTCATATTCTTTAATCTCTTTGTTCTTGTTTTCTCTGAGCCACCAAAATCCTTTGTCGCGATCACCATGTCCTGATAGATGAACAATCTTTATGTTCAACTTCTCGCAGATTTCCATAGAACGAACAAAGTTTTCAAAAGTCGGCTGTGGGATTATGCGGATATGATACAAAGCATCAAGGGATATTTCCTGCATGATCTTTGCTTCTTCATATGGGTCGATATTTTCTATTTCATCCATCAACACTGAAGATAGAATACTTTTCTTGTCCTCTTCTTCTTTCTTGTTCAATTGGTCCTCGATCTTGACCGCAAGAACTTCGACATCGACAGGCTTCTTCACAAAAAACGCGAGCACTCCCCAGTTCCCTGACGAGAGATTTCTGGCAGACTCAGCGAGTTGCATTCCTTTGCTGGCATCAAAAGTGCTAGTCCTGGCAGACAATTGCCTGATCGCTGCCTTGGGATCATTAAAGACGGATTTGAACGCCTGGAGCATCTCATCCGCGTCCACGAATCGATCTTGAGGATCTTTCTTCAGAGCTGTCTTTAGGAACAGATTCATCGCCACATCACAGGTGACAATCACAACAAACCGCTTTCTTCGTACTGCGTTGAACAGCTCAAGCACATTCAGAGAGAAAAATGGATTTTTCCCAGCAGCCATTTCATAGATAACGACCCCAGCTGACCAGACATCCACTCTCGCATCAAGTTGAGCATCACCCCTGCACTGCTCAGGACTGAAGTACTGCCATGTCCCAACGAACTGGCCTGTATTGGTCATCGTCACATCGAAATTGTCATGTCTGGAAGCGCCGAAGTCGATCAACGTGACCTTCTCGATTGTTTGATTATGCGAGAACGTGCATAAGATGTTGGAAGGTTTGAGGTCTCGATGAGTGATTGCCATTCTGTGTAATGCAGACAAGGCATCGAGCATCTGAGAGCCGATGAGTTTGATCAACTCCAGATCCAGTTTTCTGCCCTCACCATCTTCTGAGGTCTGCATAACCTCCTTCAAAGATTGTCCATGCACGTACTCCATGACAATAGCGAAAGGCTCAAGAATGCAATCAAACAATCTCACAATGTTGGGATGCTGAAGCTGCTGTAGAGACTTCAAATTCTGATATTCCCGCTCATCTGGTCTATTGCAAACTTTGATAGCACAGACTGATTGTGACTCAACTTCTTGACAAAGATACACTGTTCCTTGTCCTCCTTTTCCGATCACTCCTTGTACTCGGTAACCAGGGATCGCAATTCCTATTGCGTGAGACCCGTCCAGTCTTCGGTCAGCTTTATTCAGAGCTTTGGGCAATGAACAGTATCGGATTACATCATCCAAGTCAAGATCTGTGTAGCTTGTAGCTGACCTTTGAATCCATAGCAGCTCTAGTCTCCTCCAGACGTACAGGCGTTCGGTCAATGCTTTCAAGATAGAATGAGAATACCTGACGCATGTCATGAATGCTCGGCGCTTCAAGGCTGCAGACGAAGACACTTGGATAGAGACGACCTTGCTCTCTTCGGACTGATCTGCCTTGTGTACAATCTCATACAAGACCGGAGGATGAGGAAGCCGCGCTCTCCCGTGGATGACTCCGTTGGTACTGAGCTTCGTTCCAAGGGGAAGAGGGTTTGCATGTTGCACCATTGTCCCGGAGCAGAGAGTTTGGATTGGCTTCAGTCGCCATCCAGGCAAGACGCTTGTCAAGTACAAGTACAAGTCACTGATTGTCGAGGTCTTCGTCCACATCTCGCCAGCTGCATCCCAGCTAACCTCAAGCTCCAGCATGGCTTCATCTGATCTTCTTTGTTGCTCGTCGGCAACACGCAAGCGTCCTGTCCTTGCACCAGTTTCTGAAACTTGCACGACAACAAGAGTTAGCCGGGATTCCTTTCAACGATTGTTGTCAGAGGTTCCAACACTGTCGGCAAGGACACTAGGCATGGGGCGATACATACTTCATCCTCGAACGTGGCTGAGAATGTCTGAGGTTCGACCTCCAGCACTTCTGGAAAGTCTGGCAACCTCAAAGTCTTTCTGTAGTTTGCGTTGCCGATTCGAGCATACCTGATGCAGCCGATTGGTGGAGACTGATCCAGCGTGACTTCCGAGATAGAAAGGACAACATGTTTGTGTATATAGTTCCTTCCTCGTCTGGAGAGAAAGATCGCTTCACACCTTGCAGGAAAACAGGTCAAAATCTTGTGGGCTGTCAACGACCCATGAACATGTCCTGTGTCTTCATCGACCTCGACTAGTTGCGGGGACGTATGGAGCAGCTGAAACGATCCTGGTGATTTTACAGATCCGATGGCTTCTTGCAACGTTGCATAAAACGTTTTGTGCTTGATGATTACATTCTCGCCAGCATGGGCAGATAGGTCGAATTGCTTATAGCTAAACAGACCTCTATTCCTCCATATTTTCTTCACTTCTATCCTCTCAGGCTGCTCAAATGCTTCACGGAGCATCAAACTTGGTGGTTCTGATTCAAGACCAGAAAAATTCTTAATCTTCCTGGGAGGAGGATTGGACTTCACAATTCTCAACTTGAAAGTGCATGAACAGGAGCCTACATCATTATATGCTTGGATTCGTATCACAAAATCGCCATCTTCGAGCGCATAACCATACAAAGTGCCGTTGTTCGCGTCAAGGAAGAGGCCTTTTGGTAGGGTCCTTTCAGCTCGGAACAGAGGTGGTGGATGACCCTGAGTTGCTAGTCTTGCCGGAGCCTCCACATGCGTATGAGTGGTAATGAAATCTTTTCCGAGGACTAGAAAGTCAATGTCCGGTAACTCGTACAGCACCTGAAACTCCGTTTGAAAAAAATGAGTATGAAGGACTTTTGAGGTCTTGTAGCTAAACCTCGTGATTGTCATCCTGCGTCTGAGTAAAGAGAGATGAAAAAGGCAGAAGAGGCAGGAGAACAAGGATGCCATGATAATGATTCCTTGAGTTAGCTGAAAAGTGATGTAGCAATTGAGAGCCAATATTGCAACTAAGAAGGGAAGGACTACATAGCAAATACCTTTTTTAAAGAAACCAGTGATTGTTTTACCCTCGTGACTAATTATGATTGTTAAGATCTCGTTGATCTTCATAATTTCATCCCCTGCTTCATTGGTGTAGCGCCCAAGTCTCGCAAGTGTTCGCCTTATAGGGTCCTGCCAACTAGGATAGTTCTTATACCACACGTAAGAACCCTGCTGTGCTGGCACTCGTTTCACAAATTGATGTCTGACAGGGTGATGTATGATCTTCCCAAACTCGTACTCGTGATAGCATTGCAGACACACAAGAGGGGAATATCCACCTTTGCGGATGCAAGTCGTGCAGACCATCTGCTCTGACGCCAGCTCTAGGCACCATGAGCATCGCCAGTTGCCAGTCATATCACATTGTTTGAGATGAAGAGGTTCATGCATCAGCAAGTAGCCATTGTAGCTTTCATATTTCAGTTCCAGTGGAGCACAGGGTTGCACATTGATATACACCTCTACCTTTTGAGTGAAAATGCCGAATGGGTTTATTGCTGCAATAATCAGAGTGATGGTCGACGGTTTCTTCCAACCCTTCATGCGTGAGGTGTCGAACGTCAGATCTCCAGTATAAGTGTTGTTATCTAGCCAGGAAAAGGTAACTCCCGATGGGAGAACGTAAATCGGTGGGGGAATTACTTGTTCATCCACATGATGCACTCGGAGAACGATTCTTTCTGTATTTGGAAGATTCACTACAACCTTGTTGCAGAACTTGCCATCTCTCTTGTAGATGAAACGCCCAGGAATTTTACCTCGCGGAATGATATTCTTGACAAGAAACTTGTCTTTGCCAAACTTTGCTTGCATATTCGAAAAGTGTCTTGCCCAGCAGCCCTGACAGGCAAAATCTTTGGAACAAAAACAACAAACTGATTTCTCTAACTCCAACACCATCATCAGAAAGCAACCAAAGGCAAGGCTCGAAAAAAAAGGCAAACCAATTGCCATGAAGACAAGACTACTAATTTCATCGGTATAGAGCGGTAAATTTCGAATAAATTCCAAAATTGCTACCGAGCCCATTGCCAGTCCACACAAGAGTACGATCAAGCAGCATTGTAATCCTCTATTGTACCTGAACAGAAACATTGTCCTCATGACGAAAAAAAAGGATCTGATAGATATTCCGAGGAGCGGGGCAAACTTTTGATCAACGTCTAAGTCGTTTTGTACTCGTCTTCCATATCGACCACAAACAGGTTCCCGAGGATGGGGCCTCTTCTGATGACATCTCGAGCAAGCAAGCGTCGATCTCGCAGGCGAGAGAGCTTTCAGCATCATTGCATCCCTAAGTGAGACGTCTTCCATCTCGTTAGCCAGAGTTCTCTCTGAGTTTTCTCTACTTCTCTCTGCTGTTGCCTCCTTGTAGCATGTGAAGCAAAGTGAGGTGCCACAAGATAAACATCTCCTTCTCTGGTCACGAGAGATCCACAAGGAAGGGAAGCAACACATGGAAATACTCAAAATCATGATAGTCAACATGGACGGCAGCCCGAATCGTGCAATCAATTCCCAGAATCGAAAAAGCTTCTGTTGCCCACATTGCAGATACTCAATGTCACACAATCCATCGCCGCTTTCCATGAATATCCTGCAAGCTTTTGCTTTTTCGCAGGCAACAGATGTCAAGGTTCTTCCAGGACAATCGTACAAAGTGTAGGAATCCTCTAAGCCCGCTTCACATTTCACTGCACATGATTTCTTCTTAGGATCTCCAAAGCCATAAACAAAATAAGGTCCAAATCTCCCATCCATGTTCGTGCATTTTTGACAAACAGATTCAGTAATGTAACACTTAAGATCGCTTGCAATCTTCGCAACATCTGTGGCTTTGAAAGAGCATGAGAATGAAAGACTGCGATTACAATCAAAAGTCTTGAAAGCTTGTGGTTTCGACGATCGCATTGCAAGACAGCCAGATCGAAAAGTTTTGTCATCGAGTATGCTATTGTTTCTGAGAATTGAGCCATCTGACCAAAGAATATCAGATTGAACACTGACATTTTTGTTTGAGTCCATGTTCAATCCAATCCAAACATTCTCAACGTCTTGCATTAATCCTTCAAGCTGCACCAGCTCCTGCTGATCTTCGACAGACGAAAGATGGCCGCCGTGCTTGTTGCAAAACGCTTCTGCCTCATACCAGGAAAGCTGAGAGCGGTGCATGGAGAATCTCTTGAAAGATTGTTGCTTGCCTCGAGGGACCACTGAGCAGACGCTCGAAACGTCCAATCGTGAGTAGCACATCTTCGTAGAGGGGCTATAGCAGAAAGCTTCTTGCTGAGCAATTCTTGCTGTAGAGGCGCAGAGCCTAAGACTTGAGCTCTCGTTGATATCTTGAGGAACAACACTCTGAAATACTAACAAACTTTCCTGTAAACAATCATGATCTGTTTCGATCGCAGGACTGAGAAAACTTCCTGCTGGGCACTGGCAATATTCAAGATCGTCATAGGTAACTATCCCATTGGCACAATGCACACAAGCACTTGCATTCTTAATGTAAAGAACTGAGGTTCGGTTCCTCTTTGAAGGTTGTTGATCCCAAAACCTCGCAGATGCACTCTTCGCTTGGCAGGAATCATCGCTGAAGACACATGTCATTCTGCCTTTCTTATCTGAGAGAATGCTGAGACAACGACAATACGAGTCCGAGGTGCACGTGTCAAGACATTGTTGTATACTTCCGTCGAATGCAGAGGCAAATGTGACAAAAGACAAATCTAACACCGTTCGCTCAGCAGTCATATACGATATTGAAGCTATGGTAGCGCCTCGATCACAGTTTGAGTTGCTCATGTCCCCGAATTTCTCACAGATCACATTGTGTCTCCAGTAAGCTACTCGTTTGTTTGCACATTGACAGGAGACAAAACCACCCTGCTTGTCCCAGACGCCAGTGCTAACAAGGGAAAATCTTGCGCAAGTGCTGATACACGACAGACTTGTGAAGGAAACAGGAGATTCCATCTGCACATCTTGCGTCGGATACCAACAGTTGCTGTAGCTTGATGGCCCACAAATGATGCATGGGTGACAAGTTCCGTTGATCTCATTGTAGCCAGGTAAGCACAACCACACACAGTTCGTTGATGACACAGAAAGGTTTCCTTCCCAGAATGCATTTGAGGGGAGATTTGAGCAGTTTGCAGCCACCGCAAGCAAGCTGCAAAGGTTGGTGAGCACCAAGATGAGTATAATCTGATACTTAGCTCGCAACATGGACAAGGATCATTGCCGTGCAGCCTTTCACAGCATGCCGTGCGACTTCACAAACTCTGCTAGGAAATGGACTTTTAAAATTAATCAATCTTGTGTGAGCTAATTGAGTTTCTTGCGAGCTGACTGAATTTCTTGCTTGCGCGAAATGACCAGGGGGTGGGGGTGCCACTAGTAGTAACTAACAGACAAGGGTGGGATCGTACAACATCACCCCTGCTACTATAGGATCCAATCATGTTTTGTAGGGTGTGAGGGTAGGTAGTCCGAGTTACGAGAACGGGGGGTGTTGTCTCGTGAGGGTTGGTACACACATGAAGGGATAGAGGGGTGGGTAGTTCGGTGGGGACAAGAGCCGGGACGAGAGCCATGGCAGTAGGGGATCATGCGGGAGATGGCGACGAAGTGGAAGAGTAGAAAGGAGGGGAGAGAAGAGAGATGTCAGACAGAGCTTATGAGGGCAGAGAGATCCCCTTGCACAGCTGGAATACTTATGTATGCCCAATAATGTTGTGGAGAAAAACTCTCCAGCTTCTTATCCTGATTGAAAGTTGCCAGAGAAGAGATTGAGTGCAAGAAGATGATGAAGTTTAATAATGTTAGACGATAGGAAGGTTTTATCTCCTGCATTTTCAAAATCGCAGTGTGAGGAAGTACGATGATGGTTGAGGAAGAAGTGGGAATCATTTCAATAGATTCTTCAGTTGATTTCTACTGCGTAGAATTTTGGGCCTTGAGATGGATATCTCGACGTCAGACTCAGTCAACGACAAACAGAAGGCACGTCAGGGAAAGTTTGTATGTAAAGAACCGGTGAGATACTGGTCTGACGAAGAGCATCTGTAAGTGGAGGTGTGTTGGAAGTTGAAGGCTGCTGTTGATACAATTATTGTTCCAGTCTGTTCCTTCGCGGCGTTCAGAAATATGGGGGAAGAAATTACAGAGCTATAGCAGAGATGATCAAGACAAGGACACCTACTCAAGTCCGCACACATTTGCAGAAATATCTCCTCAAGCTGCAGGCATGATTGTTCGATGTTTCCTCTTGCCGTGCACTCATTAAGTGCTCGCAGAAAATCAAGAGATTGAAGGAGGAGGTGTCACCCATTGTCCTCTGAATCCGTGAACTGAACAAATACTGGATTGGTTTACAGGCAGAATCCATAAACGAGCAGTTTGGAAAGGGTATGAAGCAAGAGTGTTTGTCTGCGTTGGGCATTAGCGCAAGTTCTCTAAGTGCAGACCCTGTTCTGTCAGCGGCTGCGGGTCTAAAACAAGAAGTGAAAGAAGAAGTTAGTGAAGAAGTGTTGTTGCTCAATGTTTCTGAACTGACATGAACCCCGCAGGGTGCCGAAATCCGAGATGTTTCCAACTATCCGCACGACAAAGACATTGACAGTTGTCATCTTGTTGGGGCGTTTGAAAAGCTTGTGAACGAACATCGGGTTAACGAGTTCTCACATGGGATGAACAAGAACTGTCACTTTTGCGGTCCATGGCTTCAAGCTATCACGATGTGTTTCACTGATGGGTGGTGTGCAGGTCACGAGCCCAAACGGTTCTGGACTGTGGGATGTTGTATACCGTCGTGTGGTCAGAGATATTGCGAGCACTGTCTTGTGAAACATCTTCCCCATGTCGATATTCCATCTTGTGACAGCTCCAAGTGGATTTGTCCGATCTGTCGGAAAATCTGCTGCTGCGTCACAGATTGTTGCAACTTGCAGCACAGACATTGTAAGAGATATCGCCGAACGAAGTGGAAGAGCGGTGGACTAGATGACAAGGGTTTCAAGGTCAGCTCTTGCTTCTGTAACTGATGACAGTGAGGGTGAATGTAACGGCAACAACAGCAAGAAGAACCATGCAACAATACTATCAAGCAAACGAATGATGGTAGAAGCGCTGAAGTATGCCATTCGTTTGTTTGTAAGATCAATGGCCTGACTGGCCCCACAACAGATAGTCAACGAGGAAGAAGTTGGACTCTTTCTGGATTTCTGCAAGGCCACTTCTGATCAAACGATGCGATAGAAAGGTCAGGGTCACGTTTTGAAGGATGTAGGTCCAGAAAATATGATCCGTCACTGTCTTCTTATATTCTTGTTGTCACTATCCATAATAACAGTGTTTTCATATTGAAACATGAAGGATTTTCTCTCTCAGAATACAAAAACTTCAGACTCTCCATCTTTGTCTCCAAGAACCACCTGACAGATCCAAGTCATTTCCATACGAAGTAGATGTTTGTGAACTCACATATCCCGACAAATCCTGTGAAAGCTGGCGAATGTCCTCAGAGCTATTGGGTAACCTGGTTGTTTTCCTTAAGCGGCATGCGGTTTGGGAAGATGGGGAGAAAGAATATTCACTGTGACCTGTATGCAGGGACAGGGTTCTGAGAGCCTCGCACTGTGATCTCATCGATCTGCAGATGAAGATCAATACGTCGGCTATCAACGCAATAATTCGAAACCGCATTCCGAATGGCTGTCACCCACTCCTGAAGCTTCTCTCGATCTTGATGATGGAAAGCCTGGCAAGCGATCAAGACCAGCAGAGGGAACAGAGCTTCACTCACACACTTCCCCGCCTTGTCTCGCAACTCGAAAAAGGGAAGCTGGCTCAAACTGCCAAGATGCTGTTAGATATCAGCTCATCGCCACGCTCCCCTTACCCGCCGGGTGAGTCTTCTTCCGAGACGGCAGGATCTCGCACCTGGAGACAAGTGAACAAGTCTCTCGTGGCAGTTAAGATCTCACCACTGGGAGCTCGGAAGGTTTGATCGCAGCAAGAGGGATAAACCTCTTGAATTTAAGATCCTACATGAAGCAAGTAAGCCTTGCACCGCACATGATAAAATCTCTTTACCCTATCATTCTTTGTGAAAAACTTGCCAATCACAGTCTCTCCTGGTTTGCAGACAAGAACAGCATCGTTGAAAAGATACAGATGGCGATATCCGGCTCTGCCATGCTCTCGGAAATACCCATCATCCAGAAGAAATTCTCTTCCTTCTTTGACGATTTCGATTTCTGGGGGAACCTTAATGCACACAGTCATATCGTTGCTATTCGGCAAAAGTGATATGGAACCGCTCTGACTCGAGATGCTATCAGTACTACTCGTTCTCTTCTTTGAATGCCACGGATTCTCTCATTAATCTGCAAGACATAAGGGGCCAGTTGCGACACCTTGGCAAGTCACCTCTGAGGTAAGGCGTTTGGCAATATTCAGACATTTACGGACGTTTTCTTCATCTGGACTTCCTGCCGCATCTTTGACCATTTCGTCGAGGAACAACTGTTCGACTTCAGCATATGGTTGAAGACAAACGATGCAATACATGATATTTCATCACAAGTTGAGAAGGACGGACAAGCAAATCTTGAAGGGAATGGAGAGCAGAAGCTAGATTATCTTGCATCTGAAGGGAATTCATTTCCATGGATATGAAATACTTCAATACCTTAGGTGACGTCCCGACTGCTCTGTCACCTATGACTTGACCTCCAGCCTTTTTCTGGGGAGATATGAGCAGTGAGGTTGACAAACATAGCAAATGATTGTGAGCACCTGCAAGACGACCATGACACAGGAAGACAAAGTTTGAAATTCAGAATGATGAGTGATGAGTTCGTTTTCACTCGCTTCAAACACGCCTTTTGTTCACAAGTCAAGGTGGGAGAGGAATTTCCAATCACATGGAAACCTGCTAGATGAGAGGGACCCACGAACATCGCAACTTTTTCTGCAATGGTCTCGTGCAGTTGGATCAAAAGCTCACAGCATCCAGATGTTCTTGTGATCAACTTGACATGTTCAGGGCCCAATTTCCAGGCTTTGTCCTGGACAAAACTCACTGCCAGACAAGATAAACCCTTCCCGACATGTGAAAGACACATACCTGTTCGATTTCCTGTAGCTTTTGCATAAGTTGATTCAGCGATTCACAAACCTTGGTTTCAGATGATAACAATTCATTTATTCGCATTCGGATGCGCTCGGCAGCCATTTCGAACTATTATGTGCCTGAACCTATAATTTTTCTTGGTACGATGTTGACGATTCTGCAGACTATCAAAGGAAAGCATTATGATTCATCCAAAGTGGCAGTAAAAGATATTAGTAAAAGATATGCGCTGCAATCAGTACGAACATGATGCGCTTATATCCCCGAGTCTTTCCGTTAAACTAATGTATCTTTACATGCAATTCCATCAAAATCCTCAAAAAAACCGACCAGCACCATATCCTAAACCAATCTAATAAAGAAATCAAATATGCCATACGACTCGTTTGTTTGCTCATGAACCTTCTCCGTATCTTTCATGGCCACGAGAAAGAAGTTCATCCACCCGAATGCCTTTCGATCTACACCTACCTCACAATTCACTCCCTTTCTTCTCACCCTTCTTACTACAAACCTCTTCACCTCTCCCACCTATGGATCTTCTTCTGAGCTCCTTTCTGTAGAAAAAATTCTTCAAGACCAAATCTGTACTTCTCTTTCACTTTGAATACAATCTCGAACATTTCCTTCCACCCACAAAATCAGCTCCATACAATCAACTAATGCTCTCCTGACTTTGCGAAGATGCCAAGTCAGGTTTCTTTCCTCTCCTCCTCCATCAACCATGCTTTCTTTCTCTCATGCTTTCTTCTCATGCTTTCTTTCTTTTCTCATGCTTTCTTTCTCTGAGTGTTACAGACCAGCATTTCATCGACAACGTCTCTGAGCTCTCTCACCCTCTCCTGCTCCTCCTCCTCCTCACCTTCCTCCTCAGGTCGCATCAACCTGCATCTCCACAATGATCGCTATCTATGTAGGTGGGGGTGATGACCCTGACCTATATCTACCATAGAAAATGTGGTCAAACTGCTGGTGGGGGGTGCAGACTGGACCCTAGAAGTGCATGTTGGGCCAATAGTAGTTCATCGGGGAGTGGGTGCAGGGGTATACAGGGAGAATAAGGGTACTCAAATAGACAAAGCCTGGGGTGATAACAGCTGGAAGAGGGGTAGGGGTAAGATGTATTAGGGTGGCAATAATGAAGGGGGTACTGTCGAGAGCACATGACACCTATTGGAGGGGTACTTTGATTCTGATCTGGGGGTACAACAGGGTAGGGGTACAACTGTGGTCAGAGGGGAGATGAGGTACTGGATGAAGGAATGATTTGAGAATGAGGGAGATGATCAAGACCAGCAGGGTTAGCAGGGGTGTCATGCCCAATCGCTGAGGGTACGGTAGTTGACCTACCCCCATGTCACTTTCAATTGCCTACTTTGTGTACACAGAACAGTACCGGTGTAAATGTTTACAATGGACAAGTGGATTCAGCAAGGTAGGTAGGGGTGTATCTGAAACTACGAGGTGGGTAGGTCGAAGAGCCGGTGGGGCTCCATCGGAACCACAAGACTCTACTACTACTACTACTAGGGTAGGTTGTATTAATAATAATCACCAGAGCCCAGGAGGTGTAGGGATATCAGGGGTGGGGTCCTAATTGTACCCTCCTGTTGCGTGACGACGGATAGTAAAAGAAGGGGGTAGTGGATTATAATGGTTGGTTTCAGGTCAGGGGTTGGCGATGGTAAGGGCGCGGCCTTTGGAGCTGGCTCTTCATATGTACCGGTGATTTTGAATATTAGAGCAAGGGTAGTGGTAGTGTTAGCGAGGGTCCCTGGACAAGGAGTGGGTGGGAGGTAGCCCATATGTGAATCGGAATCAAATACAAGGGTAGTGATGCTCAGACAAGGGGTGAGATTCTTCAGGACGGGTTCTTTACCTGAAGAATTAACTATTGAATACCGGGTATGTGTACACTTCAAGTGACATGAAGTGGGTGGTTGATTGATGAAGGGGGTGGGCGGTCATGAATACACAAAGGCACGGGTAGGTCTGAAAACCAAGGAGGTAGGGGTACTCACAACCTTTCAGTTTATAAGCGATCCGAAGGGGGAGAAAAGCAGCGAACAGGCAAGATGTACACGCAGTCAAAATTTTGATGTGATGGCGATGCAGCATTATGACCTGTCGCTGCGCGGTGTACTTTCTCACTCCTTGTGTGTTATCTTTGCGATCTGTGTGATGGATCCAAGCGTAATTCTGACATCCACCCTTCCATGTTCCAGTCGTATCCTTCTCACAAGTCTTTGCTGGATCCTTGTAGGATATTTAAAGGATGAATGCTCGCTCTTGTACGGATGATTGAGAATTTTCAAAAACCTTGATGTCATATCCGTTGACTTTCGCTATGTTATTGGCTTGTACACAAGGAATCTGACATTCTGTTTGCAGTAGTCATGCGCACCATCCTCTACGGAAAGAAGGCCGCCAACCTTTACACCCAGGCTTTCGTTCAGAACACCCAGGCTCGCGCCCTCTACCAGGAGTCTGAGGACACCTACTACCGCGCCAACGATGCCGCGTCCTACGATGACTGGCGCCGCGCCCGCCACCAGTGGGACTATTTCTACAACCGCCACTAAATTCGGAAGTGAATTTGTTTGTAACTGGATAATGGCAGTTTGAGGATGGTCTCCATGTTTTATTGATTTCTGAGCTCAATAAAAATTCAATGCTCACCTCTTGAGTTGTCTGGACCGGTTCATATTTCTTTCTCCAAGCTTTTCTATATACTGCACACCAGGATTGGCGCTGTTCAATGCGTTCCATAGATTCTCACTCTCAGCTCTGGTCAAGATGGGATACCGAGGCTCCACCAGTTTCCACGATGTGTCATTGGTCTTGTTCCGCAAGCATTCAACCACTTCGAAATTGTTTTCCCTCACAGCCATGGCGATGGCAGATTCACCACGCGCATTGCGAGCGTACACGTTCGCGCCATGTCGGAGCAGCATCCTGCAACTGAGGTCGCTCCCTGACATGGCAGCATAGTGCAGGGGGGTTTCGTTCTTGGCGTTCCTGGGGTTGATCCATGCACCTTTCTCCAGCAAGATCTGAATCGATTTATACTTGTCATTCATGGCGGCAAGGTGAAGAGCGGTGTTTCCATACTTATTCTTGGCATTCACAAGCGATCCACTAGCAATCAGTCGAAACATGTTGACAAGCCTACCATGCAAGGCAGCATGCATGAGCGGAGTGTTTCCATACCAATCCCTCCCGTCCTGATTGGCACCCGCACTAAGCAACATTTCACAGAGGATAGGATCTTCGTACGCAGCAGCGAAGTGCAGTGGACGCATTTTCCACAGATATGTATCGAGGTGATTGATGTCGACACCACTTTGAATCATTTTCACACAAGCATCCGTGTCATTCAGGCTCAAGTATATACGGAACATCATCTCATCTTCTTTGAAATCAGAATATCGATTTGGCATCAAGGGATTGTCTTGTCCCCAATCATCAATATACGGTCCTGGCCAGCTTGGAGGCATCGGACCACGTAACGCTGATTGATTGAAGCAGGAGCCATGATCATGGTCGTCATCCAGCATGTCCACATCATTTCCTCCTTTGAAGCCATGCAAAACTTGCGTCCTTGCATAAATTTTTTTCACCATGAAAGCCGTTGAGGGTTTGCAAAATGAAGACGCTGACGGTGGTTCGCCAATCAGGCACACAAAGCAAGACGGGAAGCCCACCAGCATGACTAGGAAGAATTGATTGAGAGATTCCATAAGTGCTGAAAGAGATCGTTCAAAGGAGATTCTCTCTCATATCGGTTAACAGCATAGTGTAGATGACTTCCTTCATCTATCAATCAGTCCATTGAGCATGATCATTTCGCTCTGGAAACATTTTCCACATTTCCATCAGAAAAATTCTGAAGGGTCACACAATACTTATTGCAACAGGACGGTCCTGTAAACAATGGATCAGAATCCCTCTTGGTGTTTCACACAATCGAACTTTTCGCATGGCATTGAGTTTGGCAGAAACAGAGGAAAATGTCGGGATACCCACGAAAAATTAGCAAACAATCGTGATGCCCTGACTCGTTAATCTGGCCTAAACTGTCCAATACCTGTCATTTTTACCTCCCTCCAGCATCTCCTTCGCACATGTTACATGATCTGGTATCTTCCTTCGCATGCTGTTCCCTACTTAGTGCTATCTTTCTGCCCCCCTCTGCCCTCCGCCCCTTCACTTTGGATCTCCTTTCCTCAAGATTCTCTCGCACATCTCTCATCAAATGCTCTCTCATTGATTTTATTCTCCATGCTCCTTTCTATCCTTCCCTTCTCTTCTCGTTTCCCTGCCCATGGCATTCCCCAGCATTCTTTCAATCCAGCCGGTCTTATCCCGCACCACCCACCCCATTGCCTCAAGGAAGGGTTGCATATGGGGGTAGGGGTTATCACCCCTACCCTATCTCTCATCACATCCAAAATGATTGGTCGTGCTGTTTAGTACCCACCCCCCCACAAGATCTATACACCCACCCCCACAGAGATATAAAAAGCCGACCAGCAAAGGACCTTCGAGCAATGACAGCGACAGCGACGCCGCTGCCCGTCGCGGGCATGGCGATCGTCCTCAGCACGTTGACTTCGGAGTCCTCCAGCGTTCAATTTCTCTTTCCCTTCATCCCCTTCATGGTTCACAGGTTCTTCCTCGTCCTCTTGTGCGGCTTCTCCCCTACCTCTTCTCTTCTCCTTCTCGTGCTTCTCGAGCCTCGTTCTCGACTCGTGCGTCCAACATGACGCCGAGTCTTCAGTTTTGGTGTCGACGAGGAGGATGTTGGATTCTACGCAGGATGGATTGCTTCATCCTTCATGTTAGGGCAGTGAGTTGCTGTTGCTGTTTGTGGGTGTCTCGGTAACGCTCGGGCGCAAAGGTTCTTGTCATCACTCTTCTGGGGTTGGGCGTCGGATCGCATCGGCATTCGTCCTGTCTTGCTGTCAGGGCTTGCAGCTACTGTCATAGGAACTGTGAGTTCCTGTTCCCTACCTTCCCTCTCGTCATGCTCGCGCCGTCAGGTTGCCTTCGGCTTCTCCAAGAGCCTCAAGCAAGCGATCCTTGTTCGTCTTGCCTGCGGCCTGTTGAATGGTAACATAGCGGTGAGAGAAAGGATACAGACAGCATCGCACATGCTTCCTCTCCTTGGACCCCATCTCTTGCCCTCGTGCCCTCGTCGACTCCTCGTCTCCGAGGCTCATTTGTTCTGTTGCAGGTTGTCAAGACGTACATCGGACTGATCACGGATGAGACGAACGAAGCTCGGGCGTTCGGCTCCATCGCTCTGTTCGCATTTCTGTTTGCTAGTCTACTCCTCATGGTGTGACCCTGCAGGTGCTGGGGAGCAGGAGGAATCATCGGGCCAACCATCAGCGGCCTCCTATCCGAGCCTGCCTCCAAGTACCCCAACGTGTTCGGCGAGAACTCAGTCCGACTTCTCTAGCAAGGAGGAGGAGAGCTGACATGCGATGCGTGTAGATCTGGTCGGAGTATCCTTACCTCCTTCCCTGCCTCGTGACGTCCGTCATCCCCACGTTTGGCTTCCTGGTGAGCGCACAAGTGCTGTAGCAGCTTCATGATCGTTCTTCAGGTTGGGATCTTCTTCCTCAAAGAGCCTGATCGTAAGTCAAAACCTCACGACGGTAGCCTTGCACACGTCCAGCTGGAAGAAGGTGAGGGACAAGCTGGGAAAAGAAGAGGAGGAGAGGAGAGCGACGGATCCCGCAGAGACGGACGACAACTGCGCCGAGTCAGCCAAGTGGGAGAAGCAGGAGATGGGAGATGCAGCGGTAAAGAGCAGAGATTATTTCGCTTTCTGCCTGGTTGCTGATGTGCGAACAGAGCTTCAAGGAGAAGAAGTGCCTTGTGCGCAGTGATTCTGCCATGTGAGACTCCTCCTCCTCGTCCTTCTCCTCCTCGTCCTTCTCCTCCTCGTCCGTCTCCTCCTCTTCATCTTTGTCCCGTTCCTTGCTGTCCGTTTACTCATCCGAGCCTTATTTTCCGTTCTATTTCCTCTTCCTGCTCCGATCTTTGACTTCGTCTCTCCACAACTTCTGCTCAACTTTTGATCATCACAGGACATACGCATTCTCTAAGAAAGCGCTGCTCGCCTCCGTCGCTTACGCTCTCCTAAGACTTGTCGTCATCTGCCTGGATGAAGCCGTGAGCATCTATTCTCCTCCGCTCTTCCTCCTCTCTGATCTCCTTGCTCCTCCTCATTGCTCTTTCCATCTTTTTCTTTTTCCATCGCTCCCTCCTACTCCTGTCCTCATGTTTTTTCCTGCTCACCCTGTTATTCTCGCTTCTCCTTTCTTCTTTGCAGACTCCGCTCCTCATGTCTATTCCGCGGGCAGCTGGAGGTTTGGACTTCAACACCTCCGACATTGGCCTCGCGCTCTTTGGGCAGGGGCTCCTCCTTGTTCTCCACGTTCTCATCATATTCCCCAACCTCAAGGTCCTCCATCTTGACTTGCTCCTCCTACTCCTACTCCTCCTCCTCCTCCTCCTCCTCCTACTACTACTACTACTACTACTACTACTACATCATGTTTCGAGCCTGCTGCTTCTGCTTCTTGCTATTCCTCTTCAATTTGTTAATCCTTCTGGAACATCTATCCTGACTTCGCTTTCTCATAACATCCTCCAAATCATGATATTTCCCTCCAAAGGTCTAATTGCTTCTTCATACACAGAAAAGTTTCGGAACTCTTCAGCTCTACAAGTTTGCTTGCATGTTTATCCCTCTCGTCTGCTGCATCCTTCCGTTCCTTTCAGATGTGAAGTCCCCCCTTCTTTCTCTTCTTGTTCCTTTCCCCCTACAGCTCTGCCGTACCTCCTCTTGTCTTGCCCCTTCCTCTTCGTAACTTGTTCCTTCCCGATAGCCACCTTCTCCACCTTCTCCACCTTCTCCACCTCCTACTCCATCTCCAGCTTTCCTCTAATGAGATTTCAGATGTACGATCTCATGAGTCGGACCCTCTTCTGGATATGTTTGGAGACTTACATGTTTTCAAAAGTCTTCTCCTTCTCCACGGGTTTCACGTCCGTCACGATTCTCATCAACAACTCGGCTCCACAGCATGTAGACCTCTCTTCCCTCCTCTCCTCCTCATGACCCACCGCAGGTCATCGGCACCGTCAACGGTTTCTCGCAGATGGCTGCATCCTTTACCTCGATGATTGCTCCTTCTCTATGTGGAACTCTTTTCAGCTGGTCCCTCAAGGTCCCTCATTCTTACTCCTCCTGCCCCCCGCTGCTCCTGCTCTTGCTCCTGCTCGTTCACTGCTCCTGCTCCTGCTCCTGCTCCTGCTCCTGCTCCTGCTCCTGCTCCTGCTCCTGCTCTTGCTCTTGCTCTTGCTCTTGCTCCTGCTCTTGCTCCTGCTGCCTGAATTTCTCTCTTTTCCTTTTACCTTCGGCATTTTCATCTTGACCAAGTCCCTTATCTTATGACTCAACTTCTCTCCTCTGCGAATTAATCTTCAGCCTCTCCCTCATTCTGTTCTCATATTTTCTTCCCGCAGAACTCACTTTCGTTTCCCCTGGACTATCACTTCGTCTTTGAGTTCCTGTCGGTAAGGCTCTCCTCCTTACTTACGCCTCCTTCTGCTCCTCTTCCTGGCTTCTCCTCCTGCTCCTCCCCCTGGCTTTTGCCCCTCCTGTATTCTGCTTCCTCCTCTCATCTCCAGTTTTATCGTCTTCATACTTTCTCCATTCTTTTCCATTCCTTTTGTCTCTACTCACTTTCTCTCTGCTCACTGCTGCATCAGGTTGCTAGTCTGTCCCTGGGAGTGATCGCCCTTCTCCTTCCTGAAAGCAGCGGGCGAAGATATGTGGAAGGAGAGGAGGAGAGGAGGAAGGAAGGAGTATAGGGGCTGCGAGAGGGAAGACGTGAAGATGTTCATAGAAGAAGTTGTACATATGGGAGCTGTAGATATGTATAGAGATGACAGAGACTTTATTGTTTTGTAATCTACATTTTGCAACCAAAAGTTTTCATCCTCCTCCTTTCCCTAGCATCCTCGTCCTCTTCTTCCTCCTCGTCCCACGTCCTCTTGCATCAAGTACCCCTTCCCCTACAAGTTCGACCACTTGATGGGAACTTGCAAGGGCTCGACGTTGTAGCCCATGAGCTCGAGGCCAACTGAGAGAGGGGAGGAGGTGGAAGGCACATCCATGTCTCCCCACACGCGGTCAAAATGTCTAGAAGACGACGATGAGGAGAGAGAGGAGAGAGACGAGCGAAGAGAGGAGGGGAGAGGAGCAGAGCAGCGAGAGGAGGAAGAAGCGTGTTTGCTACGTCCTCCGCCCACTGATCCTGCATCCCCTGCCCAGTCAATCTTGAGCAGTCGCTGCTCCCCAGGTAGGAGGGAGAAGAAGTTGTCCTCGTACAAGACAGGAGGAGGAGATGCGACCCCGTTGACTCTGAGCTGAAGGAACATGGCGACTGATGCTGGGGAGGAAAAGTTGCTGATCTTGACCAGCAGGGTGTAGCTGATCTTTCCCTCCTCCTCCTCCTCCTCCTCCCTCCTCGTCCTCAGGTCGAAGAACCTGCAAGGAGCTGTTTGCTTGTCTTCCCCTCCTGTAGCTGACACGTAGCCGATGGCCTTTGCGTCCAGCAGCACACGATTCTCTTTCCTCCACAACCCAAGCGCGATGAACTCGTCCTGATACACTCCTCCATCGAGATGCTCCAGCGTCAACCAATAGAAATTTCGAGAAATGACAGCAGAGATCCTGTCCTCGTCCTCGTCCTCGTCCTCGTCCTCGTCCTCTCCCCCCAGGTTGTCTACCCTCGTCTCCTCGCCATTCCTCGCACTCATCTTCTCCTTCATCCTCCTTGCTTGCTTGCTTTTACAATCAAATGCAACCATTGACATGGACAGAAAGAAGACTTCTCGGGGAGGCAACCGGATGAGCGGGAGTTGCTTGAGCACCTGCGAGGAGGAGGACGAGATCTCAACTACCTCGTCGAGCAGTTCCTGCTCCCTTCCAGCGAGATCGCAGACAGTCACTACAAGACGCCCGACGTAGCAGCTGCCGGTGATGTTGGTGACAAGGAGCGAGCCGCCGTCTCTGGGGCAGAGGAAGACATGGAGGGGCTGACAGGCAAGTCGGACGGCAAAAAGTGAAGCGAGGGGGGAGAAGGACCAGTCGTAGAGCTGTCCTCGTAGACCCATCCAAGGGTTTTGAGTCTTCCATATCAGGAAACCTGGAGCTCGTTCAGGGGAGAGGAGAAGGGGGAAGGAGGGGGGGGGGGAAAGGGGAGAGGAGCAGAGTGGGGGAGAGGAGCAAGAGATTGAGAAGAGAGAGCTGAGGGTATAGAGCAAGAGGGAGAAGTGATAAGAGAATGATGCCGAAGAAGGTAGAAGAGAAGATGGATATGAAAAACTAAGATAAGGAAAGACGATGGGGATGCGGTGGACGAGGAAGAAGAGGTGGAGGAGGAGGAGGAGGAGAAGGAGAAGGAGAAGGAGGCAGCGCGGAGGAGGATGAGGAGGAGGAGAGGGAGGGGACTTCGATGTGGTGGAGGAGGAGCACCGGTGTGGTCAGTCCACATGTGCATTGAGAACCCTTCGACGAGCGCGCGGTACTGGACGAAGTTCGCCAGCTGAGCTTGTTCGCAAAGTTCCTCGAGAGTTTGCGGGATGCCATAGAGCGCAACCTGGTTGGCGACCCCCAGCTCGGGGTTGCCGTATGGGATGTACGTGTGATGCTCTAGTCCCGACGAGATTTCCTCCATGAGCAGCCCGTTGGGCATCTTGATGTAGGAGGGAACAGCCTCTTCCTCCCCCAGTATCGCAAGGAGAGTTGTAACCAGAGGCAATCCGACGCTGCCTACCTGCTCAACAGCATCAGGAAGGACTGGACGAGATGAGCCAAGAAGACAAGGGAGAGGAGAGAGCAGAGGGTGTAGTCGACAAGACCGCATTTGAGGCGAGAGATGGGAAGATGTGTGTGATAGAGCCGGAAGACAGAGGAGGGAGGAGGGAGGAGGGAGGAGGGAGGAGGGAGGAGGGAGGAGGAGAGGAGGGAGGAGGGAGGAAGGGAGGAGGAGAGGAGGAGAGGAGGGATAGGATGGAACCTCTGGGTTAAAACCATAGGGGTAAAACTTCTTGGCGTAGAAGGATCGCGGATCTTGGATGGTGTAGGGACCGTCGGAGAAGTTACCCTGCCGGTCTGACATCACTGCAATCTCCACTTCCTCTCTCCTCACCTTCCCGTCTCCGAACCCTTCCCACAGTGATCCGCACACATAATCCCTTCCCCCGTCAAGCTCTGCGATCAAACTTCTCAGACGCCCGTCCAGCTCCTTGCATGGAGTCTGCTCGTTGCCCCCAACGTAGATGCTCGTGCTCACGTTCCCTCGCGCCTGCGCATGGAGAACATCATTGAGGAGGAGGGAGGGATGAAATCGACGGCAAGGATGTGCGGAGGGGCACAAAGAGGGGAGGAGGTATTACGCTGCGGACGAGGTCTTCTGCACAGCGCATGAAGAGTTCGTGATCTAACGGGAAATCTGCGCTTCCTCCTCCTCTCCCATCATCATCTCCTGTAATCCAGAACTCGACCCACACCATAATCCCAAACTCGTCACAGGCGTCATAGAAAGGCTTCCGCTGGCATCCTGCTCCTCCCCAACACCGCATCATGTTCAGGTTCGCATGCGCATGCAGCTGTACGTCGCTCCTCACGCGCTCCCTCGGCTGTCGCAGGAGGGCATCACTGCAGATGTAGTTCCCTCCCCGCACAAACACATCGCTGCCATTGACCCGGAACTTTCTTCCTCCTGTTGCCTTATCGACGAAGCTTTCAAGGTTGCGGATCCCGAATCTCGATTGACAACCATCGCTGAAGTCTCCCTCCTCCGTCACAACCGTCATCACAAGATCGTACAGCGGCTGCTCTCCCATGCCGTTGGGCCACCATAACCTGGCGTTGGAAATGCTTTGAGGAGGAAAGAGGAAATCCACAACTTGACGAGGGGCGATGGTGATGGTGTCTTTCAGCAACAGGTCTATCACTACAAACTCTTCATCACTGTCAGCGAAGGCTGTGTCCGTGTGCTGCACTTGCAGCGTCAGAACTGCTGTTATCTCTTCATCTGAAGCATTCGTGATGTTAACCCCAAACTTGCTCTGACCAGTAACTGGTTTCCCGGCTTTCAAATCTCCGAGGTCCCCAGGCTCTAGCCAGCTCTGAGCATACGCGTCTTGCAGCACGAGACGTCCTGTGTTCTTCAACAAGATGTCGCTCCACACGCCCGTTCCTCTATCTGCCACCGGAATCACCCAATCCCATCCCTGGAAGAACTGCGATGCGACATCCTTCGCCAGCTCATGGTCCCCCCCTTGCCCCCCGGTCGGCGGGATAGTCCCATAGTGGTCAGGAGGGCGCACTAGCAGCGCCATGAAGTTGGAGCCGTCTGCTTCAAGAAGATCCGACACGTCGATGCATCGGCGAAGAAACATGCCGCGATCATCAGCAACACCTACTTTCTTGCCATTCAAGAACAGCTCAAAGGAATAGTTGATGCCGTCTAGTTGGAGCCACCAGTATGGAAGCGGCATTTCCTCATGTAGCTCGAAGGAGCAGAAATACCAGTATGTGTACTCTTGAGGACCAACTTCTCCGATGTCCGGAATCTTCATGCTGTTGAACCCGATGTAAGGATCCGCGTACACTCCTCCTCCCACAAGGTTCGCCAGGACAGTTCCCGGGACTTGCGCGGGCATCCATGGCGACTGTGGGTGGAGAGGGTCTGGAGCATGAGAAGGGCTGGTAAGTTCACATCCAGACAAGAAAATGTCCCGCGCCTTCGCAATCATCCACATTTCCCCTGCCACAGCAACATGTCATTCTAAGTTTCAAGAATCGCTGAAGCTGCAAGAGTTTAGTACGTGGCTCTTGTTGATCGTAGCATTTCTCCCTCCTTCGTTCCCTCCCCTCCTTCTTCTCCCTCCTTGCTCTTCCCCGTCCTCCTTCCTCTCCCTCCTTGCTCTTCCCCGTCCTCCTTCCTCTCCCTCCTTGCTCTTCCCCGTCCTCCTCCTCCCATCCTTCCCTCATCCCCGTCCTCCTCCTCCCATCCTTCCCTCATCATTTCCCCGATTTTTACTTGCCCGACGGTGCGACGGTCTGCTGCCCCAAGACCTGAGGTGGGCTTGCTGCGGTTAGCGCCGCCCAAACCGTCGTAGGGCCTCCGCCATGCGCATGGAGTAGCGTAGAGCCACAACGAGGGGAGGAGGAGGCAGAGAGAGCGAGGAGGGGAGGAAGGAGGGAGACAGAGAGAGAGAGAGAGAAGGAGACAAGAGCTTGACTGGAGCAGGATGAAGCTAGAGGAGAGGAGGCGAGGAATGGAGGGACAGCACTAAAACAGTTTGAGATCATTTACTGAGTTTTGGACTTCTGATCATGTCGACGACTTTGAAGAACGCACACGTCTCTGCAGAGAGGGCAGACAAGACAGAGCAGAGCAAGACGCCAGTGTTTAAATCAAAGAAGGTGCAAACTGAAAGCATTACCCCAGCTAGCAAACCTCGAAAATCTGTGTCAAGGATTTATCACGGCCATCGTGGAGAAGAGGAGGATTGGCAGTCGAGCTTGCAACAGATGATTCGCGAGAAGAAGTACGAGGCTGCATGGGACATCATATCATCCATGAGCAGAAACGATCCTGAGGTAGCATGGTTCAGAGCCAAACTCCTCCGCCTCATTCTCAGCAAGCAGCAGTCGCTCTTGCCGTTGGACGCCCTGTACAGGAGCTTCTCTAAGAACGTTGTTTCTCAGGAAGAGAACAACGAGGTCAGACCGATTCCTCCTCCTCGCCACGTTATCGAAGAGATCTCTCGCGACAGCCTCAAGGCTCTTCAACCTTCTCTCAAACCCCACCTAAGACGGCAACCGGTCAAGCACATTCCCGACAACCTGACCGTGAAGTTGCTCAACTCACCGTCTCACTTCAACATGCAAAAGTTCTTGGAAAAGCACTCAGTGCAAGCGAAAGGCTCAGGCTCAGGTGACTCCCAGGCCCCGACAAGCATGAAATGGAAGGGATCTGTACGCCAGGCCCTGGAAGAAGCTCGAGTTGAGGCGTTTGGGGCGGTTCTGAGCAGTCAAACTTCCAGCGCAGATTCGAAGGTGCATCTCAAGACCATTGCTGACAGCAATCTGAACAAAACGAACGAGAAGAGAGCCGAGCTGCTTGCGGCAATACGCGATGCTGCTGCGTTCTGGTTGGTAAGCAAGAAGCGGAAGGACTCGGAGTTCAAGAAGACTTCGACGATGAGGCTGAATCACCTCAAGAAGATGACGAGAAGATTCAAACAGCTGGAGGCTGAGCACAAACTTGAGTCTATTAGGAACCTGCAGACCTACAAGAAGGTGCTGAATCAAGACTTGGTCGGGTACGCGCTGGCATTGGAGGAACGAGATACTCTCGGATTGAGCTCCAAGGAGAAAATCATACAGACAAGCATCGAGAAACTGAAAGCTTCCACGAGTGACGGCGTGAGCAGCACATGCACAGATAAAGATTCGATACCTGAGGCTGACGCGTCTCAAGACCTGCAGTTAGATGAAGTTGCCGATGCCGCCATGGAGCCCACAGCCGCAGAGATTTCAACGGTCTTGAGACAAGAGACGGCGAACAAGTCGAATCCGAGCACACTCGAAGAGGGAGAGCACGTAGTTGAAGGAGCTGGCGAAGATGAAGCTGAGGTTGAAGGAGCAGGCGAAAATGAAGCTGAGGTTGAAAGAGCTGGCGAAGAGAAAAGTTCCGTCGAGATTGAACATAACCTCAAAAACGACGTTGACGCGAATCAGAAGGTTGAATCAGAACTTGAAACCTCAAATCAGAGCGCAGGCAAGGACGCCAGCGACGAGGCTGATCAAGCATCCGACAAGGCTCTTATGGGACATGGAAACTGCTCTGTTCTCAATCGCTTGAGAGCAAAGAGTTTGTCTTCGGTCCTCGAGTACGTGGTGTCGCACAGGAAGATCAGCAACGCGTTCGATGTGAACCGCCTGTACGTGCGTCCAAGATACGTGGGACAGACTGTCAGTGGCAGACGAGAAGGCCTTGGAATCCTACAATTCGCTGAGGGGCCCGCGTTCCAAGGCGAGTGGAAAGAAGACGTGCCATGCGGAGCAGGAGTGGAAAGGTACACGGACGGAACCAAGTACTCTGGATTTTTCTTGGAGGGGATGCGAGATGGGTTGGGGATTTTCACCCTGCCGAACAAGATCTGCTACCTGGGATGCTGGAAGGGAGGGAAGCGATGTTCTGTTGGACTTGTTGCAGTGCAGAAAGACGCAGCCATTGAAGACTCATTCTATGATATGCTTCCTGTCATCAAGCTCGAATTTCCTGTGGACTCTGATCACCCTAAATCGATGAGCAAGTTTGACAAAGACGACTTGAGCCACACTCTTCTCTGGTCAGATGCAATTCTTGCTGCCAACTTCGCGCTGAAGAAGTCGAAGGAGGCTGAGACAGTCGTCATGAATGGGTTTTACAAGCCTGGAGCAGCTCAACGAAGCACAGAGAACTTGGGGGTTCGGCTGAGGTCCATGCCAAGTAGCGTTAGAGCATATCTGACAGAAAGCTTTTCTAAATCGTTTTAATAACATCCCATTGGGATCCAACAGCAAAATGCAAACGCTCCAGTTGAAGCGCACTCCTTTGAAGCTTGTTTTGTCTTGTTGCAATCTCGAGCCTAGTCCATCTCTGTCAACCTTATTCCGCCTCTCATTTGGCTCCGGGTACTCCAGCTAGGGTGTCGGGCCGTTGAATTGCCTTTGCCTGGCATGGCAGAGCTGAGGGCAGGGCAGGGGACGAGAGAGGGAGAGGGATGGAGAAGCTGAAGAGAGCGTCAACAAGCTTCTCGCTCCTGCAGGAGCAGACTGAGAACACACAGTTCTCGTCTTCCGACTACCAGAACGATGGTTGGGAACCCTTTCTGCCACAACAGAACAGCGCAGGAGCACTGCACCAGAGCATATTGTCGAGCTTCATTCAACGCAAGGAGAAGTTAGACTCGATCCGCGGACAAGAGTTTCTGCATGCTAATCTCAGCGACTTCCGACGAGTCTTGGCAAAGCGAACACAACGGGTGTTGGCGACAGAAGGAATCTCAGCTGACAAATCAAATTTGGGTGAAAACATTGAAGGATATGTAATCTTTGATGAGAAAGAAAACAACTACAAGTATCTGAAAGAAGAGCCTGATGAAGATCAGATTAAGAGGTCATGCAGTCGTTTAGTAAGGGGTTTAGGGTTTTGAGATGAATGCAGTTTCCTCAAGTCGGAAGGCAAGCGGTTGTTCGGGCACGAGAGGGCCCACGGGGAGGTGAGGGACGAGGACGATGGGTGTTGTCGCATGTGAGATGATCCACAGACATGGAGATGGAAAGACAAGGCAAGGCGAGGAGGAGATGATGACTCGGAGGAGAGCGAGAGGCTCGAGGAAGAGGACTATCGTAAGAACCCTCCTGCTGCCTGTGCTCGCTGACTCTCTCTAAGAACTGGCCCTCCATGTGCTGGCTCGCCTGCATCAAAGCCCTCAGATTGTCGTCTGCATCATCAGCCTCACAGGGTCGGGGTCTGAGTTCTTCGTCACCAAGAACAAGACTCGCTGCGCCGAAGCGTAAGAGCTTCTCGCCTCAGCTTCTTGTCTTACTGTTCTGCTCTCAGACATGCGATCTTGAAGAAAGCCCTCGCTCACATCCTCAAGCTGGAAGGAGCTGAGATCGCTGTCAACCCCGCACGACGCTCTCCTCCTAGCAAGGACAGCCTTGCTGAGAGCTGCGACATCGAGATCCGAGTGACGACGCAAGACAAGGACTTCTCGGATGTGACTGTTACCGTTGTAGTCTAGAGGCTGACGAGGCTTCAGGTCGTCTGCAAGAACCTGGTGGAGCACATGTCGCAAGACTCTCTTGGCTCTCTTCTCACAAGGCAGGGGATCTCTGTGCAGTCAAAGATGCAAACAAGGCCTGCGGTGTTTGTTTACGGCAAGGGATACGATGACGTGCAGAAGCTGTTCGGGGAGCCGGCTTCTGATCTATATGTCCGTATCACCAGATGGAAGTACAGCCTTGCTAGAAAAGGAGTTCACGTCGACCTTCACTTCGAACAGGTCTTGGACGGTGACAAGGAGGAGAACGAGATGGTGAAAGAAAAGGAAACTGTCGAACATTCTTGTGCTCAAACTCCGAGCACGCAGCCACCGGAGGAGGATAGTCGAGCGAGGCGATCAGCTGACAACGACAGGTCCTCTTTCTACTGGAATGTTGTAAGTTTGCTCCCGAGTTGACTCATTGATCATGTAATGTTTCAAACCTCCACAGGAGGAGCTGCCGCATTACCCTCCTGAATCTTCTTCAAGACCTGCGACTTCATTTCCTCCCTCCCCGCAACGAGGCAACTTCAAGTCCTTCTCTGTACCCTCTTGCTCACAAGCTTCTCGTCAGATCGTCACATGGCTGCTCTTCCAAAGAGAGTGTCTCGCCATGGCACGGCTGCTGACATTCCCCAGCGACGAGCTATACCAGCTGTGAAGCATGCGACAAGAGAGGTCAAGTCTTCGCTCGGGCTGGAGACCGAAGACGTGGAATCCATCTCCAACTACTTCAACGAGATCAAACAGAAGAAGCTTGCTCCTCAAAGAGGTTTCTGCCGTCCTCCTCCCCGAGTAACTGTCTTCTTGTTATCCTCGCTGCTCTTCACATGCCTTGACAGCCAACTTCTTCCTTCTCCAAGGCCCCCACTCCTGCCCCTTCCGGTCCACGCAGCGCTCCAGCAAGCAGACATGCAGCAGCAGTACAAGACGCCGATGTCAAGACAAACGCAATGATGCAGGGGGAGGAGGTGGCAGAGGACAATCAGATGTATTGGAGCACTCCTGACCTGAAACGGGAGAGCTCTGCTCATTCCCGACCCAGGACTTCAGTCTCGTCTAGGAGTGCCCGGGATGAGCTAGAGGCAGCAGCAGCAGGACGATCTCCTTATGGAGAAGAGCTCCTGGAGCAGTACGTCACAGCAGAGAGGAAGGTAAGCAGCGCCGGCAGAGCCCTGGAGGCGCTGGAAGTTCAGCAGAGCGAGGAGGAACCTTCCTTGGCGATTAATCATCACGACAAGCATGAGATGTTGGCGGTTGTGGATGAGACGCAGGAAGACACGATGTCCTACCATTCTCCTCGCTCTCACGGATCTGATCGTTCAATTATGCTCGAGGCTTCTACTGCGATCCAGAACAAATTCTCGCGCCCTCCAACAGCCATCAAAGCTACTGATATGTCAACTACAGTCGTGAAAGCTACTGATATGTCACCTGCAAACAGAGCTGATGATATATCGACTAAAAGTAGAGCTGATGATATGCCGCCTACAGCCGTCAGAGATACTGACACATCAACTTCAAACAGACCTAATGACATGTCAACTACATCAACTACAATCAGAGCTGATGACATGTCAAGTACAATCAGAGCTAATGATATATCCACTGCTGTCAGACAGCATACAAAGTCACATCAAGACTTGGATCGAACCAGCATTGCTGTGACTGAACCTGAGCTCTTTGAAGAATTTGTAAGTGACCTCACCTTGACGATCGGGTATCACACGTTAACTTGTACTTTCAGGAGAAAGTTTCCGAATGGGATACAGAGAATGTCAAGAACGTGAGGCATAGGAGCAAGTCCTCCCACTGGTGGAGCAAATTCCAATCGCTGCAGGCCTATGAGCTCGTTGGCATGTCTTCTCGCTGACAGTTGAAAGCAGGAATCTGATTGTATCTTGTGCCGCAACACCAAGACTGTGAACGTATCCGAGATACCTCCGCCTCTCATTTCGCTCATGAACGATTCGAGCGTGAGGAGCAGGTGCGACCCTCAGCCTCGTTTCACGTTCCTGACGGCTCATGAGCAGCGCGGCTATCAGATGCCCTTTGTGCTTTGGCATTGAAGCAGCGTATAGGAAGGAGCCTTTCTCTTTCGGGCCGTCGGTCGGCCAAGAGAAGAAGGAGGAAGGACTCCGGGTGGGCCTCGAGGTTCGAGACAAGAACGAGAGAGTAGCGAAGGAATCCCGCGAGCTGAAGCTCAAGCTGACCTCCGGCTCTTCTCAGCTGGTCGACGTCTTGATCGATCACCCTGGTGTGGAGGCCTTTGCAGTCTTTGCTGAGACTCGGATCTGGCAGATAGACCTCGACAACCTCAAGGTGCTGGCTCGCCATGACCTGTCCCGCGCCTTTCAAACCTTCGCGGCTTGTGCGAGCAGTGACGGCATCCTGTTCCTGGGATCTCTTGGCAGGATCTTCGAGGTCAACACGCACGGAGAAAGTTTGATACAGGCGAAGCTCAAGGGGCAGAGAGGAAAGATCCTCTGCTTGTCCGTCAGCCCCGACCGGCTCGTGCTCGTGTCGGGCTCATCTCAAGGAAGCACCTTCATCTGGAGCACTCAAACCCGACAAGTCCTCCACTGCCTTATCACTTCCCCCGCCCTCGGCCTCGACGCTGGGGAAGAGCAGCAGCGCAGCTTTGACTTTGCCTTCCATCACCATCGCGACGAAGTGACAAGCTGTCTGTCTCTCAACGGCACTGCCATCACTGGCAGTAAGGACGGCTCCCTCTGCGTCTTCCACCTGCCCCTGTACAGGAAGCGATGGCAAGTTGAGATGGAGCTGAGCAGCTTGCAGAAGCTCTCGAGCGAGGTAAGAGAGCGCGGGTAGCAGCAGGAGAGTCTTCACTCAGACTGTAATCAGGAAATTCGCGATGCTATGGGTCCTGACAAGGTGCAAACTTTGATGGCAAGAGCTGAAAAACTGCAGGAGGAGTTGAAGGCCCTGACGACCAAGTGAGCTGAGAAAATGTTCTAGTCGTTGCTGACAAGAGCTTCAGATGCAGGAGAACTCTGCTGGAGTCTGCTACCTACGGGTCAGTCCTGTCGATCCTCCACTGCGAGGGAAGCTCGGGTCGGCCCCTCGTCTTCACAGCTCACCTCAACGCCGTCTGCTGCTGGGACCTCAAGACAGGATCAGCCTCGCGGCTCTTGTCAGTCACGGACGCAAACTTCGTTTGCTCCATGTGCGTCGCCTCCTCGTTCGTTATGGCGGGTCTCGCCAACGGCAAGCTCCTGCACTGGCCTATCGAGGAGGAAGTCTGCGGGAGGTTGACAACCTGGTCGATGGGTGACAGCATGGTGAGAATGCGGACCAGCAGGAGCTCCCTGCTGGCGGTCAGCTCGGACCACCTGCTCCGTGTGTGGTCAATGCGGCAGTGGAGGAGAAACTTCCAGCAGAAGTCCAGCCCGAACCTCTTGCTCCGCAGCCGAGCCCGCCCAGCCAACGTCGAGATCGAGCTGGACGAGGAGGAGAGTGAGAGCAACGGGTGGAGCCTGAGAACTCCAGAGAGCGTGGGGACAGGACGAGAGACTAACAAGTGGGGAGCTATGGCGCAAGCTGGACAAGAGCTGGACAAGATCATCTTCAGAGCAGAAGATTTCTTGAAGAGCATGGAGATGCTGAAGGAGAAAGCTCGAATGTTAGAGTAAGGGATGCAAGCCAGAGCCAACACGTCTTTGTAAGATAATACAGCAAGAGAAATATCAATCAATCATTGAAATCAACATGTCGACTCGTCGTTCTTCCCTTCACAAGCTCCTTGTCCTGATCCACTGAAGCTGATGGATACGTCGAAACACTTCTGCTCCTTGACACCTTCCATCACACTGCCAGGTCGTCAGCTTCTGCTGCATGTCATACCTCGTCACCTCAGGTCAACGATGGTCGATGGGCTCGTCCTGTCCAAGTGGAGGATCAGCGGTTTCTGTTCAAGGGAGGAGGAAGGGAGTTCAGCCTCTTTCCTGCTCTCCGACACAGTCACAACAGCTCTCGTCGCCTCTCCTCCCCACTGCACGTGCGGGAGCGCTGTAATGCAGACATAGCGATCTCGACCCTCCTCGATGTCAAAGGAAGCAAACCATTCGCCCTGCGGCTGAGCAGGAGCGCGATTGAAGAGAGGAAGGGGCAGCTTCCCGTTGGGAGTGACGAGGAAGTCAGGAGCCTCACTGCTTTGAGCTTGGGGCTTCTCCTGCTCGCTGAGGTAACTCAAGATCACTTGCGTTTCAACCTCAGGGTCTCCAGCATGCAAGTGGTCAGCTGCGTCTGAGCATGCGTCCTTCTCCTGCACTTTCTCCACTTGCTTGTGAATATTGCCTTCAATTGAAGTCTCAGCAACTTTTCCTGGTAAGTCGAAGTTCTGCACTGCCTTGGTCTGATTCTCCTTGTTCAATACATCTTGATCCTCCTCCTCCCTCTGCTCCCCCTCCCCTTTCTCCTTCTCCTTCTGCTCCCCTCTCTCTTCGATCTTCGCTCTATTTGAAATGGCAAAGTCATCAGCATCAGACACAGGCATCGGATTGTTCTTGTCCTCCACTGTTCGAGCCCCCGCTGAAGCAGAGGCAGGTTGCGGCGACATTTGCCTGCTGTGAGAAGAGAAGGAGAGAGACGTTGGGATCGACTTGAGAGAAAATGCTTCGGGCTGGTAAACGAGATTGTTGTAGCCGAATCCAAGTTCATCTTCAGCCTCTTCCTGGTGGCGACAAGATCAGTCGGCAGATCGAGAACAAGGTCATGGCGTCACCTGTTGCATCATCAGCGCAGAGGTGTGCGCATCCGTGTCGAGCTCGAAGAGGAACAGTACAGCTTCGCTCTTCACGTAGGGGTCAGAAAATATGTTGGCCTGCAGTCACTTGAGACGACCAAGGGAAACAGGCAGCTCCCTTTCCTTACCTGCGTGATGCAAGGATTTGCATTGTCGTCCATCCTCAACCAGATCGCCGACGACGACTCGTGTTTCGAGTATCTCGTGTAGGCATAATAATGCCCAGATTGTGTCGTGCTTCCCCTGTCTCCTGGTCAGAAACTTGCTCATCCAGAGAGCTCGGAGCACCTGTGACAAACAATCGCCCGCAGGTTCCATGGCACACTATGCATGATAGGGCTGCTCCTCCATTCGGGCCTGGAGCTGTACCTGCACGATAGTTGCCGTCATGACGGAGCCTTTCAAGGCTCTTGACATACTTGTGAAGGTTGATGAAGCTAGGAAAGTCAACTTGAGATTCGATCTTTAACAGCTGCTCGTCGAATCTCTTCAATGAAACGGCAACGATGCTCGGAACGTTCTCGACGGAGTACCTAAGACTCGATCATCGGGTTTACCAGACATTGATTCTTTCTCACGTATTCAATGCACAGACTTCGAGTACCTGCCCCTGAACCTTGCGTCGCAAACCTTACGAGCAAAGCATCAAAACCGAATGTTTCCTTAGGTCACCTCCACAGGATTGTGGTTGAAGAAGCACCTGAAGCCACGTTTTCATAGAAGAAAGTGTCCAGAAGGTTTTGCAGATTCAGAGGCTCATTTCGTTGTACTTGAGAGTCAAATAAGGGGACTGGGAGAAGCGTCATGTTCTCTTCTTGTCCCTTGTCGCTACTGTCTGGCAGAGCCCCAGTGAAAGTTCGACGCGTTGTTCTGATCAGTTGTCCTCCTAGGATGGAATAAAGGAAATCAAAGAACTCTCCTGCATCCTGCTGCTGATCTGGAGCACCAACGTACTCCCACCCGAGTTTCCTACACAGCATGCGGATGTTTGCGATGACGTCGACTGTGATATGCTCAAAATGGCGAATCCTGCCGACGAAGTTCTTCAGGATGTAGCTTTGGAGCTCTTGCTTCAAGAGTGACAGGCCGTCAGTGACCGGAAATCTGTTCCAACACCATGAGTTAACGCAGGAATCAATCGTCTGCCAGCACGATGCAGTCGATCGTCACCTCTTGGTGAGAAGCTGCTCAAAGGCAGGTGAAGGAACCGCAAACATCGCGAAGAGAACTGAATCCAAGTAGCAAGTGTTTCCAGCATTGAAGATCTTGACCTGATGAACAGCAGCGCACTCAGTGATCGTGAGACAAGAGAGCGAGGACTTCATGAATCGATAGAGGACTTGTTTTCAATCACCTGAAATATCTCATCTTGTGGATTCTCAGGCATGTTCCTTACAGGGTTGTTGCCCATACGCACCTGTTTATTGTTGGATCTGACCTCCGCACCTTCTCATTCGTGATCAGCAACATGAGGTCTGACGTGCCCTGACGCATCACACCTGCGGGATCTCCTTCTTCGAATGGGCGCTTGATGTTGAAAACTTTGAGCGCTGTCAGCGCTCAGTCGGCTATGCTCTGGTTCTGATGTCTATCTGGGTGAAATGATGCAGCTGCGGCTCAGGTCCACTTCGATTGACGACCTAAAGGAACAGAACATCACTTGGATTGCCAAACAAGAGAACGAGATCGATATTTGAGTAGAACAATATGCACTGGGACAGGCCATTGGTGAACTACCAATCAGCATGAAGTTTTACCACTGTTGACAACAGGAGAGAGATGTTCATTGCACTGGAGATCTGTTGAGTACATATATACTGAGCAGAAGTGCTTTCCCCTCTCCCAGTCCGCCAACCTAGATCAGCTCGCCAGCCTCCAAAAACCCTGCCCCTTCTCTCGCCTCCCCCGCCTTCCTCCTTCGCTTCGCACAGCGTCACAAGTTCTGGCCACCCACTTACTCGTCATTTTTCCTCAAACTATCGTGTGGAGAAGCCCTTCCAATGTCCCCCTCCTGTCTCGATCGCTTCCTGGCTCAGACTTTGTCTCAGGTTCCTCCCTCCTCCTCATTTACTCCCCTCACCATCCAAGCAGTGATCAAGACTCAAACTATAACCCTGACCAACTTCTTCCATCATCGATATCATTCATCGAGCTCTCCCCCTCCCCGCCTTCCCCTCCCCTCTCGCTGTCAATTTCTCAGCAAAAAGCGCCATCATCAGCTGCAGGCAGGAACTTCTTGGTCCCTCCTCCCCTCCCTTACATTATCACCCAACGCTCAAGGGCGCCCGCCTCAGGTGATAATTGAGCCCTCATCACCCCTCATTCCCATCTTCTTTTGTCTTTTCCAGACTCAGGCTTATCACACAGGCTCGTCCCCGCTCACACCCAGGTGCGCCTTTTTCCCGGTAAGCTGTACTCCAATACTACAAGTTAGGACCCTACCAAAACTTACGTCCGATCGCCTAATATTCATCTGTCACTTTTCAATTTTGACAAATATATGGAAATGAAGGTACTCAACTTATGAAAATATTGTTGGCTTGCCAGAGTTTGTCCCATAGCGCCTCAGCGGCAATGCAGCGACGGCCTTGTTGCCAAGCAGCCTCGAGCCGAATCCACTGATCGTTGAGACCACTTTCATGCTGATTTCACTTCGAAGTTATGATCAAGATCGCCCTGCTGCTTGTTCTTCGTGCTCGCTGCTTGCCCTGCGTTGAAGGCGTCGTTGTTGCAGGCCGTCTTTTGTGTTGCTTTCAAGGCGCATCGCCATGGTCATCGTGTGTGTTGTGATAGCAGTTGGGAGGAGCAGATAGGTGTTTCTATTGTGCAGAAGATTCAAGGGCATTGCCTTTCGCGTATCCTCTAAATTCTGCTGTTTTAAGGTTCCCTCATGAACAAGTAGGTGCGACGTATATCAGTGGTAAAGACTTTCCAAAGTCTCGTCTGTCGGTCGTGCTTACCTCAAGGAATGCAGACCTGCAAGAAAAAAACTCGTAAGAAAAACAGGAGGACCTGGAGCATTGAGAAAATGGTACATGCGATGGACCCGAATCGACCTGCAAGGCAAGATTGCATTCGTATCTATTCCGTGTGTGAAGGCTTTTCGGTAGGAATCAAATCCATGAGAAAGAGGAAGACGCGATGATGACAGACTGGGTCTGTTGATCTTGGATGGCAACTTCAAGCCTGTTGACGATCTTACAGCATATGGAGCGCGAGCTTTCCTTCGCCATGTCTCTTCACCATCGTCTGGGTGGCAACAGCATGGTACGGTCTTGTCACCAGCGACAGCATTTGTCAGCTGATGAAACGATCTAGGCTCGAATGCTGCAATCTGAAGAACTTTGCAACCTTGTCTGCAAGATGGCTAAGACACCGTGTGGACCCTGTTTCTTGCATCTTGCTTCCTGCTCATTGTTCACCACCTACAGTGTCTTATGCGTCATTGGGGGCAAAGATCATCAAAGCAATGACAGCATATCAGCCGTGGAGTGTTATGAACCAGACTCTCAGGCAAGCTCCATTGGAAGGTAGAGCCTGACAGTGACTCCCGTCATCCTCAGAGATGGTTCAAACTCCCGCCGATGCCCTTTCCCCGTCGCGGCCTTGCGGCAGCAGCACTCGGTGAGTTCTCTTAGTGTGCACGCGAGAAAAGTTTGCTTCCTCACATGTGGAGTAGATGATCGCGTCTACATCGTTGGCGGTCAATACTGGTGATTGATCGATCAACACTCGTCTCCTCCTCGTCTCCTCACGCTCTCCTTCTTAGCGGCCAGTACACTCCTCCATCGGGCACGGCGCCCATCTTCTGCAGGAAGCCCCTCCTTCAACCCGCCAAGGTTGGTAACAGTCGCAGCAGGTATCATCCCAACGCCATGGTGCAGTCCTTCAGCGACAAGCTGGGAGACTGGAGGAACGAGGCCCCGCTGCCCACAGCTCGATCGTACCTTGCAGCCACAGCCCTCAAGGGACAGCTCTATGCTCTCGGGGGCTTCGATGGCACTCTGGGGAACCGCTACCTGGCTACCGTGGAGAAGTATTGTCCTCTGATGGATACATGGGTGTCTTGCTCGCCTCTCCCTTCCGAGAGAAGCCACCTTGCCTCGGCTGCCTACGGAAACTCCATCTACGTCTTCGGGGGATACTGTTCAGGCGCAGCTGTCTCCTATGTCGACGTCTATGATGTGGTGACGGACGAGTGGAAACGAGGACCTTGCATGCCCACTGCTCGTGACTCGCTTGCTGCCGCCGTTCTCAATGGAAAATTCTTCGCTTTGGGAGGATGCACGAGTGGGGGAGTGACGAGCTTGGCGTCTGTTGAGAGCTTCGATCATCGCTCGGTTTCCTCCTCTTCGGCTCCCTCGCCTTCTGACTCCTCCTGCAGGGCAAGTGGGAAACAGAAACGCCCATGCCGACCACTCGAGCTCTGCTGGGCGCTGCTGTGCTTAACGGCCGCATCTTCGTGGTAGGAGGGACCACGGCGTACAACTGCCTCAACTCCGTCCACAGGTGAGAAGAGCGCGACAATGGAACTCGCTGATCTTGATGCAGCTTCGACGCTCGTATGGGAGCCTGGCAGGAAGAGACCCCCATGCAGTCGTCGAGAATCGGCGTAGCGGTAGCTGTGATATGAGGAAATAGTCACAAGGCAGGAGCATAAGAGAGAGGAGCAGCAAAAGTTTGAATGCTGCTGGCGATTCCCTCGGGAAGGGAGGAAGCAAGTTGACGATCAAGAAACAACAATTGTTTATATCAGTTTGATTGTATTATGACGAACAGGAAGAAATGCAGAAAAAATAAAAGGAAGATGAATGCGGGTTGCGAGGTGCATCATGACACGGAGAGATTCTGAGTCTAGATTACATGGTAATGTTGTAACGTCGTCAGAGCTCCAGGAGCAAGAGAACAGACGAAACTTGGCTGCTACTCCTTCCCTCTTGACAGCAGGCCCTTTGGTACACCTGTCAGAGAGTTTCCCTTTCCTTGAAGCAGCTTCGAAAGTGCGCAATCCTCTCCTCCATGGATCCGCAGAATTTGCTTCACCTGCTCACTGACGTTGATCCCCTGCTTCTCTGCCGCTCCCTCCAGCTCATGCGCCAGCTCTACCGCCTCCCCCATTATCTGATACCTCGGCTGTAACTTGCCGATAGCGCCTGCAAGACACTTGCCAGTCGCTATGCCGATCCTGCACGCGATGTTGACGGAAAATTCCTCGCGAGCATTGTCGATAATCTCCACCATGTCCCGAGCAAGCGCCACCATGCGCTGGCAAACCTGCCGCTGGTTGGACTCGTCGATCCAGCAGGCGCAGATGTAGGCGTCTCCTATGGTGTCCATCTTGAAGACGTTGCGGGCCTGCACCGCCATGTCGAACTGAGAGAAGACAGAGTGTATGAGCTCAGCCACCCTGATCGCCTCCTGGCTCGCAGTCAGTTGCGTGTAATGGCAGAGGTCCAGGTAGAGAACGGCGGCGTTGCGGAACTCGCTGGCAATCTCTCCGTTTTCCAGGATCTCCTTGGCGATATTCTCAGGGAAGAGGTTGTTCAGGATCTTGAGCACGGCATTGTTCTCATGCTGGTACTTCTTGAGTGACTTCCATCGCTCGCGGTCCACCAAGTGGAGCTGCCGGAGGTGCGAGTAGCTGAAGCTAGTGCAGAAGATGAGCAGGAGGAGATAGTTGAGGTTCATCTTGGGGGTCTGGCTAGTGATCAAGTAGAAGCAAATCGGTAAAAAGAAAAGAATGAAGCTCAGCATCTGCCGCACTGACACGCCACTCTGCATCAGGTTGATGACGGTGAAGGCTGGAGTGAAGATGAGGATCCAACCTGTCGCATGAACGATCGGCAAGAAACCGAGCATGGTAATTAAGTACAAGGCATTGTACACACAGAACAATCTCTTCCAGAATCGGAGATAAGAGAAAGCAGACTCAGGTTTCGTCCACCTGCTCTGCAGGTGCATGGCAGAGAAGAGAAGCACCAGTAGTCCAAGAAAGAAGCGTTGAGAAAAGAGGAAAAGCTTCTTGTCTTTCACGTTCTCCATCCTCTTCACTGCATCCAGATTGTACAAGTTGTGATAAGTCACCAAGATCCTCACAAAGTTGCTCACCACCGCTCTCGATATGTTTCAAGTTTGATGGAGAATCTGTCCGAGTAGTACTTTGTCTCCACCTCCATATTTACGAAGCGACATGAACGCGTCGAGATTTCCACTCTTTTCTTCCTCCCACCCACCTCTTCCTGTGCTTCTGACAGGCTGATCCAGGAGCCGTGGCTGCTAGGTGGGGAGTCGCAGGTGGAGAAATGCTGGGAGATGGTGTCATCAGACCGTGAATTCTCTCTGCTCAGTATGTCTCCCTTCTCTTCGATTCCCATCACCTCGTTGATATCGCTGCTCCTCCTCACCCTCTCCTCCGGACTCGGAGCATCCCCTACAGCATCGAAGCCCACGTAGTAGGTCTTGATCTTCCCCTTCCCCTTCACTTCCTGCACCCCCCGACAAAACAGAGGGATGTCCGGATGAAGTCGCTCCATCACCTCCGCGAAGCTCTGCGAACAGTGGATCCTGTCAGCCTCCGAGTAGCTGCACATCCTTGCTCCCGTGTTGATCGCATCTCCAAAGAGACAGTAAAACCTCCGCTGCTGCCCTACAACTGCTCCTGCCACCTCGCCTAGCGAGATCCCCACCTTCACCCACAGGTCCTCCCCTGCCTGTGATTTGTACATCCTCGCTTTGCTGATCAGCTCTTGTGCCAGAAAGACCATGGATCTCGAGCTCGTCCGCAGGTACTCCTCCTCGTCCAATGGCTCTTGGAAGGGGTACGCCGTTCTCGGGCATGCAACCACATAGTGATCGAACACGTGATGGTACTTGAACATACCGAAGTCCTCGACAATGTTGTCAAAGTCCGCAAAGATCTTCTTTACCAGCTTGAAAACATCTCTTGTGTTAGTGCGAACATCTTGGATTGCGCTGGGCGACAGGCTCACGAACATGATCGTACAGCTTTTCATCGTGTTCCCCACAAAGTCAAAGTTCTTCTGATCTTTCAGCCTCGAGTGAAGGGAGCGAGGGATCAGCGTGGAGAGCAGCTGGTTCGTATGCTCGGACGCAAGCTTGAGAGCCCTCTCCCTGAAGAACTCATCCCGTGCCTTCGTCATCCTCGATTCGCAGATAAGCGAGTTCGTCCCCGTCGAGATTGCATGCTGCAAGACGCCTGATATCAGCGTCATCAAGTCAACCCCTGTTACCAGTCCTGTGAAGAGGAGGCTGATCAGCTGGATTATGGACAAGTAGAACGCAGAAGATCCGTCTATCCCCGCTGATATGGGGAGGAAAGTGCCGAGCAGAGCGTACATTGTCAGACCGTCCGGGTAAATCAACCTTGACACACACCCTCCGTCCTCACAGCCAAACTCAGAGCAATGCTGTGTTATGGTGGCGTGAGGGTTGCTGTCAAAACAAGTCCTTCGCCATGGAATCTGCCCTTGAAAATCGATTGTCAGGTTGACATACGGGGAACGGCACGTCTCAGAGAGTGATCTTCGCATGTCGGCCACAGCTCTTCGCCCTAGTTCCAGTTGAAACATGAATGAGAAATATATGATTAACAAGACATCTTTGTTTTGTGTTCTCCGTATCAATGCTTCGAAAAAATTCAAAAGAAATGGAAGGCTCGAGAGCAAACTGACGAGTCCAGAGAGGAAGAACAAGAAGGCATGAAAGTGCAGAAGCCATTCCTCGCCTCCACACTTATCCCCGCGAGATAAAATACGTGCTGCGAGTATGTAAAGGAGACCCACGATCCAGAGCTGTATCCTGAATGCTTTGACATGCTGTCTGAAGTCGTGCTGCCTGAAAGCCAACTCATCGAAGTCGGCTTGATCTGTGGAAGAATTTCTCCTTCCAAATCTTGATACCGGCTTCATGTTGACGTATATCAGAGCGATAGAAACAAACAAGCCATGAACATGAGCCGGGTCAACATGCTCCCAGCTACCTCCCCCTGGTGAAACTCCTTGGTACAGGAAACAAACTCCACCAACACTCGAATCGACCAATCGGAGATGAGGAGAAGGAGCAGAAGGAATCAGAGAGAAAGTACTTGTTCTTCAATCATGCATTACTGATATGCTGCTGATGTTCCTCTTCTGCCCATCCCTCTCGTTGCTCTCTGGCCTGGTCGCCATGGCCACGCACCCTTGTAAGATTTGAGGAAAGATTTTGAAAATTTCACTGAATGTTCAAACTTTGGTAATGCTTTTGAAATATTGTTTGACTTCCCTAAAACATTTATTATATACGACATTTACATATGGTTTATACATTTACTAGTAAATAGCTAGTATCTACTATGTTTTAAAACGGGAACCTTGCATAAAACGTTATTGAATATCTAATAATAGCATTATTTTACTTCACGCATGCGTACATAGTAGTAAAGTTCTCTCGTTCTCGTGTTCGAAGGAGGCAATTCCATTGGGTACAAGTTTTAGTCAATCTCCAAACATAGTACAAACATACATAGACCGAGCGCTGCTAGCCGGGCTGTGACTGATGAGCTGATGACTCAAGGCTATTATGAAGAAGTTGTTGGTACGAGCGGGGAGTTGGCCCACCACGATCGGAATCGGCGAGCCTCGGCGCCGGGGCCGACTCCGGGCAAGGCCCCGCTCTGAGGTCGGAGTACGAGGAAAGTTTGTTAGACTTGTACTCCGTCGGTTATGGGCCCCGTTTACTATGCTCAATCATGTTGATCTTAGTAAGCCTTGAAGACTGTCCGGTCTTGTTCAACCCCAGTGCAGCTGAGGTCGTGGCCGCTGGCCGCACTGTGCCACGGTGACCCACCGTGCCCGGCGCTCAGCGGCTCTGGCAGCCCGGGCACTGAATCATACAGTACCAGCCTAGTAGTAGGTCCGGAACCGTTCCGCCCGACTGCCCAACGGTTGCCCGATGGTGTTGGCGCTCTAGCCCGGGTGAGCCTGCGGCGGCGGCTGATGTAAGGAACCCGCAGAGGGACTGCGGGACTGGGAGGAAGGATGAGCTCTGAGTTCGACCTTGAGTCCTTCTCGAGGATAGGCAAGTCACTGTCGAATGCTTCCAGCCTCAGATCCATCAGAGAATCGTTGGAAAGCAGCAGACAGCAGACAAGAAGGAGCAGGGAGATAAGGTCGAGACTCTCCATTGAACTTCTCTTTCCTCCATGTGACTTGTAAAACAGCTTCGTGTCTCTTTCGGAAGTCAATACTCAGATTGTAGATTTTCATGTAGATCGTGGCCGACATGCAGTCATGCTCTCTTCCCCACGATCCGAGTCCCTTCAGGATTCTTCCTCGACTACACGTAATCCGTTCCAGCACCTGGTGTCCTTGGAAGACAAGAACAGCTTACGAGCGTCCAAGATGAGGAAGAGGCAGGCAGACAAACTCCACGAGAATCGATTTATCTCTCAACGAGGAAGCCGGGAGCTGGATGCTAAGCCCCCTAAGGTGAAGATTTGATGCGTTGTCAGTCGGAATTGATGGAGGCAACAGGAGAAGCTCGTTCTTCCTTCCTCAAGTTTTCTTGCACCAGAAAGAAAGGAGTCAGTCTATTACAAGATGCAGGACAAACGATGTGAAGACCCTCTCATGCCTCTTGTGTTGTGTCCTCAATGTGCCCATCAGATGCTGCTGTGCCTCCGATCGGGCATTACGATGCTAGCTATGAGCTTGTGAGACCGAAGACAGCCAGACTCTGCTACATTGCAGCAAAGCAGCACAACGTGAGGTCATCGTCGCCTCAAGGGCACTTCAAGGTGTCTGAAACACACTTCACGAGGAGCAAGAGCTTCGAGTATGCTCCCAGGCAACCTTGACAAGAGAGTTTGAGAGAGATAGTGTGACTGTTTACCAACAGCTCAATCTCAAAGTCCGTCGAGAACGAGATGACAAGCAGCCCTTTCAATCTGAGAGGAGAGGAAGAACGCCTCATGTTCTCCCCCCAAGAACGGGTTGATCCCTTTGTCTGGAGAGCGTAAGGCACTGATTATGAGTATGACAGAAGGAGAATTCGAGAGATTTGCAAGAGAGCATCTCTCAAGTGTCTTTCCGAAGAGGTTCGAATTCTTGCAAAGATGTGCTTGCACTGCTGTATCCTCACTTCTTTGCAGGTCATGACCCTTCGGAAATCCAATCCACTGATCAGAACTCATGGTTGAGACCGGAAAAGACGCAAGATTTCAACAAGACCAGTGGAAGATTTGTTGGAGACCGAGCTCTCATCGCAGGCTACCTGGCTCTTTCTCGCAAGGAAATGTTTGACCTGGAGTACTCGCCTTCTGTTGAGATTCTGGAGATCACAAAGAGGTGACTTAGCTCCCTGTTTCAACTTGTTGCCTCCTGAGATGCTTCCCAGACACACACCTACCCCTGACCTCTCCAGGAGTGGACGAGACCACAACGATGCGTTAGAACGATTGGGTGACCCTTGCTTCAGCTCGCTCTGCTCATCTCCCAGTGTTTGACGCAGTGAGTTTGCAGGCTATGTAACACCCGAAAGAACAGCAGCGTAAGCACCTGTGTTGATGTTTGTGAGCGATTGTCAATGCTGAGCCACAGGACTCCCTACTACCCGAAAGTTGCGGATCCCATCCGCTGGAGTGAGCAGAGGAATTGGTTCCATGCGACGCATCCGAATGTAAGACGTCATTGTCATAGGTGGTTTCTCAGACTGCTTGGTACAGAACAACAAGGCAAGTGTCAACATGAAGACAATGCTTCCAAGGAAATGGACGTCTTCGGGCAAAGGTGAAACTTGTTTTTCTGAGCAAATAGAAATCTGTTGACATCATGATTGAAAAAGCAGTCCCTTTGGGATTGGATCTGCGAGAGGAGTCAAACAGCAACCTACATCTCTTCAATCTCAAGGAGTCGCATCCAATGTCAAGACACATCCCATCCTTTGAGATGCGCAAGTCAAACTCTTCGCATGCAGAGAAGCTGAAGACTTCATCAAGATCAGAATGGGCTCATGACCCCTCCTTCTCCCTCGTCTATCCTCGTCCTTCCTCCGTTCCCAGGTTCGACAAGATGACGAACCGAGTGCCCCTGTCGTCGGTCGAAGACGAGGACTTGCACACCAACCACGATGGAGAGCCGAACTACGCTGTCCTCCGCCCCCGATCGTTGTCCCCTGTCCGAATCTCGAAACAGGTGGGTCGGGAAAGTCACGGCGGAGTGATGCAGAAGACAGGAGCAGGAGGGCTACACGGCCTGGACTACTGGGACGGAGTGCGACAAGCGCAGGGCTCACTTCGCAGTGCCAGCCCAGATTTCAACAAGACGATAGGGCGAGAGAAGAACAGTATTCTCGACAGCTCGATGAGGGAAATGATGCAGCTCGCGAGAACAATTGACAGTCATTTCGTCGAGCCGTACTCAAAGGTTGGAGTGAAGGCATATAGGGAGGGGAAGGAATCGGGGGAGATATGGCATCCAAAGGATAATGTACAAATCCACAGGGTTCATAGGGTCAGCCTCGACTCCAACTCAAGATCGCGGGTCGAAGTGAACAAGCTGAATTCCAGCACTGGAGGGGAGCCTGAATCCGCAAAGAAGTTCAAATCAGCTTTTGTTGACAACATCTTGCAGAAGCAGCGATCGCCAGTGAAATAAATGTCGAATCGAATTTTTGTTTTTGTCGACGTATATGTACATGTTCGATTGTCAATCGGACGGTACATTTGCAGGGGAACGATTTGTTTTTTCTCCTGTTGCAAGGTCAGGATTCCACCACGCGCATGCTGCAGACGATTCACTGCCTGTAAACCCCATACAGTGCATTCCGTTGTCTACATGCAGACAAACGCCAGTAACCTGAAGTTTGTGGGAATTTCAAAGCAGAATCGATCAAGGACAATATCTTACAGCAGTAGACAAATCTGAGCAGAGTGCAAGAGCAGCCCTTCCAACGTCATCAGCATCCATCTTCCGCTGAAGCGGGGAGTGCTCCTCGTGAAACTTGATGTAAGAGTGTATGAAGCTCTCTCCTCCGCCCTGTTCAAAGTTCATCTTCCCCGGTCTCCCTTCTTGTTGCATCTCCTCTTACATTCTCAATCGCGCTGGCAGCACGTGAAAGCAGGGGGCCAGCAGAGATCGAGTTCACCCGGATGCCGAACCTCCGACCAGCCTCGTATGCCAGTACGCGGGTATCGCTCTCCAGCTGAGCCTTAGCAGAAGACATGCCGCCTCCATAGCCGGGTATGACGCGCTCTGAGGCGATGAACGAGAGGGATAGGCACGACCCGCCCGGCCGCATGATCCCCCCAAAGTGCCTGACCATCGAGACCCACGAATAGGACGAAGCGGAGACAGCCGCTAGATAGCTGAGCATAACACACGTCAGAAGCTACTCGAGTTGGGAGGGCCCCTTCCCTTCCCGCGAGGTGTCGATGAGCGGCTTTTGAACTTCGGGAGCATTCGCAACAGCATGAACGAGGATATCGATTTTACCCACGTCCCTCTTCACACGCTCTGAGCACGTCCTAATGTCATAGTCCTGCACATCTGCATATCTCCTGCTGCCCTTTACGTGCTCGGGAATCTCCTCTGGTTCAGAGTAGTTGACTGTGTGAAGCAGGTCAATCAAAGTCAACACCGACGAGTAGCTGACCATCAAGAGGATAGATCCCTTGAAACTTCATTGCTGACCCGTCAGCAAGCAGCTGCTTGTCACCAAACCCTCTCTCCAACCCTCTCTTGAAGATTTTCAGTGCAGGTGGCCAAGTTCCAGCTAGGACTGATGCTCCTGCATTGCATAGTTGCCTTGAAATGGCCCATCCATACCCATTCGCATCAGCTATACCAGCTACAAATGCCACCTGAACATGAGGCGCGAGGATCAGCTGGAAGTCACGCGGGAAAGAGACTAAGAGCAACAACAGTGTTGGAGATCAAGAGCATGCCACACCTTCCCCTGTAGGTTTAAATGGTAGCCCGGCATCTTCACGCTCTTCTGACCAATCTTTTTGAGTATCAGTTGAGAGGCGCAGTAGAATGTAAGAGTGTAAGGCAAATAAGAAAAATTGAGGTGGAGGTGAGTCTGGGAGGAGACAAGTAGGTAGGAAGAAAAGGAGAGGGAGAGGCGGGGGGGGGGGGGGGCGAGGGGGAAATTGGGAGGGAGAAAGGGGGATTAGAGGAAGAGCAGGACCCAGAGGGAGAGGGAGAGGGAGAGGGGGAGGGGGAGGGGGAGGGAAAGTTGAAGGGGGACCAGCTAGGATGTTCCGCCAAAAGCAAACAACGATGGTCGCATCTCGGATCGCTTGATCTTTAACTTGTATTCGCTGTCTTTTTGAGTTTTGTATCTGTATCAGCGAGGCGGACTGCGAGTCTAAAACTCTCTGTTCGAAAGTATTTATTTCGCCTGTTTGTACCTCGAACGATGAAATCTTTACCATTATATAAGTTTCAGTACCAAATTTTATATAGTCTTTAATTTTAATATTATGAAATAAGAACAAAGAAACGAATTCTTACTTACCTATTTACCTATTTACGTACAAATACCATAGAATAACTATATTATAGATAGTCAGTTAGTACGAGGAAAATAAACTCGATGAAAAAGCGCCACCCTTGTTTTAATCGCAGAAGGTACCCCCCACCCCTGAAAGAAATCACCCTACCATGGTGCTCGCGACTTCTCGATTCTTCTAAACAGAATAGTACCCCTACTTATTCCTCTTAGTTGCGGAAGATATGTCAGGGGTATTTCTGATCCACCACCCACCTGGACCTTACAACACAACTACCCACCCGTTCAGGAAGGACCCCTACCCCCAAGGTAGAGCCATAGCCCCTCGGCCATCGCACACTCCTCGCCGCTGCCGCTGCCATTGCGCGCCTGTTTCTTCTTGCTGGTGCTAACGCTACTCCTATCGCTCCTGCCGCATCTCCTCCTTCTCCAAGCCCTGCTTATCATCACTGATTGCGCTTCTGCTTTCCGTGTCCTTCGATCTCCTCCTGTCTTTGCAACCGCATTGAAAAGTAGCAGTTGCACCAGTTGGGAGGTTTACAGAGTTTGTCGGGGTCTCGTCTCTCCTCTTCAGCTGCAAGTCTCATCAAGACTGTAGAAATCTATCTTCAAGTTAGCATAGTTTGAAGGGCCTTGAGCTTCTTACTGTGGATTATTCCCTCTACATTGCTCCCATTCACAGCTTCTGTTCTTGGTGAGCCGTGGAAACCAGCGGGTGACTTATCCTACCTGCACAGCTTTACTTGATCTTCAACAAAGGAGTTCATCTTCCTGCACAAGTCGGGTTTCTCCAATCGAAATCGATCACCGCCCCTTGATCTTGAATCTTGACCATCTGTTAGGTGGACCCTGGCATCGGTCCCTGCAGTTCTGCTGATAGCCAGGTCGTTCATTGTCAGACCCTTCTTTTCTGCTCAAAACATCTTTCTCTGGTGGACTTCTCTGTTGCCTTTTCTTGTTGGAAGAGGATCAGTTCGCACTTGAATCATGCAGATGATGCCTGTCGCTTCTGAAAACATTCAAAATCTGATCAAAGACGTGAAGCCATCAGGTATTCTCTTGAGAAACTTGTTGCCTGAAATAACTAACTCTTTTAACAGAATCAATGCATTCTCGTCAAAACACTCCCCTCTCAATCGTCTCTGTTGATTACACAGTACGTGAGTGTTGGGCTAGTGGGTATTACGTGGATGTTACTGTGGTTGTGGACTGCAATACTGGTTCGCGCAGGAATAGGTTTGGCGTCAACGGTTGGACCATGTCTTTTGAGCTTCGTGAAGCCAAAATCGTAAAGATGTGGAATGCTGTGATGAATGTTGATGGAGGTTCGGTGACTGCCGTTCATAAGAACTTTTGTGCGCCTGTTCACAGGGGCCTTGCGGTTCTTTACCTTGGATTCGAGGCCAAACCAAACAATTATCGAACAACACCTGTCTTCCCGGACACTATCACGGTCAACGGGCAGGTTTGCGCAGTAAATGGAAGCTTTGCGCGTGAGATTGCAGATTGTTCGAAGGATTACTTGATTGCAGACTCGCCTTCTCCGTCCCCTCGTGCCTCACCATGTCCTTCCCGAGAGGCATCTCCAACTCGCGTGAGGCCTGAGGCAAGAAGATGCGGCTCTGCACCATCAGTCCTTCAGCTCTTTCCTTTCGGCTACGCAGATCGATATGATTGCAGTGAGGACAAAGCGTCTCATTCGTTTGATTGTTCCGCAGAAAGCAGGGAAGCCTCTGATAAAGATCGCCCATGTCAGACCTCTTGCAACCAAGAAGATCGCGACGAGGAGCACAGCGTTGCAGACACGCTATCTCCATTCCATGACGACGTTGCCTACCTCCACGACATACAAGATTCTCCGGATCAAAGAGATCAAAGGTTCGAGAGTTCCTTTACATCCTCACCAGAAGAGTTGGACTGTACGCAGAAGAACATCGTAGGCAAGCGAAAGCGAACGGCGGAAGAATCACCTGAAGAACCACCTCAAGAAGCTTCTTCCACGAAGACGGTACCTAGATACCCTCGTACACTTACGTTGGAATACTATCGAAGGTCGAAAGCGTTGAAGAAGCGCAAGTTCCTGCACATGGACTACCTCGACTCTCACTTCGGCTCCCGAGAGGACGTGATCATGAAGACTGTCCTCGATAAGGCTCCCATTGTTCTTGAACCCAACATGTTTCCTTATGATACCCCAAATGGTGTTACTCATTGGACTCTATGGAGCAGAGCCTGGTTGACCGAACCCGAAATCGAAGATTTCGTCAACAAGTGGCTGGCAGATAACCTGCCTGAAGCGATTGAGTGGAACCACGACGACAACATGGCGGACGGTTTAAGTATCAATCTCTTTCACTTGCACGTGTACATACGCTGTCCTGCCAAGTGATTTGTCGTTGTTTATTGTTTCTCTGTTTTTTGTTGTACTATGTAAATAAAAAACCTACAAAAATCTCTAGAACTTCGCCTTCATGAGTAGTAGGATAAGGTCCCTGCATTCTCGGTGACGAGGCGAAACTGCTCTTCGTTCCACGTCATCCTGATAGTCTCCCACATGTCTTCGTGGCTCTTGCGGAAGTCGGCGAGGGTTCGAGTGATGGAGTTGCGGATGATCGGGTCCTCATCATGCAGCAGGCAGAGAGTACAAACAGCGTCAGGCATCCAAGCTGGCAAGTCAGTTGGGCTCGAGATGATGGCAGAAGAGACGCCGAGCACCTGCTCAAGAGGGCATCAGATTTTTCCCCAATGCCACTTCGCACCATTCAATTTCCCCCTGAGCACCTCGTTCACCCTCCCCTTCTTCGCACCTTTGCATGACGAGTCACAAGAGCTGCGCTACGCTCACTCTCAGACATCTCCTTCTGCATCTTGGCTCCTCTCCGCTTTGGCTTTGGCGCCAGGGACAGGAGGTAGGTGACCTTCTCTTCAGAGAAGGCTCGCAGTATCGACGCAAGAGATTGGCTCGCAGAGATCCTGACTTCAACCACCGGGTCGCTGATGAGACGATGAAGGAGCTCGAAGGCCTTGTTCTTGATGTCTACCTCCAAGACATGCGAGTGACCAAGCTCGCGGATAAAGTCAACGGTTCCCGCACGAACTCTCCAGCTCTGAGAGCTAGACAGGAGCTCTTCCACCCGTCCAAGCACAGCAGCCGCCGTTTGCCTGTCTCTCAAAGTTCTGGCAATCAGCTCCAAGGCAATCTGTCCAACCTGTCGATATACATCAGAACAAACCGACCAAGTCGACAACTCTACCTTGGCGAACTCTCTGTCCGAGTCTTCCTGTATGATCAAGAACAAGGAGATCGCCTGCACTAGGTACTTCTTTACCGACGTGGAGTATCCTAATCGGCACGAGTGCATGAAGTAGTAGATGACGCCTTCGATCTGATTCTTGAGCTCCATGAGCTGCTGTGAACCCTCTGTCGGGCGATTGCTGAAGTAGAGGTTGTAAAGTCTGGTCATATCCTCAGTGATCCAGTCCACCAGCTCAAAGTCTGGAATGATTTTGCCCAACACGATAGTCTGATCAGTCATGCGAACTTCGCCGGTGCCGCTAAAGCCGCGGCTGATTTGTAGGAGAGATCGTCCGCACTCCTCGCGGACTAACTTGGAGCTGTTTCCGATCAGACGACGGCTCGTCTCATTCAAGATCCGAGCAACAGGAAGTCCTTTCCACCCAAACTCCATGAGGAGACACTGCTGAAGCTTGAGGCCCTTCACCTGGAATCAAGAAAGAATCAGGCAGCTGGAATGATCACCATCTGTCTTGTCTCACCAGATACAAGGCGGAATCATTGTTGGCAGCGCACAGTGACCCTACAATTCTGCTGAGCCAGTTGAACCTCCTTGGATCACGATTGGATGTCGAAAAGCGAATCATTTCGCACCAATCCCCAACGGTGTCGGGGGCAGCTCGGCTCAGAGTTTCCTTCAAGATGGAGCCAAGTTTTTGACGGATTTGTGTGCCTTGCACATTCTGCCAGTGATTGCTTGCTCGTATGACACCAGCCAAGATTTCAGCAGCGGCACATTGATTCTCGCGGTCATCAACTTTTCCCGCCAGCTCCTCGATAGCTGGAAGGGCATTCAAGGATGCATCTGGTCCAGCTGTGAGCATGAGATACTCAATGGCAAACATGTTATCTAGGTTGAAATCTTTCGATAGAGGTGCAGCGCTTGTTCTTGGCCAGAACCATCGGGAAGCCACCAAGCTGCGTACTGCAACTGAAGCTGCAGGCATGGAAGGCGCATTGCTGGATTGAGTTTGAGCCCTTTCATCCCCGCTAAGTCTGTGATCATTGCTGATCTTCTCAACCACGCTCTTGAACCAATCGGACTGTGAAAGCAAGCTATCAATCAGATCCATCACTGCAGAATTGGACCAAAGCTCTTGCTTCTTTGTCTCCGACGCTTGCCATGGCTCATCAGAGAAGGGTCCCTCGAATTCTTGGTCTATTGGCATCTCAAAGTTCTGAGGGTTCAGTTGATTATCTGCGCCTTCAATGCCTGTATCAGCAGTGCTCCCTTCTGTTTCCATACAATCTTTCGCACGATTCACTGAATAAATCAAGCTGAAGTTGAATAAAACAGCACGACAGAGTTGACGAAGTGGTAAAATATCACTGTTGAGGCCATGAATAACATATTCAACAACTTTGAGGTCTGGCGTGCAGTCTTGTCGCATTGAAAGCAGAATCAAACTGGAAGTTGCGAGTACCACGTATCTCCAGTGAACCGAGCTTGAGCTCGTACCTGATGATCCATCAAGTTGAAATTTCATGAGTTGTACTAGGCCTTCATAAGTTTCCTGGCTCTTCTTGGCACGGTAAGTGGAGGAATTTCTCCCAGACTCAAACAATTTCTTTACCATTTCTTGTGAGAAAGCGCTTGTGACGTCAACATCGGTCATCAGGCTATCAGAGTGTTTGAGGCCTCCAAAAGGCAAGGCGAACCAATGCTTGACATAGGTACTCCACAATTGAGAGAGTCGCACTTGAATTTTGATTTCATCATATTGATGTGACCCCAATAACCCATTCAAGAGAAATTTGCTCAAGCTCCAGTTCCTTACAATCTTCTTCATAGCTTGATTAGTCTGAACTGTGAAGATGACTCCCTTCAGGGCACCCTTGGACGAGTTTGCATCGCTCAGGGTTGAAAGAACCTGTGTCAGACATTGCACATGCAGGTATGGAAAGCGGCGAATCACTTTTGGCAAGACTTTCTGAGCCTTTTTTCTCACCATTGAAAAGTCATGAACACACATCGATGACAAATGCTTCAAAAGATCCGAGACAACTCCATTGGCTTCAAAGACTCCCATGTCCAATCGCTTTCCCATCAAAGCATATGATCGCCATACGAGAAGAGGCCTCGAGTATGCCGATTCTTTGCCTTGGAACCAAGATCTGGCATAAATGTCACAATCCAGTGACTGCATATGTGGGTACAAACCGATTGACAGCTTTGTGATAACTCGCCGAACTCTTCAAAGTTTCATACTTAGTCCAAACCCCGTTCGATGCCAAGTAAGATGATACCTGCAGGCAAAATCCTCAAAAAAATGTGCAAGGGTGTGTGATAGTTTTACCATCTTCAAGAGAGCCTTTATAGTTGGAACATCAGGATTCGAAACATTGGCATGTACTTTGCAGCTTTCAATCAGCAACAATCCCAGTTTCTCTCGAAAGCCTCTGCCCCACTCAGGATCATCCAAAACAAAGGATCCCCAGCGCGATGCAAGATTGTAATCTGTGTCATCTTCGTCATCGCACTCTACACCTTCTTGAAGACTACTTTCTTGAGCCTGGAATTCTGGTTTTGCCCGAGGCATAGGAAAAATTTGTGCTCCACCTCGAATCATAGCATCGATACAACCAAATGCTGCTCGAATTGATGCAGCATCATTTGACTTGAAAGCCGTTTCTGACAGCAAAAAATACTTTTCAAGAATCTCCCGAGACTTCTTCTGACAGTCGCTATTTGGTGTCAAGAAGTCAATCTCCATGTCCTGGAAAGAGGGTGTCGGTTTCCTGATGTCTTGGGCAGTCAGCTTCTGCATATTCGATCGTTTTGATGGCGGTAAAACTGAAAAATCTCTTGGAAGCACTCCAAGCAAACCTCTCAACAATTTTCGAAGCAATTTTCGGGCTTCTCTTTGAATTTCTGATTTTTCATGGAAGAGAGCCACATCTAAGACAGCTGTAATTTGGTCCACATGGATCAGGACTGCAGATCCAGCATTAGACACAATGTGTCCTAACAAATGCATGAAGTACGCCGCCTCAGAAGCAGGAGACTGAATCTGTTCCCCATCTGATGTAATTACCTTCTTCAAGATTGCTGGGATGAGGTGATTTACCGATTTTGTCGCATTTGCATGTACCAAGGATGATAGTAAGTGACCAACAATCTGTTTTGCTGTCGGGAAGATGCTGGATGAAAACTGCCTGGTAATGAGGCTCAAGCAATGGGAATACAATGCATCTGACATTTGGTGAAAGAAAGAAACAAAGAATCTTCTCAAGACATCCTTCATGTGGCTTCTGAAAGGATTTCCTTTCTTCAAGTCCGGAACATTTCGAAACAGCTCTTCAAATCTTTGTAAAATTGCAGTGCATAAATCGTTCAGCACATACAAGAATTCCGGCTTCTCAGATATGTGCGAGATGTCTTTTGGATCTAATAAAGGGACCTCCATGAACAGCGCAGTGAAGAATCTCAATGCATACAAAGTTTTTGTAGGATCATTTGCATCGATTCCATTGACCGCAATCTGCATCACTTGCCCGAGAAAATCGAAACCTTCATCCAATTCAAGAATTGGCTTCAAAAGAACCGATGTAAGGCTTAGAGAATTCTGTACTTCGTGCGGCCTCATCACGTTCTCTATGGACATCAAAATGTTTTGCATGATTCCTGGAAGACAGTCTCTTGAAATCGAACCAAGTTCCTGACTTAGGTGATCAAAATTTGATCTTGATAGACAAGCAAATACCTTGATCGCTTGCGAGGCTGCAAATGACATAGAAATGTCTTTCGAATAAAACGATTTGAGGGCGAGAGGGAGGATGAGCCCCTCAAACCATTTGTTATCCTCCTCACTCAGCATGTAGGTGGATTTCCACGGCTTTTTGGCCTTGTGCTTCCCCGATTCCATCCCGAGTCTCTTTGAGTAATTCAAAGCAATCCTGTCACAAAAAAAACGTTACCAATGATTGATTGAAAATAGAGTATACATCTTGATGAACATATCAAGGCATTTTGTATAGCCTCCTTCCTGTACAAGAAGAAGGGATTCAATTGACCTTGAGGTATTCAGAGTCACAAACCTGGAGTGGATGAAAAAACGGGGCCAAGTATTGCAGAGTCCTTTCGAAAACAGTTTTTGTTATCGTATTGGGCGAAATTGTAAAGACAAAACAGCGAGTCAATTTCTTCACTGTCTCTGCTTTCATCTAACGAGCAAAATGTCAGTGGCCATGAAATTTAAGAAAATTCTATGCTGTAGGATGGTTTTCTTACGTCCTTCTTCCCTTCAACAATGAATGAACAGTTGCTTGGCCATGTGAGCTGATCAGGATTTTGGGCATTGTCTTTGGCAGTTGGAACATTCAGCAATTGGAGGAATGTGTAAGACAAGTCCTCAATCAGAGGATTCAGCTCTTCAGTCATCTAAAGTGAGAACAAATTAGCACAAGTTAGTGTAATCTGAACCAAGAGATAAAACAACCTGGTCCGCGTTGTGGCGGAAAATTCGATTGAAAAGTGTGATCCAAATCAAATGCCATTCCGTGCAATTTGGAACAAGCTTCCAAATCTCCCTGAACTCTTGCAAAACTGCCACTGCAATCCACGTAATCACTGAAGAGGATAAGAAGGATTTTGAATACCTGAGCCTCCTGCGCTTTCTAGGCCATCATCAGGAAAAAAGATACAAAGAATGCTGCTGGCCATGTAGAAGTTGATGTCATGGAGAAGGAGGTATGGGCGAATCTCGATTAGGATCTCCCGGGAAGCTGAGATAGTGTCAGAACTCGCATTCTGCAGAGAGCTCAGTCGAACCTGTTTGCGAGAAGAAGTTTCTCGCCCTCCTCACTAGCTTGCAGAGGGATTTCATTCTTTGATTGCTTGCCTCCGAACCTAAAACCTGTCAAGGACAAGAGGACAGGTGTCCACGAATACCTTCCAGGTGATGTCCTCCATGCCGCGCGTACCCAATCCAATCGGATCCCTTGAAAGAAGCCGCTGTAAACTTGTTGTATAACTGCCGCCAATCAAAGACTGGTCGATCAGGCGAGCCAGGAGGTGGACAGCCAGGATGTTTGTTGAGGTACTTGAGAACCTAGCTATTTTGTTAGCGGCGAACTGACGCTAAATCATGAGACCTCTGAAAGAGCCATGGCTACGTTTGCTTCGTGATAGAGGTCTCCGTCATTGCGATAGAGGATCTGAAACAAGAGCCGAGCAATCTTGGCAAGTCGCTCGAATCTCACCTCGCACTGGGTTTGAACTGAGTTTGTGGCAAGCAAACAAAGATCGTGAGAGTACCTTGAGCTTCAAGAAGGACAAGTAAGGTCGAACGGAGCGAGTGGAGCCAAGGAGGAGGAGGGAGGATAGTCCCTTCTCTGCCTCTGCTGCTTCCTCCTCGCCATCCTTCACGCCAATCCACTTTGCTGCGAGGCTCGCCATTGACGAGACGCTTCACTTTGGACACCTGCCCCTCTAATCGGTTCCCTAGTCAATATTCCTGTTCTATATGGTTCTATAGTCAACATTTGTGCTGTCCGGAACTTTCAAGACATGTCAGACGGTCTCGTCCTTTCAGTCATTGATACTACAACTGGTTTTACTCAATGTTAAGTTAACAATCAGTACGAGGACACTCAGTCATTGATACATGGTTTTACTCAAGTTAAGTAACAGTGTACGAGTTCGGAGCGGCCTCGGAGTGCCGGGCCCCGGCCGCCGCCACTGAAAGCCAGCCGCCGGTCACCGCAGTGACGGTGCCGTCGGACCGTCACGTCGTCTCGGACCGTACCCGGCCTACCGCCGTCAGTATGACAGTCTGCATTTTTTAACTTACTTGTGACTTTGAGTAAAACTGAGTCATTATGATATCCGAGTGGCGGTACGGTAGCCCGGGATCCGGCCGCCCGGCTGCCGGGGGCCGGCTCGGACTCGGAGTCCGAGCACACTGCCGGCCGGGCCGGGCGGCGCTTCCGATCGCTGTCTTCCGAAAAGTCTCATGGTTCTTAATTCGTAATTGCTGCCTTCTTGATTTTATGGGAGGGGTAGGTGTTCAGAGGGTTGTAAGAAGGGGTAGAGCTATGCTGTGCTGGGCGGTGCAGGCTGCGAAGGAAGGAGGACGAGGAGGACGAGGACGAGGACGAGGACGAGGACGAGGAGAAAGAGAATAGCCAGCAGCAGAACGATGCTGGTCAAAACCCACCAAGGACAACGAGAAGATGAGGATCAAAGGGATGAGGGACAGTTATGGTGGATAGAGAGTCAGGTGTGGCGAGACAACGCGAGAAGGGTGGAAGAGCGGGATTGGTTGGCGTTTTGAACATAGATAAACGAATTGTGATTGGTTTGCATAGCAGTGCTGATTCTCTGGTCTTGACAGAACCAACATGTCGCACGCAAGCGGGATCACAGCATCGCCCGAGCTGGTTGAAGAGTTCTCGAAAGCCAAGGAAGGTAAGGAGATCAGATTCCTCAAGGCTCAGATCGAGGACAAGCAGATAGTCATCACTGAGAGGGGAAACGTGAGCGGGGATGAGAAATCAGGTGCGTGGAGCAGATGCTTGATATCCCTCGCTGACAGCCTCTACACAGACTTCGAGGCGATGACCAAAATTCTCGATGAAGACGCACCTAGTTACATCCTCTTCCGCATCGATGAGGGCCCTAAACCTGGATGGCTGCTTGCGCTATATGTCCCAGAGAACTCCAAAGTGCGTATGAAGATGTTGTATGCCAGCTCTCGCGACTCCTTGAAGCGCGACCTGGGCTCCTCCTCGTTTGTTGCGGAGATGCATGCTACGGACCTCGATGAGATGTCGTACGCGAGTTATCAGAAGTCGACGGTCGTGTCCGAGACTGAGAGACTTTCTTTAATGTCGCCATCCGAGAGGATGCGAGCAAAGGCAAGCGCGTGTTCTAGTCTTCTATCCCTCATTTTCGACCTCACTGCAGGAGAGCAACACGCATATTCATACAGGCGTGTCAAAGTCATACGTTCATGCGGTCAAGTTCCCAATGTCAGAGGATGCCAAGGCAGCGCTAGTCGCATTCAAGTCGAGCGAGAACAAAGCTGTGTTCCTCCAGGTAGAGCAGAGCAAGGAAACCATCGAGCTCGAACACGTGATGCAGGAGGTAACAGGCCCTTGGTGACTTGGAGTAGCATGACGTTACTACAGGGAGATTTCTCGAGCATCAAGGAAAAGTTGTTCTCGACCTCCGAGCCGAAGTTCCTCCTCTTCTCGCATGCAGCGGGTATGAGGAACCCTGACCTGCTCGTTCATCGTTGAGCTCTCGCAGGAGGATCAGAGCAGACTGTGACCGTCTTCATCCTCTACTGCCCGGAGGGAGCAAAGGTCACGTGCCGCTGCACATGACGCAAAGCTGAAGTGATGCAGGTCCGAGAGAAGATGCTCTACTCAACAGCAAAGGTTCCTTTCGCCCTCCGTACCTTCTCTCTCTCTTCCTTTCCCTCCTCTCCCTCTCCTCTCCTCGGTTCTCCTCCTACATGCCCTTGACCTCTGCCTCCTCCTCCATGTCACCTTCCTGTCTTAATCAAAATTGGTGAAAAACAAATTTTGCAGGCTGCCGTCTGTGATGAGGCCGAGGTGCAGGGAATTTCTCTTGACGTCAAGGTTAGTCGATGGTGGTGGTGGTTGTGGAGGAGGAGGAGAGTTTGGAAAGACTTTTTGATGCAATGTGCAAATAGCTGGAGGTAAGAGAAGCGAGCGATTTAACGGAGTCAGAACTTGTGCCTTCCTCCGAAGGTGCGTCTGTTTCAAGTTGGTGCTCGCTGCTTACCCACGCCCGCACAGCTGCTGAGAGCAGTTCTGTTCCAATCCTGCTCCGTCCTAAGGTATGTGAACTCTGGCGAGAGGAGGAGGAGGAGGAGGAAGGGGATTGAAGCTTCGGCTCAGGGCCCAGGAGGAGCGAGGCGAGGGATGGTGAAGCTGCCGGGCATGTAGGAAGCAGTTTATTGATTTATGGAAACCTGGTTGGCCTTCTCAAGTTTGCGGCTCCTCGATCCCAGCAACTGCATTCACCGTTCAGTTGCTCTCTCCTCCTCGCTCCTGCACCATCCCTCCTTCTCCTCTCCTCTCCTCTCCTCTCATTACCTTGCTTCAACTTCGAACATGTGATCGCCATGACCTGCTCCTCTATCAGCGGGCCACATTTGACACCTGAACCTCACCTTGAACAGCTCGCCCATCTCCTCGGGAGCGGTCAAACGCTCATACTGCTTGATGATCTTCTGCTGCTGCTCCCTGCTGCCACGTCACTCACAGCTCAGAGCCCAGCTGGGCTGACGCTTACTCTTCTTGGGATGCACTGTACAGCGCTTGCGCGCGCTCGCGGATGCCCATGGCATGAAGGAAGGCGCACTGAGTGACCGGGCCGTGGACGAGGACGTCTCCTGGCTCTCCTCGTGCAGTGCCAGCTCCTGTTCCAGCTGCTGCCGACTTCGAGCTCACATCACCTTCCTGTCACATACTGTAAACGCAGCACCCTTGCAGCGAGGCTCAGCTCACAGACACTTGCTCACGGAGCTGTTCGAATGCTTCCTTGATGCGCTCTTGCGAGAGAGACTGCGACATTATCTAGTTTACTCCTCCTCCTCCTCCTCCTCCTCCTCCTCCTCCCCTCCTCCTCCTAACCCCTTCTACTACTATTTCTCATCCCGACCCCCACTCCTTGACTTCCTCTTCCTTCCTCTCTACCTCCAACAATTCACTTCCTTCAAATCCTAAACCCTAAACCCTAACTCCTTTTTCCCATGCTCCTCTCTCTCTGTCTCTGAACCTTCTCGCTCCCCCTCCCCCAACCACCATCCTTCAAACCCCCCACCCCACCTCCCCCCTGTGTTCAGTGAATTTTATCCTCCTTGATCTCACCTTACTTTTGGCCTCGCTCTCAAGTACCGACAACTTCTCCTGATACGCTTTGACAGCGTCGGAGACCTTGTCGACTGCACTCTCTGCCGATCAAATGAGGAGGAGCAGGAGGAAGGGAGAGGCTTACGGGAAACTTTTGCCACATCCTCCTTGCTCAGAAGGTCCTGCAGCGCTGATCTCTTGATGGCAGAGAAATCGACGTGGCTGGTGAGGTCGCATTCTCCTGCGAGTCATGCTGTCAACTTTCTCTTGCTCCGTCGACCTTCCCGCTTCTCCTCCTCCCGCAGCCCTACCTGGCTCCTCGAGCACGGGCACAAACTTGTGATTCTTCACAGCCTGAGCGGGCATGAGAAGCAGGAGCAGCAAGATGGGAGAGACCTGCAGCGTGTCTGCTGCGCACTCGTTGTTGCCGTAGTCGACGATGAGGGCGGCTCCTTCAGACTGTCGCACCTGCACGACGACACAAGCATGAGTACATTTAAACGTCAAGGTGGAGGCGAGAAAGGTAGGAAATGGTTATAGGAGAAAAGGAGAAGAGGAAACGAGGGTGGGGGAGAGGCAGAGGCAGGACAAATTTCGAGTATCACCCTCGTGGCAATCTGTCGGGCTATGTACCAAGACTGGGGGCTCAATTCTACCCCCTCGTTGAGCTTCTGCTCTTCACCGATCACGTCTCAGGCAACCAACAGCTCCCCTACCTTGCTCGCCAGGTTGGGGATGATGCTGTCCAAGAGGCACATCTTGGAGGCAGCAGTGGGGCCGTTGGAGAGGACGAAACGAAGGTGATCGGGACTGTCGGAAGGAGCGATATCAACCATCTTCTCGCACCACCTGCTTCATCTGTCAGCGCGTTTCCTTCTTTCACGGGATTGCAGGAAACAAGACAACCCTCTCTCGGTATGGACGAATTGGTGGACAGGAAGGCAATCAAAGAACTCCTGAACAACAGAATGAGCTGGCGCTGAGAAGCGTCTGGATACGATGTGACCTGCGCGAGGATGATGGAGCAGGCACCAGGGATGACCGGAACCTGCAGTACTGTGAACCATGTGGAGGGGGTGAGCGAAGCTGCGCATGCTCGCCTTGGAGAAGTCATCGTGCCAGGAGAATGGAATTGTAACACCTCCCTGTACACGATTTCCTGCGTCATTCTGGGCAGTTTCTGAAACATCCCAACTAGTCAGGAACGGAAAGCTCAGCAAACGAATGCGAGGAAGAGGAGCTAACAAACAGGGGCGAAAGAGAAGGAGACGAGGACAGGGAGGAGGGGACGAGATGGAGATAAGAAGGATCAAAGCCTAGTATACCTCCCACGAGCTTCTCAGATTGCAACTTCTTCAACTTGGCAGAGGCCTCGACTAGGTGAACCGTCAACCCCTCGAGGAAGGGACGATGCATGCCGCATGTCCGCATGATATCCAGCATCATGGTGCCTCTTCCTGGCCCCAGCTCGATCAGCTGGACTTTGGCTGGGCATCCCAGGAGCTGCCAGGTGTAAAGAACCCAGATCCCCATGATCTCCCCGAACATCTGACTGATTTCTGGAGCGGTCGTGAAGTCTCCTTGGGTGCCGAAGACCTCTCTTGTCTGGTAGTACCCGTGCTCGGGATGGTTCAGAGCGATCGTCATGTACTCCGCTACCGTCATCGGGCTGATCGCCAGCCGCTGCTTCAGCAGATTGGTGAGCGGTGTTGCCTTGGAAGCCTTCGGCACCGCTCCCGATTCTCCCAGGGTTGTCCCGACACCGTCCTTGCCGTGCTCCTTAAGAACGCTCTCAGCATGAGCGGCATTCTTGAGAGTCTCGATCTTCCTCCTACTCTCCTCCAATATGGACTGGTAGCCCTTCCAAAATAGCAGTCAGGAGGGCTATGTAGCAAGGCGAGCAGGTTTACCTGGGTTGTCTCCTTCAGAGTTGCTTCAGCGAGCAATCTCTCACGGAGTCTCCTCTCGTCCGGTGTCAGTCCATCCATCGAGTCGCTACTCTGCCATCGAACGCGTTGGCTGCACCAGCTGCTCTTCGTCCTCCCCACCCGCCACATGGTGTAAGGATCGAGAGCAGTTGGTGATCGCACCCTGTTCTCTCCAAGAGTCTTGCATGCTGCCAGCGCTCTTCCTCCTGTGACACACAGTCCTCGTCCTACTCGAGGCATTCCTCCTCCTCCTCCTCCTCCTCCTCCTCCTCCTCCTCGAACAAGATGGGCCAGTGGCTGCCACGGCATCGATAAACCTCCTGCAAATATGCCCTAGGTATCAGACATCGAGTCCGCCTCATCCAAAAACAACAAAGTTAATGGGGCATCTCTTACCATACTAGTCCGTGTCGCCGGGCAAACGGAGGCTTGTAGGTGGCTTGAAGTAACTTGTCAGGCTCTCAAGTAACGAGTCAGGCTCTTGACCATCACCAACATCCGACTGAGTGTGAAGTTTGAGTCTGAGTGGCATTTAATGGTATATTGAATCCGATGAAGATATTAAAGGAAGAGGCTTTATCTGCGTGCGGGGGGACCGGTCAACAGGAGATGCGCATACGCCCTGTAGTTGATCAACCCCTCTTCATCCCTGTATGGTCGCGACTCTTGTAGCAGGATGTCGACTTCCTCATCAGTCTTCCGTGTGTCCCGTCAGGTATGACATCAGAGGAAGGGAAAGGAAACTCACCAAACACTCTCCGAATGTGCGCATGACAAGGGCGAACTCTTGGTCCTTCAAGAAACCATTGCCGTCCTTGTCAAAGGCTTGGAAGCTGCAGTCTCGATCACCATGCGCATAATTCAAACAGATAGGACTTCATACGCTGCAAGGAGCTCTTGCTCGGTTTCCAAGGCCCTCATGGGCAGCGACATCACCTGGAGTCATCATCAGAGTCAAGCTTGTCCTAGTGCGTTGCAACGCTGACATTCACGAAAGTGTTGAAAGTGACGTTCCCCTCCCCATTGGGATCGACCTCGTTGCACAACTTGTTCAGCTCCTCCTGCGCATCACATCACGTCTGTCTTGTCACGCGTTCGATCCTGGTGCACAGACCTGAGTTGGATTCTTTCCAAGGGCCCGAACAAGAGTCCTCAGATCTCTAACAAGAGCAAGTATTAAAACCATCAGTCGCTGGATGATTGCGCTGGGAAGAGTGGGAATAAATATTACTTGGTGGTAATCGTCCCTTGCCCAGGAGGTACGTGAGGGTCTGTGAAGCAAGAAAACGCCTACACTCTAGTAAGCTAAAACGCACAGAGCGTGATTCATTCGTGAATGATTAGGGTGGCAAAAAGAGCGTGTGGCAAGGAGAACAGTGAATACAGGGCAAGGTGCGATGATATGCAACGAGAACAGTGTAGTACAAACGACATGTGTAAATCGCGACCAGGTTGATCATGATGATCATGATTGCAAGGAGAACAAGCAAAGTTTGGAATCCGGAGCAAGAAGCTGGAGCAAGGAGCTGGAGCAAATACAGGGGTGCAGGAAAAAAAGATCACGGGGTGCAGGAACGGGAGCAGGAGCAGGAGCAGGAGCAAGGAGCAAGGAGCAAGGAGCAAGGAGCAAGGAGCATGGAGCATGGAGCATGGAGCATGGAGCAGGGAGCAGGGAGCAGGGAGCATGTTCTTGTTCACCTCCTTCATCTGCTCCATCGTGGGCTGCCCTGCCATCCTGACTGACGCGCCTATCTCGAAGAGACTAGGGTGGGTGGTTGTTTGAATGGGGGGTCCAATAAAAGCTAAAAGGTATGGGTGGGGTGGTATTCAGTGGGCGCAAGATACCCATTTCCTTCGTAGGGTCATGTACCCCACCTGGTAGCTAGTCAAAGTTCTGTAGGAGAGGTAGGGGTTCTTCAATAGCGAAGCAGGGGTCCGCCTTCCAGGGTTTCTGGGGTGGTGTAGTGTTGGGCCTTGTCGCTTGCGATTTGAAATGGGCGCGAATCATGGGCGGGAGTGGGCAGAGAGCCGAGACGATGGCGACGACAAGACGACAAAGGATATGGCGCAACCATGGCAGCAAAAGGATGGTAGAATGCTAGATGACGACGCCATGCAGGAAATGACGAGTTCCACTTTGGGCCATCATAACAACCCTACGACTGGTTGCGGAGTCAACAGGGTTCAAGAACATGAACCTCACAGAAATGGAAAGACTGCAAAAATGCCAGCTCAGGATGGTTGTGATATGAAGGACCATCGTGTAGTGCAGGACGACAACAACCGTTCTTTTGAGCAACCTTGGTATGAGAAGGACCTGAAGTCTCTCTTTGCCAGGCCAGAGTCCACGAGCACGACACGAGGTCCGAAGGAAAAGGATTTGTTTTCTACTTTCGGCGACGAGTGCGATCTTTGCTGCTGCAGCTCGAGCAGATCTCGAGTGCTCTATGAAGGGAATCAGAGAACCGTATCCTCGTTTCCTTCCTTGGAGAGGGTCTCTTTGAACGGCTACAGTAACATGGGCATGCGAGGAATCCGACGTTCTATGCCTAACGACGTGGTGAAGCCTCAAACAGACCTGAAGCGAAACAATATCCCAATGACTGCTCCCTGTAGAATCGACTCCAATCCCCCGGAAAACTTCAAACATGACGTGTTCGAGATCACGAGCACCTCCTACACCATCTTGGATCCTCAGTATACATGGGCACCGGCAAAGGATCCCAATGCGAAAGAAATGCCTGCCAACGAGAAGAATGGAGAAAACAATGACAATGCGTGGAAAGTGAAAGATACCACACAGACAACCGCTTCAGCTCTCAACGATAAGAGACAGACGCCGAAATTCCAGGGGACGCAAATAGACTTAAATCAAACCTGTGGGTCAGGAACCGTCCTATCACCGACGGCCAAGGGGGGTCACACGAGGTGAGCAGATCATTCAGATATAAAGAGAAAAGAGGAGAACGTATTGCACATGAAAGCTGTTTTGGTTGATTTAGGATTTGTGACGAGTATCGAGACCATTCAGATGTGAATGTGGGAACCGAAGGAGTCACTGACCTGCTGTGCAGGGGGCTGGCATGGACTCCAGATTCAGCCGCTGAAGTCAGCAAGATGGCAAGGTAAAGCAAGCATGTCGCATCCCTGCTGTGCTCTCCACCCGGGAACTGACAAGTATATTCCTTGCAGATGCAAACAAGACGCTCCTGCCTCGCCTCAAGTCTCTCCTTTCGGAGAGGACGAGAAGCTTCCAACACCAAGGCAGTACTTCTCCGCCATCCGCATTGAGGAGAAGGAGAACTCAGTCTTCAACATCCTCCCCTAGTATCGGCCTGTCCGTCTTGTTGCTGTACATTATCAGGAGGCGCCAGAACGCGAGGTAGCAGCAGCTCGTGTTTGCTTTCGGCTCAACCAGGAGACCCAGAGGAGGAGGAGGAGCGACGAACAGAGGGATGGAGTGGCCGAAGTGTGTGTATGTGTTTGTAGAGGGGCAGGGAGGAGAAGAAAGCGAGAGGAAAGAGAGAGAGAGGAGAGAGCGAGAGACCTTTTTTTTAAAGAAGAGAGAGGTCTACCTTGCTACTGAGATGGCGCATTGAAATTTTGAAGGAAATGACTTCTTCCTCTAGCACGAGTTGTGTGAAACAGTGTCCTTCCTGCCCGAACCTCTTCCTCAGATGCTCCCAGATGACGTTGGCAGGAGCGTTGAAGGTGGAGTATCTGTCGAAGGTAGGAGGAGCAATCTGAATGTCGGCATCGAAGGAGAGCACGGAGTCGATTTCCTCATCCTGCAGCGAGTTGTGCTGGTTCATCCTAATGATTTTGACGCGATTCGAATCGATGTCAACCATGGAGTTGAGGAATTGTTCTAGGTGGCTTCTGAGATCCCGAAGGAAGTCGAACTGACGGGAGGAGGAGCGGGAGGACTGAGTCGTCGCCCGACCCTCCACCAGCAGCCGGGCAAGGATGGACTGCTCTGCCATGTCCTTGGAGCTGCTGGGTATCGCGCCTTCCTCCTCCATGAAGGAACTTGAAGAGATCCGTTTGATCGTCCCCTCCATGCTAGAAAAGAAGTACCTGCTCCTCCTGTCAACGGCCCGCCCTCTCCCATAGCTCCTCCTCCTGTCCCAATTCTGCCCGACGAGGACAGACTCGAAGATGGTGGCAAGCGAATCCAAATGCTCAAGGGCTGAGGCCGAGGAGGAGGATGAGGATGAGGAGGTCGTACGGAAGATCACTTTCCTCTCCATCGCTCGCATGCTCCTCCTCTTCAGCTCTATGTACGACTCGACCCCATCCTCGATGGGCAGAAGGTTGTCGGGATCCAGAAGGACCGTACGTGACTTGTCGGGGGGCAAGTCCAGCTGGCCTCCAGCACGTTGCGAGCTCGGAGCTGGTTGGGCGAGCAGAGGTTGTACCATCCTCTTTCGATCTTCTCGCGCCATCACCTCACCGCGAGTCCCCTGCCGGGGCTGACAGTCGACCCTCTCCCTCCACTCTCCTACGGGGATCAGGGGGGGACACGCCTCCTCAAGCTCGTCCTCCTCTCCAAGGACAGGAAGAGAGCAAGAGGGAGAATCCTGCGCTAGGCCAGTGAAAGAGGGAGGCTTCAGCTCCTTGGAACGTGACGTGTCCAACCCACATATGCTGTTGGAAGCGAGGAGACGAGGAGAGGGAGATGGAATTTCGACTTCCTCCCCGATGTTGGAGACGATCGAGACAGAGAGAATGCTTCTGGTGACCTTTCCGTCGTAGATCGGAGCAAACTTATCTTGTAGCTGAGTTGTGATCTCGAGCAAGAGTTTGGAAGAAGATATTTCTTCTTCCTCGTCTTCTCCAGCTCCTCCAGCTCCTCCAGCTTCCAGGATGTGAAGCTTAACTACGATGAAGAATCTCGTTTCGCTGAGAGAGCGCTTGATGCTGCTGACGACGAACCTCGAGGTCTCGGTCTTGGTGGCGATCGAAAGGTCTTCGACCAGGAACTTGGACATCAACTTCTCGCTGTACTCCGACATGATCCTTCCGTCCAGCTGCAGGATGAGCGGCACCGAGGATGCGGGGAACGAGGAGGAGGAGGAGGAGTAGGCAGAAGTTGCAGAGCCTCTGCGGAGCTTCCCACTACTGATACTGCTGTGATGGTAATCAGGGGAGGCGTGTGCGTCAGCTTCACTGTGGCGTCTTTGCTCTAAGTTCCTCATCCTCCTCGATTCCCGGATCAGCTCCTTGACAGGAATCGACCTGCGCACACAGCCAGGAAGAGAAGGGGAGGAGGAAGAGAGGATGATGGGACTGCCTCCTTCAGCACAGCTGATCAGATCGTGGACAATATGCTCCCTCCTCCTCTCCCGCCCAAAGAGCTTCACGCCATTCCACATCGCAATATACTTGAGCTCCTTCCACGGCAGGTTCCACAGGAAGTTTCTGGTCTCTGTCAAGCTGGAAGGGAACGTGCGCAGGAGTTTGTCGACGAAGACTGTGCGGGGGGTAGCCTCCTGCTCCCCCTCCTTCCGCTCTCCATGCTTGACTTCAGCTTTGCTCTCCTCCTTACGCTCTGCAACTCGGGAGTTTCCCCCCTGCCTTTCGAGATCAGCGCTGTGGACCTGACTGTGAGCCTTGTCATGCCCATCGTCTGCATCATGACAGGCGATAGAGAAGACCGAGCAGTCGTAACTGCTGGCATAACTCGCAGAGGCACGAGAAAACTGATGGAAATCTTCAGAGATTGAAAAATCTTCGTTGTCCTTCCCCCTGCTCACTGGCTGGCTGTCGACCATCCTCTCTCTCCCCTCCTTCTGTCCAGTCTCTTGGTCCTCGAGCTCGTGCTGGAATTCGTGCGTGTGCTCGTAGCTGTCCTCATAGTCGAAATCATGCATGTGCATTTCGTCCTCGTCCTCATCCTCGTCCTCGTCCCCGTCCTCCTCCTCCTCCTCCACCACCTCCTCCTCCTCGAACTTGTGGTTCACGTCTTCAAAATCTCTTGTGCTCGGTCTGTCTTTCTCTATGGAGGATCGAATCGTGTCCACCATCTCTGACCACTCGGAGTAAGCTACCACACTGCTCTCCGTGCTTCCCCTGTGATCGCCATCGAGCCTGTCCACGTCTTCTCGTCTCAACCGATAGCTCGCTGTGTGCCCTTCCGCCATCTCCTCAGCAAACTCCACATGATGCTCAGGTCTGCCCCGCGAGGAGGGGATGGAGTGAGAATCGCCAGACGTCAGCTCGAGATGGCTGGCGGGATGGTTGAAGATGGTCTTGTAGATCTCGCTCAGCCTTGACCCAAGATTGTTGGAATGGCGATAGCCAGCATCATCAGCCTCATCAATATGGTCAGACCTGCGCGTGGGTGGCAGCATTTCCGCTCTTTCCTTCTCCCCTTCCTTGCCATCTGATGCCCTCAAGTTCTTCATGGTGACAAGGTCCTCCCCGTCGTCACCAAGAAACTCGGAGAATTTCTGTTTCAGCTCATCTTGCATTTGAGAGATGTCTGCTGGATCGATAGGAAGGACCTCCGGCTTCGGGATCGACCTCTCAGGTAACCTACTAAATCCACCTTCCCCTCCTCCCATGCTCGATTCTTCGTCTGTCACCTCACTAGAGTGCTCATCCTCATCCTCACCGTTAGAGCCATCACTCTGATCCTCCGGCTCGGCTGCTGGACTGCCTTGACTACCTTCTCCTGGCAGCTGATGATGATTCGGATCCACTGAAGGGCGACTAGAGTGTAAGGCATTGTCGTGGACAACCTGGGCCATCTCGGCGGAGCTTCTCTTCAGTACTCCTCTCCTCTCGTTCATAGGACTTCCCGTCGCTCCTCTTGACGGTGACCTCGTCTCATGCGGAGTTTGGAACGTTGTGGTCGCGCCCGACCGCCCTGGGGTCCAAGGGACTCGCGGGTCGAAATATCTCGGGGTGATTTCGCGAGGACGAGGACGAGTGCTCTTGACCGAGTAGAAGTCAACCCCTAGCTCTTGCAGATGATCGAAGTCTCCTGCTTGAGAGCTGCTGCCTGAGTACATAAGAGCTTCAGTCCTCCCGACCGATTGCTCCCGTTGAGACCTGTCCATGCTGTGTCGCTCACTTGTGCTGGTTGTAGCGATAACTTCGACTTCGCCAGATTCCTTTTGATGCTCCTCAGCTTCATCAGACTCATATGTGCCGTCATCTTGATGGAACAGATCCTTCGAAGGGACATACGAGTTTGCGTGATAAGAGTTGTCCGGGGACATGAACGATTTTTCTGATATGGAAACATCACTCTTTTCCGATATCAAGTTTCCACTGTCTGTTTGAAGCTTCTTGTACTCTCTCCTTGGATTCTGATTGTAAATTTCATCCTCCTCTTCACTCTGCTCATCTGTCAAATGTCCATTCTGACTTTCGGACTGATGCTTGCCTTGGTCATCTTCGTCATATTCATATTCCATTTCTTCTTCTTCTTCTTCTTCGTCCTCGTCCTCGTCCTCGTCCTCGTCCTCCTCGTCCTCCTCGTCCTCCTCGTCCTCCTCGTCCTCCTCATACTCCTCCTCGTAATGATCATCGGGTTTCCTTCTCCCTTCCACCTTGAAGACGAAACTTGCCTGTCCTTCAAAGTCCGAACCTCTGCGGATTCCCGGTTTTCCTGCTCCTCCTCTTGTATTTTCATCCACGTCCTTCTCTTCTGCTTCTCCCTTCCCTCCTCCTTCCTTCCCTCCTCCTCTTCCCATCAGCCGTTTCATGAGCTTCATGGTGCGCGGCTCCTTTTCGTTCACCCCTACCCCTCCTCATTTCCTACCCTACCTAGTCAATATCAGGATGATTCCATATCATGCACCGGTGATCAACACTACCTCACCCACGCTGCCTCTCCTAGTCAAAGTTTGACAACCTAACGATCAGAAGGACCACGTAACTTCCAAGTAATTCAAGAAATCGTCAGGTCAGGCAATAACAGGCAATGTCGGTATAAGATCACGCCATTCATTCATTTACAACATTCCATAGATTTGAGGCCACTCTTTGTACCTCTCGCTGCTTTCACTTCCTTGTGGATCGCAGGAGCTCGTGAGTTTCTTTGAATCTCTGTCGGATGCTCGAGATGAAAGTTTTGAGTTTCTCGTCCGTGATTTCTCCTTCCTGGTCCACGAGATCGAAAGCTGGCTCGCTCGCCGCTGACGGCACCTCCAGCACAGTGGCAGCAGGAGCTCCTTGAGACTTTCGATCCTGTATGCTCCCTCCATCGCCACGGTGAGCATTGCTGCCTTCAGGCGCAAAGTTGATGAGCTCAGAGGATCCTTGAAGCTCTTGAATGTCAGTCTTCTTGTGAGGGATGACACCTTCAGCTAACTCCTTGCCCTCCTTCAACTCAAGCTGATTTTCTAGCGCTGCTACCCTCTCTTCGAGGAATCGGATCTTGCCATCTGATATGAGACTTGCGGCCTTCAACTCGTGCTCCAACTGTCGGACCTTCTCTGTAACGAGGTAAAATTGCTCCATCTGTCTTTCAAGGCCAGCGACTTTCATTCGCATTCCCTCCAACTCCTCCATCCTGTCCATTTCTTGAATCGACATTCGATCTTGTTCGACCTCCCTCACCACCCTTCCCCTGGTATGCACCGGTGCTTGAAACCTTGAATTGGACGAGTGTTTTTCTTCTTGCGAAGTCGTCAGTTCCGTCGAAGATCTGTGCATCTCGTTCACGACATAGATCGACGACAAACTGTCTGCCGTCATCATCTGCGGCAAGCCAACGTCTGACCGGTCCGTCTGTTGCACCTTCGGTGTCGGAGACGGGAGCTCGAGGAAGGAGGAGCCGAACTGTTGTGGGGTAGGAGGCTTGAGAGGTCGTGGAGGAGCAGCATCCTCGTTCTCTGGGTCAGAGGACAGCCCCAGCTCTCCCCCATTCACAAATCTGCCTGGGGTCACTTTCTTGAGAGCTCCTGAGGACCTGTCCTTGCTGGATTCTGAAGTAGATCTGGAGCTTCTTCGGATTTCACAATGGCATTTCTGGCAGAGTTTGAGCAAGTCGTGTACCAAGATGATCTTCCTCTCGACAAAACCATCCATGAAAAATTGGTCTACCCGAAGCTGTGAACAGAGTCAGGGGTTGAAAGAGTAGCAAAGGCGGAGACACACCTGTGGTTGATAGTCAAACTCTTCCCTCATGATCTTCTGTATGGTCTCAACAAATCGAATGTCTGTCTTCGAAAACAAATCGTAGCCCTTCTCCACAAGATAATCGTGCACCCACTTCGAATATCCAAGCAGCGCGTAATGCATCAGAGGAAGCAAGTCCGCTGGATTTCCTTTCTTCCAGGCTCTCGTATCCAAAGGACCAGGATACTTACATTGTAACAGTTCTCGACGAAGCTTGTCGATATTATTGGCCAGGTCACCAGTAGTGCATGTAGATTTACGAACCATCGTTTTCAGTCCACGATCTAAACTATTCTCAGCTTTCCTCAGGCACAATTTTGTACTAAGGTCCTCAAAATCAAGGAAGTGTTAGGCATAAAGGACCATGATCATGGATGAAAACGCCTCTCGTCCTCCTCCTCTCACTCATCCACGTTGTCCTCGTCTTCCTTTCTGCATGACGGGCGAGACTGGCGGGAGACGAGGTCGAGTACCCCGCAGACAATTCTCACCCCTCTTTCTCCCATTAATTCTACCCCTCCTTCAGCAAAATGGTACCCCACCCACTATTTAGTATGAATTATCAACACGTAAATCGGGGTGGGTCATCCTCAAACGTAGAGCAGTCGTACTTCTGGGGTAGCACCTTCAAGGGTAGTACCCCTCACCCCTCAATGAATCCCATATACCCCTGTAATTTAGTTTAAAATAACCGGTACTTGTCTCCGAGCTGTCGCCTAAAGGGGCCTTTGTTGTTTTGGAGGGTGGTAGCGGATTGGGTACAGCGCAATGCAGTCTCCGCTGACACAGACAGAGTACGGAGCTGACCCAGACTACAAGAAGCCGCCGACCATCAATGGCAAGGTTATGTGAACATGCACACAGGCAGGGGCAGTAGTAGTACTAGTACTGGTAGTTGTAGGAGGAGTGTGGGGTAGGTGAGGTCGAGTCAAGACGGGGATGTGTGATGTTTGAGTAGGAAACAATGAGGCCGCATGTTGAACATTAGAATTCAGGGCGAACATGAAAGGTGTCGTGAGGAGAAACGGAGATAATAATCAGTCAAGGTAGCTCTCAAGGATAGGCGGGCGAGAAACGATTGGTAGGCTCACTCTGATGATGATTGATTGAACAGAGTGTGAAGCCGAACAAGTATCCAGTATGTGAGCCTTTCTACAAGGCGTACTACGATTGTGTCCTGGTGAAAGAAGCCAGCTTCGGGAAGTTTGTGGGGAAGTGCGACGAGCTGAGGATGCGGCTGGATACCTGCAATGCTCGTGAGCTGGTGAACATAACAAGATTAGAGCGTTGTCTCGATCTGAGTTCTGAATCCAGGAAAATGCTCGTCACCGAAACAATCAGCTAGCAAAAGATAGGAAGAAACTGATAGATGAGAGGATGGAGCAGCTGAGCAAAGAGCCTCCGAAATTCACGAAGTAGCAGGGAGAGATCCACCATGATCAAGTGCATTCTGATGAAGAGATATTCTTTGAAGCCCATTTGCCTGTTGAACTTTAGCTTGTGAATAGAGAGCATGTTTTCACATGTCGACTTGTTTAATCACAACGATGTACAACAATGTTGCTTCAGGCTTGATCGGATCTCGAAGATTTGGATGATCTGATCTGATCCGAGTTCAGCAGCACGTTGTAGCTCAGCTTTCCATGCAGGAACTTCGCGGCACTCCCAGGACGGTAGGAGCCGAGCACAGGTGGGGTACTGCTGAACCTCTTGCTTCTCATGCGGGCCTCTAGCGCAGCGACCGTCAGGTCCTCCTCACGTAGGAGGTCAACGCGAGTCATTACCTGCGCGATCTAGAGCCTGACCCAACTCATGCACAAACAGCTGAGGCACGGGGCCCTGCTCGCCCTTGTGCTCGTTCCCCCTCGCGCTCTCCTTCCTTGCCTCCCCCCTTGGTGTGCCCACGGACGTCCGTTTGTGCTGGAAGGAGGCTCCTTCCCCCATCTGCCCCTTTGCTGCTGCCCCCGACGGCTCTTGAACTTCCACCTGCCTCTCCACGTTGAGTTGGCTGGTTGCGATGTCCACACGTAGAGGAGGGATGCTGGGAGACTGCTGTCTGCTGCCCGGCGATTGCGAGCTCACCCATGGGGATGGCGGTGTGAAGTGCTCCCTGCTGCCGTCCCGAGCTCCTCTGTCGCTGCTGCGGACCCAGGAAGGGGACGCAACGTTGACAGTGGAGAGGTTCTGTTGAAGCATGAACCAGCGGCGAGGAGGGCGGCGGAGGTCAAGCTCTGCTTGCAACCTAGCATGCAGCCTCGTCCGGTTGCCAGACACTGAAGTGATCTTGTGGAGCTCCGCCCCCCCCTGCCTACGAGTTGAAGGAGACTTTCCGACCAGGACGAGGTCCGGCTGCTCTGGGGAGAGGAAGGGAATTGGCTTGTGACTGACTTGAGGACCTGGAGGGGGTCAGGAAGGAGAAGGCAGAGGAATTTCTCACCTGATCGTTCTGGCGCACCCTCAAGGTCATTGACTCCGGCGTTGGGCGTGCCTGCAGGGCTGGGGGAAGGAGCTGCTGCTGGGAGAGCAGAGGAAGGAGCTGCTGCTGGGAGAGCAGAGGAAGGAGCGGCTGCTGAGAGAGGAGGAGTCTTAGCCCTCAGGCCGTTGGCCGTACGGGCAGGAAGAGTGTTAGAATTCCCAAGGGGACCATTGGTGGTGCGGGCAGGTAGAGTATCTGACATCCGTTTGGGCTGCATCTGTCTGTCTGTGTTGGCCATGGCGCTGTTGTCAGTGATGAACGTGTCAAGCTCTGTGTCAGACTCCGACTTGTCGCGCGTGAACGTGGGGCGAGCCTCGCACTGCATCCTCACGATGCCACCCGATGAGAAGGGAAAGTTGGGCCGCATGCCGCCGGCGAATTCCCCGAAGAACTTGTTCTCTGATGTCTCAGATCGAGCAGCCGACAGCTGCTCTTCATCGAGGAGCTCCTGCTCCTTCTCGGTGAGAATCAGGTACTGCTGCTCCATGAGCGAATCAAACTTCTGATTCAGCAGCTTGATGGCTCCTTGCATGCCATCCATCCTTGACTCGATGCGTGACAGCATGGTTTTGATTTCTTCGACATTATCGTCGGCAACCTGATTCACCTGATTCATACCGCGCAGAGGATGGGCTTGCCAGAAGGATTGAGCAGGAGAAAATTCTGTGGAAACAAGAAAATCAGAAAGAAGTCCATATCGACGCATGAGGTGGAAAGTTGACGAGAGAGTACAAAGTGGCAGAGACATTCAGAGGGAAAAGGTTGAGAGGGAGGTAAGTAGCGGGAGAGACACCTGAGTCATCGCTCAGATCGTTCTCGACTTCATTTCTGCGTCGAGGAGGGAGAGAAAGTTTCACTCCCTCCGGTCCTGCCTTGCTTTGCGGTGTCCTCGACTCCCTCTCCTTGGTGGACCATCCAGCCGCTAGGCTTCTCTGACCTCGGAAGCTGTTCCTCGTCACTGAGTGACCATTTCGTGTAGACCCTCTGACGCTCTCCCGCATTGGCGAGCCACTTGCTGGCATCATGGCAGCAAGGCTAGACAGAATGTTTCCTTCCGTTCCCTGCGTGAAGTGTTTGAGGACATGGACGGCATGAAGGAATTCTTTTCGCAACATTGTCTTCTTCTCTGCGACATCTGTTGTATAGGATTCTTGCTTGAAAAGTGCGAGGCAGTCCCAGGATTTTGAGGAAGTTCCTCCAACTCTTGTTTGATCAACAGACTTGGGACGAGGAGAAGACTCTCGGTCCTGCACGTTCCGCATGCTCTTGTTCGAATTTCTCATCCTCTCCAAGTTTCTCGCAACTCTGAGTTTCTCCAAGTTTCGTTGCGCTTTTTGTCTATCTTGCGTCCGTCCGCCCCTGTAGGATTGGGTGTTGCGATAGAGATGTTGATTTCTCCACCAGTGCTGTATGATCTTCGCCGCAGAGTTAATCACAACACTCAGGTATTCATTGCGTTTGTGCTTTGAAAGCAAGACTTCTTCTTGATTCGACAGCAGCAGCGTTCGCGTCGTAGAAGACGTTAAAAAGGCGAGGATGATTGCCATGGAAACGATGACAATCACTGCTGCAAGCCTCCCCACGTGGGTCATCGGCTGCGACGTGCCGTCCCCTGTTGTCCCCTGAAAGACCAGTCAGCATGAGCACATGGCAACGCATACGAAAGCTCACCTGCGTGACTATCACCCACATCTGGTCTGCCCAATACTTGCTGTGAGGCTGATAAGCAGGTCCCTCTGATGAATCCAATCAGACACAATGACGTTTTCTCCATTCTCAGACATCTCTTACCAGCTATTCGAAGCAAGTAAGTCTGTGAGAAGAAAAGATGGCAAAGGAAGAACAGGAGCGTGTATATCGGATGTCTAGTAATAAGGAGCTTCAGGGCCAATGCTCGACGCAATAAAGGTTGATCTTGAATCTGCCTGAACGTACTCATGTCCTGCATTAGCAACGAATTCTTGGCGGAGAAGTAATTTTGTTCTGCAAACATTATTAAGAGTTTTCCGGAGTGATACAGCCTTGCAATCATGATCGCACAAGCTATAGACTCAAATCTATAGTATATCGTCACTCCCAAGACTTGGACTTGAAAATCTTTCTGAATCTTTGGAGGCTGAAAAGATGAACATTACAGAATTGACGTCTTATCAGCAAGACTTACTATGTGGACGAAGACTATGACCACTTCCAGACAAATGATAGCTGCACTCAGAATTTGGTTGGGAAGAGTAAAAGCCTTCTTTTGAACGATTCTAACGATCTTTGCTTTCCCGTGGCCATCTTTTGAATGCATGATCTGCGATAATTTATCATGATAGGCGGGCTCTGTATATCTACTGTCCTTACCATGAAAATAACCATCACGATCGCTAGCAAAGTCGAGAGATATTTCAAGTTGGACCCAAGGGTAGAATCACAGCTCCGAGGAACATTGCCGATGTCTGGAACAGGAACAGTAGAGCCATCTGATGTATATCCGTTGATATAGTCGACAGAAGCACATTTCTCGTTAATCACAACCCCAATGAAGAGAGACAGAAAGCATAAGGCTACAATGATCTTCTGTCTTCTAAACCTGCAGCTTCAAGTCACATCATTCCGTCCTGTTGAATATGATTCATATGATGCGATGCTATGTTATGTGCGAGATACGGCATGGTCATATGAGATGTCATGACACGTGTCGCTCACATTCTTTCGTCTATGCTATCCATTTCTCGCCGCATCCTGTCCTCCGCTGCCGGCAGCATTCTGTCCATGTGACCGAGATTTATCTTTTTAAAATCAGACTGATTGTGATTTGATTCAAAAATAATTTAAATGAGTACTGGATACTTAAAAGTTTTGACTGCTAAAAAGATTTTATTTGATACAAAAGGGGAATGAAAATATATTATAAAAATCGTCAGGGAGTTGACGAAATCTTGTCACTGTGGGGGAATGTTGAAATTCTTTTCTTCTTTTTTCTTCTTTTTTCTTCTTTTTTTCTTGTTTCTTTTTTTATTTTTTTTGAATCTGGACGCGGCCCGTGCCGCGTCCAATTCGAGTACCCCACCACCCGTCCGCACTCATCACTGTGCCTCATTCTCTACCACCCCTCCTTTCTCAATCCTTTGCCATTCTGTAAAACCCCAATGGGGTTTAGGGGCAACCCCCCACCCCACCATCTACGATATTTGCTCCCTTCGACACCATGCTGCCAGCGGTGCGAGGAAGGTAAGCAATTGAGACGAAATTGCAGAGCAAATGCAGGCAGCAGGCAGGCAGACTATAGACAAGACAGGAAGGGTGGAGATAGACAGAAACGCAATCTCCCTACGTGCATTCACAAAATGTTTCTGGGGGCAGGAAGTGCAAAACAATTGGAGGGATTGAAATAGGACCTAATGGTATTGTAAGAGTAAAAGAGGGATAGTGAAAGCATCAAATTACAAGGAGAGAAACTTAAAAGGTTCTTAGAAAATATCTTAGGATGGACGGGCGAATTTGAGTTGCTCCTCATTCCTTTTCGAAACAGATTCTTCTCCACTTCAGGATCGAAAGTGAAGAAAATTGGAATTGTGGGCGCCGGTGTTGCAGGCCTGCAAGTTGCTCGGTCACTCAAGGAGAGGGGGTTCGACTGTGTTCTTTTTGATAAGGCGCCTGATGTTGGAGGTCTTTGGCGAGAAAATTACACTGGCTTTGGAATTCAGGTGCTGACAAATTCAGCTACCTCAGGCAAATGGCTGACTAGACTTTTAGGTTCAACGTAAACTCTTCGAGTTTCCCGATTTCCCTGCTTCATACGGTGATTATGCATCTGGTCCTGAGATCCAAGAGTATATCAAGTCATTTGCTATCAAGCATGATATTCTATCGAAGACTAGGTACATCGAACAGAACAGCATTCTGAAGTGATGAATGATGGCAGGCTGAACACGACCGTGGAGAAGATTGCCCGAAGACCTGACGGAGAACGGGGATGGGAATTGACTGTCAAGACCCCAACTGGAAACCAAGAGAAACACACGTTCGATTACACCGTCATCTGCCAAGGTATGTACTCTACCACGCCGAACAGGATTCATTACGAAAATGAGGTACAGCTCTGGGAATCGTTGCTGGTTGAAATTGACCGATTAACAGGGTCAATTCGCGGGGAAGATCTTACACTCCAGCGAGTACCTCAGCCCGTCGATCTCCGAAGGAAAGAAAGTTGTTGTTGTCGGTTCCGGCAAGTCTGCGATCGACATTGCAATGAACGCTGGGGAGGTGGGAAACAGATCGACACTTCTATTTAGAAACGCCCATTGGGGAACACCTCGCCTCATCGCTGGTCTCATCCCTGTTCGTTTCGTCTTCGCTAGTCGATTTGGTCAAGCACTTGTGAGCTGGTATAAGGGAGCTTGGCCCTCGCAAGGGGCAGCCATCAAGATTGCCCATCAAATCCTTTCGCCCGTGATCAGTGGAGCCTTTCGGGTCGTGGAAGCAATCTTCGCTTTCCAATTCAATCACAAGGGCAAATGGAAACCAAGCATGGACTTTGTCAAGGATTTCTATGGATACGCACAGATTCACTGCCCAACATTCACCAACATGGTTAGCGCAGGGAAAGTCCAGACAGTCCAAGGAGAAATTCAAAGATTTACTCAGGATGGTGTCATTCTGAAGGACGGAAGCAAGCTGGAGGCTGATGTAGTGGTTCTTGGTACAGGATTCTTGAAGAAGTACGCCTTCTTCGATGCAGCGATGGGTATGTATCCAGTAGACTGCATATACGACGTTGAAGATGATTTGCAGTCAAACAGCTTGGAGTGGAAGAAGATGGACTGTACCTGTACAGGCACATCCTGCCATCACATGTCCCCGACATGGCCTTCGTAGGCGCTGAGTCAGCAAGCCTCTCCAACATCACAACCTTCGCCATACAATCTGAGTGGCTCGCTCGCCTTTTGAACGGAGAGCTGAAACAGCCCGAACCAAGCGTGATGGCAGATGAAATCAACAAGATAAAGGTGAATCTTACAAGGTTGATTGGGCGTTCGAGCTGAAGGATTGGCAGGAATGGAAGAGATCGTGGATGCCATTTACGACTTCTCGGGCTGGAATAATTCTGGCGCACTGGATCCACTACCACGATGAGCTGCTGAAAGACATGAAGATTCCTCATCGGCGGAAAGGTACCAACTACCTCGCCGAGGTCTTCGCTCCTTACGAGCCGAGCGACTACCGCGACGTCTTGACGACGAGCGTCAAGAGTGCATAGTTCCAGTATTGCTAACGTTAACCGAATCTAAGAAATAATCACTGAAGAACTTCCAACGACACCATGAGTCATGAGGAGATCAAATTCCCATTGCAGAGCCAGTGATTATCTAACTAATCTATCTCCTCTCCGCAGTCTTGTTATCTCCTACGGAGACATGTTTCTTCGAGTCGTACAGGAACTCTGCAGTGAACTGGTTTGTGTTTTACAAGAATCTTTTTAAGTTTTACAAATTGGTATGTTTCCATGGCAGCGCCAGAGGGACAGTGATGAGGGACCTGAACGTAGCATTCACATCACGACGATAAATCAGAGGGTAGAAGAAGAAGAGAATGCAGTTCAGTCAAGAATTACAGACTTCAATGTGTAGGAAATGATAGGGTAGATGAGGAGCGAGGAATTGCCGCGGCAACCTGCTGCAGGGCTCAGGGAAATCGCGATGGGATCATAGCACCAAAGGTTCGTGTTCTTTCTGCTCTAGTTTGGTAGCAGAATCAACAGACAGGGCTTTCATAAAGGTGAGGGAGAACAGAGAGATGGCTCCGTTTACATGTAGATTCGGATAAGGTGACTGCTGGTGGGCAACGTGATTGACCTGTTCTTTGTAGAATCAATGCTGCTTCAAAGACGATTGACTGGACAATTCAAATCATTTTCGTCTGCGACAAGACTACTTCATGGTACCTCAAGCACCATCTCCTGGTGACTTTGCAGAATTTATAGGGATTGTGTTTCTTACTTTCCTTCTAGCTACAGAAAATTGAATGAGCAAAGAAACATTCACACGATGAATGCTGGAGGGGTCAAGAAACCTGATGTTGTCCTTGGTTGTGTCGCTTACTGCTCTGGAATCAGCTCGATCTGGGACGGCATGAAACAATACTTTGCATCCAAGAACATGAATGTCGACTACATTCTGTTCACCTCCTATGAAGCGCAAGTGGAGGCGTTGATGAACAAACAGATCGACATTGCCTGGAACGGCCCCCTTGCACACTGCAGAGTCAAGCAGAGAACCAACAACGCAAGTTTGTCTTTGGGCATGCGAGATTGCGATAGAGATTTCCAATCTCATATCATCGTCACAGAGGACAGCGGGATCAAGGCCCTCAAGGAGCTCGAGGGGCAGACTATCGCAGCAGGGACGGTGGACTCACCACAGGCGTACATCCTCCCCCTCCACCATCTGAAAAAGCAAGGAGTCAACCTCAAGTCGCTGTCGATGATCAGGTTCGACAGAGACGTTGGGAAGCATGGCGACACGGCTGAGGGAGAGGTCCTCGTGATGGAGGCGCTGAAGCGAGGAGAGGCTGCTGCTGGACTCGTGTCCGACCTCATGTGGCAAAGAGCCTTGTCGTCGGGAAAGGTGAATGCGGATGGAAAGAAGATGACCGTCCTCAAAGACGCTCCTCCTCCCTTCGACCACTGTCAGTTCGACGCTCTTCCCGGTCTCGAGGCAGCTAAGAAGGAAGCATTCCAAGAGGTAAGCAGGCCGGCGATGAGCTTCTACCATGCTGACGAGCTGCGTGCCTTCAGGCTCTCTTCGCCATGGACTGGAACAACAAGTTTCATCAGGAGATCATGAAGATGGAGGGCATCACGAGGACGTGGGCGGGGCCTCGAGATGAAGGATACGCCATGATGCAGGAGATCGTGGATAGCGAGCCCAATGTCCCCTATCCCCGCATGCTGCATGATAGCAGCAACCATCCCTTCAAGTCGCTCCTCATCAAGTAAACGTTTTGATACCAGTCTCTCCTTCATCGAAACTAGTCTGATCCGCCCTTCCTCCTCCCCTCCAAGTTCCCAGCTCAAACGGCCGGTAGGGCTGGAAGCAACATCGCCTATGAGGGCGGGCAGCATGGGCCAGGTGGGCAGGTAGGACGAGGCGGGAGAGCTGGCGGCAGTACTGCAGGGGGTGCGGGGGAGCGGATGGGAGGAGTCGGGTCGAGGATTTCCCCCGTTTCAATGACAGGGCGCATCGAAAAAACCACGCAGAGTTGCAGAGACGGGAGGGTGAAGGCAGGAGGAGGAGGCATGTTGCAGCAGGGGAGGGTGGAGAGGGGAAGAGGATGAAAGAGCCAAGGTAAGGAGGAGAGAAGGCAGGAAGCCATTCCTGTCAGCGATGGCAAGCAAGGCAGGCAAACAGCTCAGGGAAAAGGGGAACATGGGATGTGTTTCCAGAATGGTGAAGGAGTTCCCCTCCCACGACGAGTGCATGGCGAGCATGAAAGGCTTGGAAGAGCTTTGCGGAGGAAGAGAGTCGATAGAAACCATGAGTGACGTCTTGAAGTCCGTCCGCATCCTCCATGAGTACATGGATTCTGGTGAACAGCAGCAAGGAAGTCAGCTGGTGACGTCACTGCATGCAAGCATGCTAAAGGTGCTGGAACTGTGCGGGAGCACGTGGAAGGAAATTCACCAGGGACACTGGAGGGGAGTGTCCAACAGCTGGCGGGAGCTCTTCGCGATCTGCTGCATGCTGAATGCGATCCTGAGCCTCTTCAAAGACTCGGAGAACTTCCCTGCTCTTGACATGAAGGCGTGCGAATGCGTCTGGTGGGAAGAAGAAATGGAATCTGTCCCTGCAGAACTTGTAGCAGCACGCTGGATCGATCTTGCACTCCTCTTCGGGGGGGAGAGGAACCGAGGGCAAGCGCACAGGATGCTCGATGCAATTGTGGAAGCTGTACGGGATGCGAGGAGACTGGAAGAGACAAGGAGGGGAACTAAGAAGATCAGAGTAGAGGAGAGGGGAGACTCGGTGTCTTCATCTCTGCCTTCCATAACAAGCTGCAAAGGAGAGAGGATTCCAGTTGTATCTTCTCCACCCCTGTTGACATTCAAGTTGGAGTATCTTGATGTAGCTGGAAGCAACAAACAGTCACTTTAGTAACACTGTTGCAACAGAAACAACTTCCAGTCGTCATGACAGGCGTTGTAGATCAATGGCCAGCGTACGAAAAGTGGAAGAATCTTGAATACCTCAACGAACTTGCTGGTTATTGTCGCCACGCTCTGCAATATTGACGTCTGAGTGTATCTCTACAGGTTTCCGGACTGTCCCGATTGAGCTTGGGAGAAATTACTTGGAATCAGGGTTTGATGTGCATGAAATTCACCGCGAGTTTACTGAGGGCTGCTCGCTTTAGATGGACCCAAAGACTCATGACGTTAGAGAGTTTCTTCGATGACATCATCAGGTCGCTGCTGCTGTTGTTGTTTTTTTCCGAGTGATCATGTTGCTTCAAAGGTCTAAGGGAGATGTTATTGGGTACCTAGCTCAACATGATTTGTTCGAACAGATCAAGGTGAAGACCTGCATCGAGTTTTATATCGCGTGTCCAACATGCTGCAGGAATTGCGGGATGACTTTCTGGTTCCAGACTACACAGCATTGACCGGGTAGAGAGGCGTTTGAAGCTTGTGTTGAGTATTCACCAGCCCTCAGCGACGAAGAAGATGACACTCTCGTCATGAACGCATGGTTAGGGCCCGGGGGAACTGTCACTCCCCTTCACTACGACAATTACAACAACATCTTCGCACAGGTGGCTTGCTAGCCTCTCTCTTTGCCTCGGCATGTTCTTGTATGACGAGGTCGCAGGTGGTAGGAAGCAAATATATCAGGCTTTATCACCCCAGGGAGCAAGAAGCTATGTATCCACATGGTGGGACGGAGTACAACACAAGTCGAGTTGATGGTGAGTCGTCGGCTCACTTTCTCTGCGTGTCACGTGACTTCTCACGACTTTTCCAGTTGAGGAAGTGGACAAGGAAAAGTTCCCCCTGTTCCAAAAAGCTTCTTTCACGGACTGCGTTCTGGAAGCGGGACAGTGTTTGTTCATCCCAAAAGGATACTGGCACTATGTAAGATCATGTGAAACTAGCTTTTCCATAAGTTTCTGGTGGAAGTAGAAGGATCTGCTGTTCATGGAGCATTTACAGAGGGAACAATCAATTTCATTTTCATCTTCGTTGATATTTTAAAAAAACTTCACATCATTGTATCAACAGGAAAATGGTTGAAGCAACAAAACACGGAAGAAGATAAGGCGACCACTCGCCGTAAAGTCGTTTGAACGCGAACCATCTTGGGCTCATTGATCGTGACCTGGCGACCTTGATGGGGTCAAACTTCTCATCTACCGTAGCAAGATCGTAGCAATATCCATATGCATCCACCAGGCCCTCGATGCCCTGTCACAGCCGCGTCAGCAAGGGCAAGCGCTTCCAGCAGACAACCTTGAGCTTCGCGCATTTTTTCAGCAGAGAGACTCTCTGAAACCCGAGACCATCCCATAACCGAATGCTCTCCTCGTTGGAGGCGAACACGAGGTTGAAGTAGGACATCTCATATCCTAGTGCTCTTGCGAACTTAAGGTAGCATGCCCCCATCAACTTTCCCACTCCCTGTAGCAAATGTACGTGTCATACTCCATTTCATCAAAGAGGCTCAGGATTATTTCTGATCATACCTGCATCCTGAATTCCTCTTTCGTGATGAATCCGCCATTGCAAACATGTGAACAGCGACCAGGGTAGTTCGGTTTGATGTAGAATATTCCCATGACATCCCCTGGATTTGAAAATTTTTTGTTCGCATCAAGCCCAGCACTTGTTGATCTCACAACGAAGGCTGTGTGGCTGAGGAAGTATCCTTGAAAATCTTCCATCCTTGTATATGTCTTGTCGAATGGCCACGCCCTTCCTTGCTCAATGATCGCGTTCAAGAGTCGCATACATTCTTCCCATTCCTCCTCTCGAACAAGATCAACCTCTACCTGTCGTCCTGACTTCAGCTCAGCACTCAGTGGCAGCATCTTCAGCATCTTTTCGCCCAGTCTCCCATTCCCAGCCTTGCCGCCATAGGCGGAGGTCATGGCAGGGAAGAAATGTGAAGGAGGTGGGGTAGTAATAGCTATTATTACTACCCCAGTCAACCTTCCCGGCCTCCAGACCATTTCACTTAACAATATGTCACCCATCATTCGTGGGACACATCATTCCACCAATGTCATGGCGCGACAACTTGGGTTCCGGGAGCTTCTGTCGCGACCAGGAGGAGCCTGGGGCTTCATGGAGGAGGGAGAGAGAGAAAGAGGCATGCCAAGGTGCGCGACTCGCCAAGTTTCTATGGTGTAGATCAAGCTGCATAAACGTGACGTTGTGCAATAGGAGCCTCTTCCTGTACATCTTAGGATTCTGCGACCTGGACGAGTTGGCGAAGATGGAGATGGTCTCGACATCATGGAATTCTCTCGTGCAATCTCTTGAATCTTCTACTCTCTGGCAAAGATGCGTGCATCGAGCGCTCGGGAGGCAGAAGATCGAGAGGTACAAGGTTGCACTCGGATTGAAATCGGGGCAATCATACCACCAAGAGGGTTCTGATCTACAGGCTCGCAACTGGAAGAGAATCTTGAGGCTCAACGTGAGTGAAAAACTTTTGCCGAATAATCCGAAGGGCATGAGAGCCACAGTCCTTCATGACCATGAAGGGCCGGTGATCAGCATGTGTGGCGGTGATGCAAGGGCAGGAGATTTGGGAGCTTTGACTGATCGTTTGCTCCAGGAGGTCCATATCTCTTCACAGGAGGAGGGGACAGGAGGATTTTCATGTATCGGATCCCAACCTTCTTGAGCTACACATTGGAGTCTGCGGAAAAGAAAGCCCCGGCTCCTATCCGGTCCTTTGGAGCAGGCAAGCAAAGACCCATCGTGCTCATCGTCTCATTCCGATGTAGATCATGCTCAACCTGGGCCGATCTTGTGCATGGCGGCCATGAGAGACTTTGTTGTGGCTGGAGGACTGGACTGCAAGGCTCGGCTGTGGAAGGTGACCCTCTCCTCGCCCTCGCTCACGTGGTGAGATCTCGAGAAACAGATCGACAGCTCTCCAGGCTCTCCTGCTCATCGAGAGTACGCGGGTCATTCAGGGCCCATCTGGAGCATCGCCTTGACAAGTCCAGATGACTCGGATCAAGTCCATCTCATCACAGGGTCCGTCGACACAACCATCAACATCTGGGATGTAAGGGCCGGCCGATTTCTGCTGTCTCTGATGTGGTTCCATAGTTATGGGGACCACAAGGTGCCTTGCCTCTACTCAGACTCGAAGGGTGGGTGAGGCAGAGGAGAAAAATAGGGGAGGAAAAAAGTAGGGCAGGCGGGTGGGAGGGGAGCATCAGCAGGAGCAGGAGCAGGAGCAGGAGCAGGAGCAGGAGCAGGAGCATGAGCATGAGTAGGAGCAGGAGCTGACTCTCGTCCAGTCATTACAGTGGGGTTGCTGCTCTTCACGTCCTGCAGCAAGAGAGAGTGGTTAATATAGCCCCAGTAGGAGCCGTTTGAATTGCGACCAGGTGATCTCGGGAGGTGACGATGGGACGGTCAGGATGTGGAGCATTGAAGATGGAAGATGCACACTTGTGAATGAGATGTAAGAATGGAGACATAAGGTGACTTCCATGCCTGCAGAGCCTTGAAGGAGAGTCAGAGAAATTCAACAACGTGCAGAGCTGTCAGATTGATCGTGGCAGAGACACCTTCATCGCTGTCTATGCAAGCGATACACGCGGGAAGATATGGATGTGGGATTACGGGACAGGTCTTCTTCATGTTTCAAACATGCGCTCAACCTCATCTAACATGATCCGACAATAGGCGAAGTCGTCCAAGCAGTGACCGCCCACGATGCGGCAGTGACAGGCCTGAGCATGTGTGTTTGTTGCTTGCTTTCGATGCGGATGACCATGGACTGTCAGGTCATTGTCACCTGAATATTCTTTAATTTCAACCTCTATGGATGGAACGATCAAGCTGTGGAAGCCTGAGACGTTGACCTGTCAGAAGTCGTTGTCCATCACTGATATTCTTTACAATCACCCCAGATCGGCCGGGCACGAAAGGTGAAGTCAGATTTTGAATTTGTTTAATTGATTTACATTTCGTCGTTAGGTCGCAACCAGAGAAGGTGCATCCAAGTAAGTCGCACGCTTGGGGAAATATTCTCTTCATCTCTACCTGGAATGCTTCTGTTCTCGCTTGCGTCTTCTCTGAATGATTCTGTACTGTAAATCATATCCCCTTTGCCTGCATAGACATGTCGTCGGGGATTGGGACCTTGTAGCCTTTCATTCTATTCACAGCAGCTTCTGTTCTCCTCACTTTCCTCCGTTCTCGTCGTGCTCGTCGTCGGGCGCGCATGCGGTTGTGCAGCCACCTGCGGATAAGGTGTACCGAGACGGCAATGAGAGCCAAGGTGAAGAGAACGACTACTGCGATGACCCAAGACGCGATCTGCTCGCACGCGACTCCCTGGTACCACACGTAGCAGTTACACACACCCTCCGCATTGCAGACTCCCCGCAAGTTGCAGATGTCTGACGCCAAGCCAGTGAAGGGAGGACACACAAGCTCGCATGCGCTGCCTCTGAACGCTGCCTCACAGATGCAGGATCCGTCCTCCTGACAGGATCCTGCGTAGTTGCAGACCCCCTCACAGCCCGTGGCTGGGTTGCAGTCCCTCTGCCCTAGACACGCCACCTCACAGCTCTTGTTGCGGAAGCCTTTGAAGCACGAGCACTCGCCAACGTCGTCGCACACGCCATGACGACTGCAGATCGAGTGCGCTCCTCCCGGGCATTCAATTTCACACGCAAGCCCTCGCCAGCCAGTCACGTAAACCTCGTTTGTGTGAGGGCCCTTATCGGTCAAGAAGCAGGAGCACGTCGCGTCCTCTTCGCAGAAGCCGTTGCCTGAGCAAATGTTGATCAACCCTCGCCCCGCTACCCCATCTGGCACTCCATCGCCTGTGCTGTCCCATCCGCGTAAGACGTCGAAGCCGTACACCTGCTGGTCTGTCGCCTTTCTGTCCAAGGTTGTAGGGAAGAATCTGAACCGACCGCTGAGGTCTTCACCTCCATATGTTCCCCCCGGACATCTCTGATTGCAACTAGCTCCTCGGAATCCGGGAAGGCAGTAGCACTTGCCCAGCAGAGGAGAGTGGTTTGGGGCGAGGTCAGGTTCATAGTCATGGTACTGGAAGCGATTGTCGCTCGCGGGATACTTCATCTTGTCGATGTACGCGGAGATTTGTGCGCATTCAACACTGGGACATCCCTGGGGTGGGGGGCCCAGCAAAGCATCCTTCAAGGTGGAGGTCAGGTTGACCGGCTGCCCCTCGAAGTTCTTGGTCTGAGTCTGATGCTCGATGCAGTAGTCGCTCTGACTGCAGACGCCATTCCTCAGGGCGATGGAGATGTTCGGGTTGCACCAGTCGACGTACGGGCAGCTGGGGACAGGAGCTGCTCGCTGATCCAGCCGATACGGCAGATCTTCGAACTGACACAGGCCGTTGAAAACTCGAAGGTAGACCCCCGAGACCGACTGGTTGTAGTCCCTGCTGTAGTCGAGCGCGTACGGGTTCATATCCTTACACTTGATGGGCCCGTTGCGGCTCTGGATGACATAGTCTGGGTACACGTCGCAGATGAGCTGAGCGGTACATTCGTTCGAGTAGAACGTCCCAAGCACGGGGTCACGTAGATGCCCTCCTACGCATTCGACGTTGCAAGAAATATTCCTATACCCGGGATAGCACAGACACTGTCCCGTGGCATTACACATCCCGTTGTTGTAACATTCTCCAGTCTCTGCTACGTAGTCCAGAGCTATCCCTGGGCATTCAGCAGAACACGAGTAGTCTCCAATCGCGTTTCGGAATCCATAATGACATTGGCACGACCCGTTTGTCGCCACGCTTGTCCCCACGTCAAAGGTCGTCAATCCCTTGGCGTTTGTGAAGAACTTTGCTTGTCCAACATCGACAGGACCATACTGAAATTGTGTCTGAGGGTTGATAAACCATCCTTCACAATTCCCGTGCAGGTGACATGGCCAATGGTTTGGATTCTCCGCCGCTCCTGCACATTCTATGGAGCAGTCGGCCCCAGTCCATCCTCGGTCGCAGATGCACATCCCATCTGTTCGGCATATTCCATGATTGCTGCAAGGATTGCTGGCCCCGCCCTTACATTCGACATTGCAGGCAGATCCAGTCCATCCATAACTACAAACACACGTACCATCTTGCATACAACCTGCAAGGCAAAGTCAGAACTAGAGGTTAGAATTACACTCATTACCAGCGTCAATTTGGGAAAGAGAATAGTTTTGACAGGCAACATCGAACGCGTTCCAGACTTGCGAGACAGCAAGGACCGGGTCGACAATCGGAGCATTCAAGTAACTCTCGGGCTGAGACAGCATTGCATTCGAGACGTTGGAAGGGTTCGTCTCGAAAGAGGCCCAGATGTATTGCACTTGCTCTTTCGTGAGCCCATACATGTTTGCAACCGCAATGGGATCACAAGAAGGGTTTGCCATTTCAAGATTACTCCACACTTGATCGATCTCTTCTATTCTTTTCTTGAAGTGAACCTGTGCAGTCATCCCATCTCTACAACCAGGTGCAACATCAAAGTTCGACTCTCCGACTGTGACTCGAGTAACTCCGGGTATGATCGGACATTGCCCATAGCCACAGCTATAATTTGACCAGCACGTGGACCTGTTCTGAAGCATCTGCAGCATTGGCATGATGTCGTTTCTGGTCCAATATCCTTGACTTGGACCCACGGTAGAGTTGTCAAGGACAGCCGCACGAGCCTCGGACGGGAACTTCAAACTGCTCTGACCAGACACAAAGAGGTAGATGGGCCAATCTTCAATCACAAAATTCACTGCGGTACTCATGGTGGGAAAATCTTGAACAATGCTATTCAGCAAATTCAGAACTTGCTCGCTGGTGATCATCGTAACATCAATTGCTTTACATACACCTTGCGAAGCACATTTAGCAGAGCACATTGCTAAGCTCGGATACACTGAATCCACAGCTCCAGGGATCACACAAACATACTTTTTCATTGCAGCATCCAGTCTACGTTTCAGACTATGACCAGAAGTTGCTAAGATATTCTTCTGTCTCCACCTGCTAATGATTTCTGCTAGTGTAGTGTTACCATGCAAGGAACAAACGGTCTTAGCTCCACCATCGCACTCAATCATACAACTTTCACCGCGATATCCAGAGAAGCAGGTGCAGATTCCTTGCTCTGAGCATTGTCCATTGTGATTGCATACGTTGCTGTCAGACGGAGGACAGCCAACTGTGAAGAAAGACTGGTAGTAGTTCGCCCCGAGTTCATGCAGTTCGACATTGTTCGTTTGGATCTCAGTAGGTGTATTTCTGATTTTTCGGTCGCCATGTCCAAGCTGTCCTTGATCATTGTTACCCATACTGTACACCCTGCTGATGGAGGCATAAGATCTCCTGTAGCCAATGGCTTCTTGTTGTACTACAGATACCAGCGTGTGCCAGCTCCCTCCCGCGGCACTCACTACGTGCTTTCCGTCCTTCATGAATGTTTGGGCTTCAATACAGTTACTACTCTGCCCGGATCTACATCTTGACGAGATGGTTTGTAGGGCTGTCACAAGTGCTGGAAAGCTCTTGAAGCTTGTATCTGAATTAACACCAAGCCCCAGTTGTCCATATCGGTTATTCCCCCAAACATACAGATCGGTATTCGAGAAATCATATGCAGTACAAGAGACTGATAGAGATTTCAACGTCTGAGCACAATTGATAGTCACTGCAATCGAGTGAAATGCTCCTGCATGGATCTGAACGACGTAAGGCTGACCAATCAAAGCTCCTGTGTAATCTGTAACATGCGAAAAGAAGACCTGACGGGGAAATGGACTGGAGTAAACAGCAGCGTCTATCATCAGAGGGGTTGGGTTGTTACAAACTAAGCTCTCGCCATCAAAAACAGGGGTAGAGTCGCAAGTGCCTAACTGTCCTCTGGAATTCAAACCGAAGCTCCACACAAGCCCTTGTTCACTTAGCGCTAAACAATGGTATAGCCCACATGCCACATCAAACACTTGCAAAACCCTTCCATTCGAATCATAGAAGCCCGAGACAGCAGTTGGTAAGCGACGTGCGAGATAATCACCTTGACCCAACTGCCCATACTTGTTATTACCCCAGGTGTACAAAACTCCCCCCGATGTGACTGCAGCAGAATGTGAGAAACCAGCTGCAAGTTTTATGACTTTCGAATTCAAAGAAGCAAAAAAAAGGACCTCAGAAGGATAAGGGATATTCGGGCGCATGTCTGCAGACCCCATTCCAAGCTGTCCATAATTGTTCCATCCCCAGGCATACACATTTCCTTGGCTGGTAAGAGCGAGACTATGAAAACTTCCAGCTGCTACCCTTTCGACATGCTCCAAATAAAACGGGTTGAAAAGCACTATCGCTATGGAGGACCAAACTCCCTTTGTGTTCACGTCCTGATACTTGATGCAGGTTGGAACAATCCAAGATTCTGCTGGCCAGCTGCTGGGCAAACCAACAATTGCACGGCTGTCGACTCTTCTGTCTAGCAGGTATACCTCAGATGGCTCGCAAATGACTGCTGATGGTGCAGAAAAATTGTATTGAAAATAGGAGGGCCCCGCAAAGCCGAAACCTAGCTGGCCGACCAGATTATCGCCAAAAGAATAGAGGACACCCTTAGTTGGCTGCGTGCCATAAACATCAGAATATGTTTCAGATGAAATCAACATCGTGTGCGTTTGTCCCATGGCCCCATGGGTCACGTTGTGCCCAAACAAAAGGCTTAGGTATCTTGGTTCTAGGTTCAAGTCTTTTGACACGAAGGAGCAGATTCCATTGGGGCAATCTAGTGCATGCTGGCAGTATAGCCCGTCGTATTTCCCTCCTACGCACATAAGGCCACTGAAAGGTCTTGGTCCTCGGACACCAAATCCTAGTTGACCATATTCATTATCGCCAAAGGGCAATGCATTTCTCACTCCATAAAAATAGAATATTGACGTGTTCGACGGTTGACTCCAAATTTCACCATCTACAGTCACTGTGAAGTTCACTTTCATCTGGATCTGAACTGATGGGCTTCGGCAAACAATCTTTTGCGTACCCTCCTGAAAGACTTCTGTTGCATAATACGCTCCAAACTTGCACATCACACTGGTTGAAGAGTGGAAATATGGCCCAAAGGCAGTCACCAAGTAACCTCCAAGAGTTGGAACAGCTGAGGGAAGAATGTTCGTCACTTTCCATAGTGGAGTGTAATAAAACATCGGATTTGGTGTAGAGTAGCCTTGCGGCGAACCATCCAGGGTGATGACAGGCTGTATTGCAATGGAATTTTGATTGACATATTCGTAGACTAATTTATCCAAGGGGGGAGAAAAGCAAATGATTGAAAACGAATCTACAAACGTTCCAGGCACTTCATTTGCTATCACACCTACTAATACGCCAGCTGCATCAGTTGGGTTGTTAGGATCAAAGGTTCCACCGTTCTTGTATCCGAATTTACATATGATGGAAGACGAAGCCACGAATCCTTCGCCAAAGACGGTGATCACGGTTTGACCTGTCAACGGGGCTACGTTTGGTTTAAAGGCTGTTACATTGTACTGCTCAAGAATAGTAAAGGTGCCATTCCATCCTTGAGTCTCAGTAGGACAGGGAGGAACACTCGACTCGGGATTGCGCAAGCAACTTGAGGTCCATGTCTGTCCATCCAAGGCAAGAAAGAAAGGTACTGTCAGTCGGAGAGCGAGGTCAGGGAATAGAAAGGTTGTGTTCGGATTGAAAAGAATGTCTGTAGGTTGGGGCGGCAACAAGAGAGTTCCTGCAAAAGGTTGCAAGGCACAGGTCAAGTACTTGGTTGTTGGATCGATGACCACCCATGCACATTTGTACGTTGGATTGAGACAAAGCGAACGAGGGGTACCCGGTGCAAGGGGAGGGTTTGGAGCACATCCACGGAAAAACTGTCTTGTATCGTTTGCCAATGTCGACGTGCAACACCCAGTAGTTGTTGTGCAAATACAGACTTGACAGTTAGGACAATTTGGACAGGAGCAGCATTCGACACAACCAGCACAGACTGACCATCCACTGTCGTTTCTTTGTGTTCCTTGTACGTATGTACCGTCGCATGAGGCTCTGTCTGTGACAAAGTGAGGGCGCGGCAATGTCTGTCGAGGGAGGAGACACGTGACTTGAGAGGATGAGATGAATTGAGCATCAGGGTACCGCACAACAGTCGTCCCGAACTTACATGATATTGAGGTAGTATTGAAAAAATTTGAACCTAAAACTTCGACATATGAACCTCCTGTTTCACCACTGAATACAGGAGATATCTGAGAGATTGTCCATAAGATTATGTAACTGAACGAGGGAATATTGGAGGATGGTTCAAACTGAATTCCATTAAAGGATATTTGTATGTTGACACTCTGTTCCTGTACGCTCGGCGGTGATAAGCATTGCATTAGACTGGAACTGACGTACTCATACCTAGTTGCGGTAACTCCAAATTTGCATACCGTCAGACTTGATGAAATGAATCCTTGTCCAAATAAAGTCACCCAGGTTCCTCCGCTCAGAGGACCAGCTTCGGGAACTACACGATAAATGTTGTTGTAAGCATGGACGACAAAGGCAGTTGGAATGTCCATGTACAATTGGCCATTCAAAGTGAGTGAGACTCTCATAAGGTCAGAGAAAGCGCTTCCATTCTGCAACATTTGATTTGGAGAGGTTATACATTGAACAACATTCGGTTTGAGGAACGTAACATTGACTGAATCAAAGCAGTAATTTAATGTCAGTGAACAAAACTTACACTTGATCCCGATATGCTCATAATCCAGTTGAAAACGACAATGAGGTTCATATACGCAATATGATTCAAATCCAGGAGTCACGGGACCATAGTCGGTGTAACTTCCATAGACGTACATTCCATTGCACAATCCTGCAATCTGTTGGCCCTTGCATTGGGGAGCTCCTGAGGAGTCTACATCAAGAGACCTCCACGTCACCCCCAGCGCCATGAGTTTGTCAGTCAACCCTCCGGTCACTGTCACAAGGGTGCCTCCATCTGCCGGGCCGATGGAAGGCTGCAAACCAACCATCGTCGGTGTCAAAAAGTAGTGAAACAAGTGATAGCCTCGAGACACAGTCCATTCCGCATTGGAATCCACTATCTGTCCAGATCCGCCACTGATTGTTATCTCTACCTCAACACTTCCGTTCTTGTCTAAAGGTGGAGACGCACATTCGACAAGGCCATAGGAGAGATTCAATGATGCCTGCACGATTTGTGTCCCAAACTTGCAAAAGTATCCTGTGCCGTTGTTAATTTTGAAACCTCGGATCGTCACTTTGGTTCCCCCAACATGTGGACCACTCCTGGGTTCCATATGGGTGATGGCAGCCTTGATAGAGCAGCCCAACGTCAGGTCTCCAGTGCGATCACCACAATCGTAGGCTCCAGTACTGCAATCACTTGACGTACACACGCATCGCCCGGTAGTGGCTCCTTGTCCCGAGATGCTGTCACTTCCCAGCTCACAGGTTCCCCTAACATTCCACGGCTGGTCCAAGAAAACAACTTTACCCTGAGATTCTATAGCTGCAAACGCACAGGTAGGGTTCGCTCCAGTAACTTCACCAAAGCATTGCTGTTTAGAATTTGGACGTAATATGTAGGCAAAATCTACAGTTTCCCAGGTCCAATCATTTCCCTCGTTTTGACTCACAAAAATTTGAACCACTCCAGCTTCGCAATATAAGGCTCCTACCTGACTACAAGGGGTGCGTTTTGGTGGAGAGACAGTGATGACATCGGTAAGAATTCCTCCGGCTAAGGAAGGCTCATACACATCAGCTATTGCATTGCCATAGCGAGCAGGAGAAAGATCTTTTTTCCATCTTACAATCGGAGGTTGAACTGAAGTGTCAAATTCGGCAAATCGCACAAGAATGCTTCCAACTTGCGCACTGGGTACTACGAAATTGACTCCGACAAGAGTAACTTCCTGTATTGGATTATCCCAGAGAGTGAAGGCAGGGCTTACACTGAATAGTCGCAATGGCTTGTACACACTCAAAATTTGAAAGCTGTCCGACCATTCAAAACCATTCAAACTTACTCGAACTTCCAGGTTGCTGATTCTCATGTTTGGCAATGTGAGGCATGTCATGAATTGAAGCCCACCCTCTGCATGGAATACTCCAGGGACATAATTTGAATCTATCAGGCATGCATAGACGATTCCGTTCACACCGGTTATGATATTGTTCCCAATGATCTTGATGTCGGTGTCACCAAGGGAGGGTGCTGCATTCGGCTGCAAGGCACTCACAGTTGGCCTCGGAGAGTAACTGAACGTATCAATTTGATTTCCATTCCATGAACAGCAAGATTTCTCTGCGTTGTAGTACGGATGCCAAAATTTGCAGATGGAAGAAGTATTACAAGAGATTTGTTCAGCACCGTTGAAGGTAATATATAATGTGACTTCCTTGGAGTTCAACTCAGGGGGGGTGACACATTCCATCAATTTACTTGAAATGAATAGAACTGAGGTAGCAGTCTGTTGGATTGACTTAAAGACAAATTTGCATTGTATTTGATTGGAGTTTACAAAATTGTCTCCATATATTTGGATCACTGTACCTCCATTTGTGTCACCTAGCTTGGGTAAATAATCGTTGAAATGAGGTGTGGAGTAAAATGTAAATTCTTGATCAAAGTTGAAAGAAGATTCTGTTATCGTACTTTTGGCATCTTGGAAAGCAACACCGAAAGGAACAGTCAGACTGCCATCGGAGTTACAAGTGGCTAGTGAGGCGTTGATGTCCTTTCCGGTGCAAGGGATCAAAGAAGCGGCTGATTGTCCGTTCAATTGTATTTTGCTCCAATCCGGAATCTGACATTGGTATGTGTTTCCCCCAATAGGCGTTGCAACCGTGACAAACGAAGAATCTAGGGTGCTTTGCGGTACTCTCCACCAGCAATACCCGTTCAAATTCGATAGCAGAAAATTGCCGACACTGAAAGTCAGGGTTGTGGTTGACTGGGCAGAGTATTGAATTGCAGCAAGATTGGGAATGATATACTGCAAATCAAAGAAGGAGAATGCATTCTCTGCGCTCTTGATAGGATCAGTGTGCCAATGAAAGTTGTCAAAAGTAACATAGACATAGATCTGCTGTGGTGGAAGCAGTTGAACCACCTGAGTGTAACCATATCCATTCTTACTAAGTAGAGGAGAACGGCAGATAATTGTAGAACTGTCGATGACTGTAGCTGCTGTGACAGCCCAAGGGGGAGCCGAAGCTAAAGACCCATAAACGTCAAACAAACAAAAGCTTGTTGATGGTG